CTTCTCTTAAGGCTCTTATTAGCTTTTAAAGAGTATTTAAACTTAAGTATCCTAATTATAAATACTATACTATTTCCGAATTTAAGCAGGATTTACTATAATTATAAAATAAGCGGAATACTTAATTCCTTAGATAATTTACACTTATAAATACTATAATACTAGCTTTACTAAATAAGATCTTATAGAAGTTAGAAGAGTAGTTTAAATACTTATTATATTTAAAGAATATAAGATTAAGTTTATAAATAAGCTATCGGACTACTAGATAATCTCTTATAAGCTAACTATTATTACGCTATCTAAGTATATAATCTATCTTATAGTACTATAAGCTTATATTTTAAAGATAAGCTTCTAAAATAATATTTATATATAATCCCTTAACTATAGCTATATTTATAAGTATAAAGTTAAAAGTATTCTTATTTATTCTAATAAGTATATTTCTAAGTAAGTAAGTACTATATCTAATAATTAGTAATTAGGAGCTTTTATATTCTATAGTATTATATAGATCCGCTTTTATAAATAAGCTTAATTCTAATAAGAAACTATTATTAATAAGATTAGTAGTTTTATAGTTATCTAGAAAAGTACTTACTAATAATAAGTAATACTTATAAGCTTCTTAAGTAAAGTAGACCTTAAGCTAGAATACTTAGTTTAAATCTAAGAGTATAATAATATAGTTATTACTAAGTTATCTTTCTCTCTTATCTATTAGGTTTCTAGAGAAGGAGCTTTTTAGCTTATTTAAAGATTCACTTAATCCTTACTTTTATAGAATACTTTTAATTTCTAATAGAAGTAATAAGTTAATACTTTTCTTAAACTTTACTTTAAGTAGCTTCTAGTATTTACTTATAAAGTACTTATAGATCTCTTCTAATTTCTTCTTACTTAAGTTTAGTTTATACTTACTAGTATTAGTAAAGAGCTTTTTATATACTACTAACTAAAGCTTATTATAATCTTTAAGAGCTTACTTATATATTCTATTATAAAAGTATAAGTACTTTTTTCTAAGTATTTAATTTACTTTACTACTAGATTTTAAAGTAAGAGGACCTTATTCTTTATTACTTCTTCCTTTAAAAGTAATAAAATAACTATATCTTTTACTTTTACTACTTATAAGCTTATAATATTATATATTAATTTTCTTTATATAAAATAGTTATATAAGCTATAAAAAAGTATATAACTACTTTTTTCTAAGATTATTAACTTCTTTAAATTAAAAGTAATACTTATAAGATTATATATAATTAAAGTTACTTATAGTAATTAGAAAGTCTATAATTCTAAGTATTTTATTTATATTTAGAATATAATATAAGATACTCTTATATATAAGCTCCTAGTAAGATATAATCTAAGTCTTAGAGTTAAGCTTAGCTTTATTTACTAACTTAAGTAATAATTAGTATTTATTTCTAATTAAGGTTTAGATAGTATTATCTATTTAATTTAAGATATATTTAAGTAATCGAAGGAGTACTTAGATATTAAAGCTTCTATTAGTAATAATTTCTATACTTATAATCTTAAAGTATTACTTAGTTATTATCTTCTTAATTTATTCGTAAAGCTTTTAGTACTAAGTTATTTAAAGTTACTAGATCTTAGTATTTATCTTCTATAGCTCTTACTTAGCTTTTATTACTACTTTATAATTTAAAGCTTTTATTAATATAACTTATATTAGAGCTTTTAGAATAGTTTAAAGAGATCTAGAGTTCTTACTTAAAGAGCTCTATAGAGTTCTTAAATCTTATACTATTACCTAGCTTATAAGCTCTATCTTATACTTAATATAAGAGATTTTATATAATTTTATCTTATAAGCTATTATATTAGCTATAATTTACTTTATAATCTAAGAGAGCTTATTAAGGATTTAAGTAAGAGAAAGAGTATCTAGAGCTTCTAGATTAATATAAAGTTAAAGTCTTAAAATATTTATACTTAATATTAAGTATTTTATTTAAGTAAGGAAATCTTCTAGTTTTAAGTATATAGTATTAGTACTAAGTAATTATTTAGATTCTAAATCTATTAAGAAAGTAAATATAATTATAAAAGAGTTATAAAGATTTAAGAATTAAGAAATAATTAAGAAGTTCTAGTTAAAAGCTTAATTAAAGTAATAGAACTATATATATACTAAGTACTTAGGAGATAAATATAGCTCTTAACTATTATATAGTAGTAAAGTAAGCTTTTATATAATAAAAAGCTTACTCGATTAAATAAAAGTTATAGTATTAAAAGATATATTTAAAAGAGTATTACCTCTTAGAATTAAGAGCTAAGAGTATACTATATATATATAGTATACTTACTAAGTATATACTAAACCTAGGATAAGCTCATATAGCGCTAGTATTTAATAGCTTTTATTATTACTTACTTATTATCTTCCTAAAATTATCTACTATTTAATTAGAAAAATACTTTTAAAGATTCTAAAATAGTATCTCCTCTTAGATATCTTTTCTTATAGAATAGTTTATAAATCCTTAAACTAGACTATTAATATTAGCTTTTATAAGATCTACTAAAAGTACTCTAGGTATTAGTGTTTTATCTTATATTAAGGTTATATTACTTCTAACTTTTACTTCAAGTTATTTTATAACTTAGTTTATTAAAGTTATTATTATATTAGAAGTAATTTATAAGTATTTTAGATATATCTTTTATATTTTAGAAATATCTAACTTAATAGCTTTAGAAATATCTTAATAACTATTAGAGAGTAGCTATTACTCTTTAGTAATATAGAACTTACTTTACTTAAATTTAATAAGAGTTCTCTAGTTACTTTATAAGACTTACTTTACTTAGTTTTAATAAGAGCCTACTAATATTAATTTAGTATTATATCCTAAGAGTTAACTCTATTATATTTAACTTATTTATTTTATAATATAAGGTAACTACTAATTAGTATTAATATTATACTAGTAAATAAATAATAAGTATATATTAATATATATTAAAATCTAAAGTTTAGTTTAAAGGTATTTAAAAGTATATATTATAAAAAGTATCTAAGGCTTAGAATATATACTACTTATAGATAACTCTTAGTTTATATCTAAAAGAGGTCTATCCTTTAACTAGAATTATCTATACTCCTTAACTGCCTCTTATATTTCTATAGTATAAGTCTATAGACTAATAAGATTTAAGTATAATTTAAATATAATATAATATAATATTATTTATTATTATTACTTAGTTATTATTATTATCTTTTACTTTTATATCATTAATTACTACTAAGTGAAATATTAACTCTTTAACTTTTTAAAACCTTGTATTAATTTAATAATAATATTATTTAATTCTTTATAAGTTTATATATATTCCTTATATTTTAAGATATTATTTAATAGTAAATTATCATTTATTTATATCCTTAATTATTAAAAGAAATACTTTTAGATAATAATTAGAGATATTCTATTTATTAATTTATATAAGTTAGATATTTATTACTTTACTATATTTTTAGTTATTTTTATTATATTTATATTCTTTATTTTATTCTTTTTATAATTATTAGAAACCTTTTGTTTTTAAAAGAAGTTTTACTAGTATTAATATATATACTTATATTATAAGGATATAAGAAGTAATTAGGAGATATAAGTAATCTTAGTTAAAGAATAGATCCTTTTTAAATATAAACTAGAGGTTATTTAAAAAGTAATATATATTCTAACTTTTAAATACTTTTTATAATATATACTTTTAAATACCTTTAAACTAAACCTTAGATTTTAATATATATTAATATACACTTATTATTTATTTACTAGTATAATACTAATATATACTTTAAAGAGTATAAAAGCTAGAGCTTTTAAATTAGATAAATTCACTTATAACTTATTATAAAAAGTAAGAAAAAGTATATCTAGAAGTAATATAAAAAAGATAAAGATTTAATAGAAATTATATATAAAATCATAAAAATTTATATTTACTTTTAATTTATATTTACTTATTCTAACTAAGAGTAAAAGCGATTTTAAAAGGCCTACCGACTAGTTAGCTAATAATTAATTACTCTTTATATTTCTATAGTATAAGTCTATAGACTAATAGAAACATTTATAAAAAGAAACGCTTTTTTAAAAAAAGAACTATTTGTAAATAATCCTAAGACTATTCTTTTACCTCTACCTTTACCTTTAAGGTAAGTAGTAATTCTTAATATATCAAAGTCACCTTAGTATACTAGTAATTACTATAAGAATATATAAAAAGAAAGCTTAGCGTATTCTATGTATAATACGTTTACTCTATTGCCTGTGACACTTGCTTGCCCTGACTGTACGTGAGCCCCAAGCAAAACAGAGGTGGGCCGGCTACTATACACTCGACGTTGGTTTGTATCTGAAATATAACCTCAGCTGATTCCCAGGTTTTCACAAAGGTTGAAATAACATCTCAAACCCAGGCGCCCAGCAACGGGTGATTCGTCTTCGCGCAGCGCGAAAACAGCTTCGTTGTAGATAGCAACAGAAGCTGTCTGTTAAGTAATTTTTCTTCTGAAAACTGGCGATGATAAGAAGAGAGAAGGGAAGAGAAAAAGAAAATGTTCCAGGCGTCTCGAGTTTTATATGGACCATACGGCGCTAGTTAAAGTGGAACTGTGGCCTGAGGACGAGGGACGGAATGCTAAGGCAGCCCAGAACTTTAGCCAGATTGACATTGGCTAAGCTGGCTAGGCTAGAATCAATTCAATGTGGCCTTCCCAGCGCAGTGCATCAATCTGTTACCTTCGAGCGACTCTAGTTCTACATCTCTCCACCGAGCACGCAATAGCATAGTTCGGCTTGCCGCGACCGAATTCACATCGCCCAAACCTCTCAGCGGAACATTTGTCTTCTCCCTGGGCCCAAAATACGACACCGCCCTCGGCAACAGCATCACGCAAGCAAGCAAGTCGGCGCGGACCTGGCACCAGAACCTCACTCAGCATGGATATTGAGGCGCTTAAAGAACAATGGTCAGAAATTGAGGACCGCGATGGTCTCCGTCTCAGCTGGAATGTCTTCCCAAGCTCTCGAATGGTATGCCAGCATGGTACCCAAACCTCGAAGTGCGCTGAACTGTGACAGGAAGCCTCGCGGCTCGTAGTTCCCATCGGCGCGCTCTACACGCCACTCAAAGAGAAGACCGATTCCCCATTATTGCAATTCGAACCCGTCATCTGCAAGCAACCGTGCCGATCTGTCTTGAATCCATACTGGTAGGTGTCTCACCAAGGGAATACGTTAATTTTTCCTAACGACAAGCAGCCAGGTAGACGTTCGCGCCAGACTTTGGATCTGCCCTTTTTGCTTGTCTCGAAATCCGCTCCCAGCTCACTATAAGGACATCACGGCGAATGCTATCCCTCCCGAGCTCCACCCGAATAACACTACCATTGAGTACAGACTGTCTCGACCTGCGCCAAGTCCGCCTATATTTCTTTATGTCGTGGACACATGCCAAGAAGAGGAGAGCCTGTCTGCATTGAAGGACTCCCTAGTTATGAGCCTGAGCCTTCTCCCGGAGAATGCTCTGGTTGGTTTAGTGACATTTGGTACTTTGGTAGGTCATTTTTCTGTAGGGCATGGAACATGCCTGCTAACAGAAATGTAGGCTCAAGTCCACGAAATAGGTTACACCGAGTGCCCCAAGTCATATGTTTTTCGTGGTAGCAAGGACTACACTGCAAAACAAGTTCAAGAGATGCTTGGCCTGTCATCTCCCGGTCTCCGACCCGGGATGCAGCAGCAGCAACCAGGCCGCGCAATGCCCCCTATGGGACCTGCTGCCAGATTTCTCTTGCCAGTCCAGCAGTGCGAATTCCAGCTCACGAAAGCTCTAGAACAATTGCAGAAAGACCCTTGGCCCGTCGCAAACGACCGCAGGAACCTGAGGTGTACGGGAGTTGCCTTGAGCGTTTCTGTTGGACTTCTTGAGTCTTCATTTCAGAATGCTGGAGGTCGAATCATGCTCTTTGCTGGTGGACCTGCAACGGAGGGACCAGGCTTGGTTGTTGGCCCAGAACTCAGGGAGCCTATCAGATCACATCACGACATCGATCGAGACAACATCAAATACTACAAGAAGGCATTGAAGGTAAGCACTATTCCTACCGTTAGTCCATGTGTTGGCCAAGATGGAGGTTGACAGAATAGTTCTACGACAACCTTGCCAAGAGAACGGCACACAATGGTCACATCATCGACATCTTCGCTGGCTGTTTAGACCAGGTAGGACTGTTAGAGATGAAGGGGCTCTCAAACTCAACCGGAGGTCACATGGTCTTGACCGACAGCTTCACGTCATCCATGTTTAAACAGTCATTTGTTCGCGTGTTTGAGAAGGATGCCGATGACAACCTTCTGATGGGCTTCAATGCATCCCTAGAAGTGCTCACCACCAAGGAGTTGAAAGTGACTGGCTTGATAGGACATGCAGTATCGTTGAACAAGAAATCGACATCTGTAGGTGAGACGGAGTGTGGGATTGGAAACACTTGTTCTTGGAAAATGTGTGGCATCGATCCCAACGCAAGCTACGGCATCTACTTCGAGATTGCCAGTCAAGGTGGCCCAGCACAGCACCAGCAAACCCCTCAAAAGGGTATGATGCAGTTCCTCACATATTATCAGCATTCGTCTGGCCAGTTTCATCTTCGAGTTACAACAGTTTCCCGTAATCTGAGTGGACCAGCTGGAGACCCTGCCATTGCGCAGTCATTTGACCAGGAGGCTGCCGCTGTGCTCATGTCAAGAATTGCTGTCTTTAAAGCCGAAGTTGACGATGGCCCGGATGTTCTTCGGTGGGTGGACCGTATGCTTATTCGCCTCTGTTCTCGATTTGCCGACTATCGAAAAGACGATCCATCATCATTCCGGCTGGAGAAAAATTTCACTCTTTATCCTCAGTTCATGTTCCACTTGAGGAGGAGCCAATTTCTTCAGGTTTTCAATAACTCCCCAGACGAGACTGCATTCTACAGACATGTGCTCAACCACGAAGATGTCAGCAATTCCCTAATCATGATTCAGCCTACCCTGGACTCTTACACATTCGACCAAGACGGAAGTCAACCAGTCCTTCTCGACTCTACTTCTATCCAGCCAACGCACATTCTTCTGCTGGACACCTTCTTTCATATCCTGATCTTTCATGGCGAAACAGCTGCGGAGTGGAGGAAAGCTGGATACCAGGACCAAGAGGGCTATGAGAACTTTGCAGCACTTTTGGAACAGCCAAAAGAGGACGCCAGGGTATGTACAGAAATAAACAGGCCCTTCGATCCGCTAACACGGTGTAGGATCTTATCACTGATAGATTTCCCCTACCGCGTTTTATCGTTTGTGATGCTGGAGGATCGCAAGCACGTTTCTTGCTTTCAAAGCTCAATCCTTCAACAACACATACAACAGGTGCTTATGGTGGAGTGGGGGCTCAGACCGCGCAAACCATTTTCACAGATGACGTGTCCCTGCAAACGTTCATGGACCACCTGATGAAGTAAGTACAGCAATTCCTATCCTCCTGCAAGTGCTGACGGCTTTAGACTTGCGGTCAGTGGCACAAATTGAGGCAGCAAGGCTTTCCTACAAGAAGCTGCCTCGGATGAGACCAGACTATGAACAAGTGTCGGATTGGTCAGGGTTGAGACGGCAGATCTCTGGTGACAATAGACTCGGCGCAGACCGGTTGGGTGGTACCAGTATAAGGCTTGTTGATACCTATTACGAGCATAATGCCAAGAATCTTGATAATAATCCCATGTAGTCATTGTAGTCCAGCAGCTAATGGCCAAAGCGTCGAATGTATATTTGAGACCATACCGATAGGAGTTTCGGTTTTTTCATATTGGAAGATCCCGAACAGTTTTAATCCGGGAGCATTTCAAGTTACCTTGCCAATGTGAAAGCTACGATGCTACTACAATCATCATTTAACGAGCTGGACTTGGCGAAGTGCCACTGAAGTACTCATACTTAGGCAGTAAATGAGTTTGAAGAGAATTGATGAGCATGTATAGGTAGTAAGCCATCTGGACGGAGAGGTCATCTCACATTGGAATCGCCGTTTCACTACAGCCTTGGTTCTTGCGTCGTTGCTACCTAGTTCGGATCCCAGCTGTGGAGGCGAGGCTGAAAGTTTGGGTATTGGCTGTTCAGAACCCAGAAGCCCAGGCCACATACCTCACAAGCAATGAATTATCCGAGGCAATATGGCTACCAAGTAATGATTTACTGCTAGTGAATTCCAACTCAAAGGCACTAGGTCGTGGTATCTCCTTGGGTTGCGACCTGGATGCTGGGAAGTGTGACCAGTTTGTAACGGTCAGGCTAGGTAGCGGGGGACAGCCTCGCGCTAAGGATTTTTACGCTAAGTTAAGCGACGCCCACAAGGCGACTTGGAAAATCCCAAAGTTCACCATCACCGGCCAGTTCTTCACGATCAACAACATCAACTGCAAAAATGCGTAGGAACCCCTCTGCCTAATACGAAATGAGGCATGCAGCTAACTTGACCGTGTAGCTCCAAAGGTCGACCCCAATGAGATCAAGGTGATGTAAGCAAGGAAATTGATACATACCCCTCAAGGAGAACCGCGTCCATCGTAGAATAATTTGTGTACTGACTTGTTTATTTAGCCACCTAAGAGCTACTGGTGGTGAAGTCGGTGCCTCGTCTGCACTGGCTCCCAAAATTGGTCCGCTCGGGTTGTCACCAAAGAAGGTCGGAGAAGATATCGCGAAGGCTACGGGTGATTGGGTATGCTACTTTGGAAAATATTCTAGAAGATGGACCTTGGCCTAATAATCTGGAATCACAGAAAGGACTCCGTGTCACCGTCAAGCTCACCATCCAAAACCGTCAAGCTGCCGTTTCTGTCGTTCCATCTGCCTCATCCCTCGTCATCAAGGCCCTGAAGGAGCCCCCCCGCGACCGAAAAAAGGAGAAGAACATTAAGCACAGCAAGTCGATCACACTCGATGAGGTTATTGAGATTGCCCGGACGATGAGATTCAAGTCTTTGTCGAAGGAGCTCAAGGGCGGTGTTAAGGAAATTCTGGGTACTGCATTCAGTGTAGGCTGCCAGGTTGATGGAAGGAGTCCTAAGGATGTCAGTGATGATATCGAGAGTGGCGAGATTGAGAGTAGGATTTCCCCAAACCAACCGTTGATATATTGCTGACACAAAGGCCAGTTCCGGACGAGTAAACGATCAGCGGCTTTCTTTGCGTGTATTCTGGACTCCATACTTCACAATAGGCTGTGCAAGCAATGGCATTGAATCAAAACCGGCGCCAGGTTCCTCTGTGACGATCGTAGTGTGAATACCTGCCAAAACCCTGGCCCTGCTTCCTTCCTCTCAGGACGGCGCACTTCATGGTATCGGCCTATCCTTGGAGCCAGACGATCAGCTCTTCGATTATTCACTATAACATGTTTTACCTCTGCTGTAGATGTGGCGGTCTATCTCTCGCAAATAGATGACGCAACAAAATTGTGATGGAGTTGTGAGAGCAAGCCAGGAAAGCCAACCGTGGAAATAGAATGAGTGACACTCCACCTAGGCAGATTGTAGGGCCGTCAGCGCTTGGACGTGCTCATGTTGGTGCCGCTGCAGAGCCATCGTGCGACTTGGAAGCTTTCTCCATCTTCAATCCGTGTGCCAGTTACAAATTCGCGTGCCAGACAGCACCATGCAACCCTATAGTTGGCAACGATGTGGCTATGACCTTGATAGTGACTTGCTTTTCTATTCCTATTGCTTCCTACTCTTTCTCGTATCCATCTCCCAGCCTACGATTGAATGCTCCGACACTTGCAGACGACGTAAGGACGATACGGGCTTTGCTGACTGTCTGACGGCTGACGAGATGTCATTCGCCCGCTACTTGCCCACGCATGCTCCAAACGCTACAAGGCGTCGATCCCTGCAATTTTAGCTGCGCCTTCACCCGCCCTGGCCCTGTTCTCCCTTCAGTTACCTTATCAACCTCCTTACATCTCCTTCTGGCTGCGACAACATCTTCTCTGACATGAAAGCTATCTGTGTTTTCGCCTTCTTCTCTTTCCGCGATATTCAAGCCCCACTTCACTGCTCCCTGCGGCGCTGAGTGCTTCACTGCACCGCGTTGTGAACAAGCTGCCAGCGAGCCAACCCTGCCCTGTTTGCCCCCACGTTTAAACGACAACATCGACGACGCTCACGCCCAAAGACATCTGCGAATTTCCAAAACTGCTCTATCGTGCTCGAACAGTTGGTGGAAAGTATACCGAGAACGCCCGACTGGGCCGTGGTGGTCTACGAGCTCGAGATGATCAACAGAGGAGACATTCCCCTCCTTCGTGCAGGCATCGGCACTCCCTTGGATTTTAAGACTCGACTCGAAAATACACTCTTATCAATGTGTTGAGCAATATAAATAGAACCAGATTCCAAGGCAGTCGAGAGAATATGATTCCTCAAGTTGCCTACCACGCTCAACATCCATCGAAGCAGTTTGAACATCAAGGACTTGGTACCCCTTCATTTGATCCCCTCCAACAACTCAGAAGCCCGGATACCTTCGCGCCACTTCCCCTTCGAAGCTCCAGAAATAGTGGATCTTCACTGGCCCCTCCATACCGCGCATACCCGATCGAGAATGATGGGGTCCTGAATCCTAGCCTTGTACAGGGCAAGGCCGCTCCCAGTCATAGCCTCGCTGGGCAATACCATGACCCGGCCGAGCATATGTTGCGAAGGAAAACACCCAACGGTACTCTGGCTGCTGGCTATGATGGAACGCCTGTTCAATGGTCCAGCAAGGCGCCTGCTTTGAAACACCTTGTACTTCCAGTCTCGAACGGCCACTCGACTACCAATAACACATGTACCCCTACAGCATTGGACAACTCCCGGACAAGAGGGAGAACTGACAGTCTGAGAGGAGCCTCTCAGCAAACAGGACAGATGCAACGATCCAATGTTCACGAAAAAGGGTTTCGACGCAGCCATAGAGGTACACCCTGGCTCCAGTCGCACTTTCCAGTAGACTCATCCCAGAATGTGTGGGATCACATTCGACACCAAGAAGCGTCTAGCATTTACCCAAACAGCGCCGTGAACGTCCCGACCGTCCTCCAACCATTGTATCAGCCAGCTCCCGGACCAACTGCGTCCGATGATGGTGGCCTCTATGGTCCATACTGGCCAGATGGGCGATTCGTGCCTTATCGTCCTGCTGCTGTCAGAGATCAGGGGGGTAATAGCCAACAAGGGCCGGTCCCGTCTCTGACCCCGAACTATGGGTTTGGACAGCAGTATCTCATCTCGGCAGAGCCTTTACCACCATTCCGACATCTAGCTTTCAGCGAGGATCCGAGTTTAGCGAATCGTTCGGGACAGGCAAGCTTCTCTCTTCAAATGCCCATTCCAGCGGTCCCGTATAAACCACCAATGGCATCCCAGGCTACTGATGGCAATACCGTTCTATATGAAATGTCCGACGATTGTCGAACTCCCACAGTACAATCGCCAAGCAAGCCCAGTATTTCCAGATTTAGAGAGAAGACTCTCGGATGGGCCCACAGTATCTATGTTGATCTTCTAGCATATCTCCATCAGACCAGGAAGGAAGCAAAAAAGTCAAGACATAACCATGGATCCGAAACATACTCGAAGAATAGCATATATCCAAAGCCACCCCGTCAACCTGCATCCCACCTAGCTTCAACCCACTGGTCGCAGCCGGACCGCAATGGCAGCGCAATGAAAGCACCTCAACACGCTGCCGCAGCGCCAGGACATTGCCAACCATCATTTAGTGCGAGCTTCATGGGCTGGCAAGGAATGTCGAATATGGATGCGCCACGTCCTGCCAGATCATTCAACCAAGATGTACCCCATTACATGTCTCCTTTTCAAACATCTCCCCAACTTCCCATCTCGCCATTAAGCAAGGCGAAAGAGGCTTTGGAGATGCTCAATACCCTATGCAATGAGAGCGGCTGGTGTTGGATTGATGGCATGTTATTAGGAGGGTGTCTTGCATATGGTCTTGAGGAGTACCATAAAGCACTTGATTGGTATTCCAAGATCATCGCTCTAGATCCAAGGTAAGAGTGCACGTGAATGCCGTGCCATATTTTGACTAACAATTTTCGCTAGGCACGTTGAAGCAATATCAAATCTCGCAGCCACGTTACTCTGCTTGAATAGACGCGAAGAAGCGGAACAGTACTGGCTGCAGTCAGTCAAGCTTCGGCCAAGCTATTTTGAAGCCGTTGAGCACCTCATCGGCTTGCTTTGCGGCGACCATAGAGGGACTGAAGCTGTCAGTATCATCGATTTTGTGGAGCGTTCTCTAAGGCTCCCGAAGCCTGAAGAGCCATCAGATCATTTCAGTGAAACTTCAAGCAACGCTGATCGCGAGTCATGTGAATCCACTGGGACAGGTACAGAGATCATCGCCCTTGAATATGACATTGATAGCCATAAGATGTTCTCCTCCCCCCGAACACGAGAGAACGATGATCTCTCAATGCAAGCCGGTTTTGGTTCCAGTGGTTTCTCTGTCCCCGGCTCGGAAAACGGGCGAATTCTTGCATTGGTTCATGCTAAAGGCAATATGCTGTATGCTCTTGGAGACATCAACGGAGCCTCAAAGGCATTTGAGGAAGCAGTTCTCATGAGCTCAGGCCGAAGTTACCATGGGATTCAGGATCTTATCAGAAGGATTGTGAATGTTCTGTCGCTGGATGAGATCCACCCGTTGCGAGCCGACTTCAGATCTCCTCCGCTGCAAGCTAGCTCGTCACCACTTTTGCTTCCTCCGGATAAGGCTCTCCAAACAGCACGACTTGTGTTCACAAGGAATGGTGAGCTTCCCGGACTTCGACACGTGCCTGAAGGGCTCGCTCGACGAGCTGCAATTTCAACGACAAGCAATTCGCTCCTATCTTTGGCCAAGATTTTCCAGGATGCCATGTCTAATAACAGCTCTCGCCAGAAAAAAGCGAGGATGCCGACAGGTGTAGGAGATATTTTAGCATTGTACTACCTGTCTCTATCGCTTCAACCTAGCCCCTCAACTGCCAACAACGTCGGCATTCTCCTCGCCAGCGTTCAGCAACCTGCTTCACACCGTCCTCTCCATCCAAGGAAATCCTCCAGTCAGCCCACAATACCAGGTGTAGTGCCCGGTAGTGGAATTGCTCTGGCACTTGCATACTATAATTACGGACTTAATCTTGATTCTCGGCATGCACACATATACACAAATCTTGGCAGTCTGTTGAAGGATATCGGCCAGCTTGCAGCTGCTATCACGATGTATGAAAAGGCAGTGGCCTGTGATAGCACGTTTGATATTGCTTTGGCCAACTTGGCAAATGCTGTCAAAGACCAGGGCCGCACGAGCGATGCTATCCAATACTACCGACGCGCCGTTGCGTCGAGTCCAGATTTTGCAGAAGCTGTCTGCGGTCTTGCAAATGCCCTCAACTCTGTGTGTGACTGGGCTGGACGTGGAGGGGTGATATTAGACAGCGGCAGACAGGACAGATGGCACGTTGACGAAACCGGCATGATAACCGACGCAAGAACAAACGGGGAAGGCGGCGGGTGGATGAAACGTGTTGTTGACATAGTTGCACAGCAGCTCAAAGATGGTTCTCTCTGGGGCCGGGGAGTTCTCGTGGACCAAGCGCTTCTCCCTTTCCTTCGCCAACTGGAGGTGGCCGACTCAGGGGAGCAGTGGCCAGCAGAGAAAAGAGAAAGCATGCAGATCACACTAAGCTCATGGGCAGGACAGCGTTGGGAAGGTGCGCGAATTGTTCGAATGATTGAACGAGCCATCAAGCGCGCCATGCATCGATGGTATCGCGATAAACATGTGCTGAATCGACAGCTGCCTCCATCGCACTATCCTAGGCCCCGAGTACCAGGTAGTTTGACAGTCCCAACTGCACCTACCGTACTGCCTTTCCATACATTCACTTGCCCTTTGTCTGCCAAGGACATTCGAATGATTTCTCAACGAAATGCTTTGAGGATATCGTGCTCTACACTCAAGGCCCCATGGATGCAAGAGTCTGTTTTCTCTCCGCCACCACCGCCTTCACCATATCTGAATGTTGGCTATGTATCATCCGATTTCAATAACCACCCTTTGGCTCATCTGTGAGTAATCGTAGATTCTATATACTGCTGTAGTTCGTGACTGATTACTTAGTATGCAATCTGTCTTCGGACTGCACAATCCGGAAAGGGCCAAGGCTTTTTGCTATGCCACTACCTCGAGTGATAATTCCGTCCACCGCCAGCAGATCGAGCGTGAGGCACCTGTCTTTCGAGATGCTAGTGCATGGTCAGCGGATCGTTTGGTGCAACGAATCATTCAGGACGAAATTCATATACTCGTTAACCTCAATGGCTACACGCGGGGGGCAAGGAACGAGATATTTGCAGCTCGGCCAGCACCAATCCAGATGTCGTTCATGGGCTTTGCAGGTACTCTTGGGGCCGAGTGGTGTGATTACATCCTGGCAGACAAAACAGCAGTTCCACCAGACACTTTACGGCCTTGGAGAAGGAATATCGACCTGGAGGATCAACTGTTGGATCACCAGTCTCATGAGGAAGAGGACTGGGTCTATTCGGAAAACATCATTTTCTGCAGGGATACATTCTTTTGCTGCGATCATGCTCAGTCGGAACCGCGGGAAACCCAACTTTCATGGGGCGAAGAGCAGTTACGACGGTGGAAGATGCGTAAGGAGTTGTTCCCTAGTCTTTCCGACGATGCCATCATCCTCGGAAATTTCAATCAACTGTACAAGGTACGCCAGCCCTTCGGAGTGGTTGAGTAATTTACTTGCTGATAGCTGCTAGATTGAGCCTACAACGTTTCGCACATGGCTGAGAATACTAGACAAGGTTCCGAAAGCAATCTTGTGGCTACTCCGTTTCCCCGATCTGGGGGAAAGTAATCTGAAACGTACTGCCCAGGAATGGGCCGGTGAAAACGTAGCTTCCCGGATATGGTTCACCGACGTAGCCCCAAAACATCAACATATTTCTAGAGCTCGCGTTTGTGATCTGTTCCTGGATACGCCAGAGTGTAATGCTCACACAACAGCAGCGGATGTGTTGTGGTCAAGCACCCCATTATTGACCTTGCCCCGCTACACGTACAAGATGTGCTCACGAATGGCTGCTTCCATTCTCAAAGGAGCACTTCCCAAGAGTAAAGAGGGCCGCAAAGCAGCAGAGGATCTCATTGCCAAGGATGATGCGCAGTACGAAGAGTTTGCGATTAAGCTTGCCAGTGGCCTTTCGTACGAGCTGCATTCCTCTGGTTACGGAAACGGCGTTGGAAGACTTGCAGAGCTCCGTAAGCTTCTTTATGAAAGCAGATGGACGTGTGCACTCTTTGACACAAAGAGATGGGTTTCAGACCTTGAAAGTGCTTATGATGAGGCGTGGCGACGATGGGTTGCAAACGAAGGCGGTGATATATATTTATAATACTTTGTGGAACTTAGACAGCGTAGACATTTGGGAATGGGGCATTCATAAGGACACGGGTGCAAACTCACTGCTAGTGCTATAGCGATGGAGTTACATGGCATGTCGATGTGAATTTGGAAAGAAATTGGAGTCACTGGCTCATCACGCAAGCATGTTTCCTAGGTATATACCCCGAGCTGTATTTCGCAAGATATAATGCAAGGAATCTTCTATTCAATATCAGTCCACTTCTTGATTGCAGCAAGCCTCGGGTCTTCTTAAGAATCAGTGGGATGCTCTCAACGGAACTGATCATGGGGTTAGTTTCGCATGAAGATGTACCGCATTGATTTTTGACGAGGAGACAACAGGGTTAGAAGAAAACAAACAAATTCGGCTAAATAGGGACGGTCGCTGATTCGCTCGGCTGTGGCCTCAAACATTGGAGCAATCAGGTGTTTACCTACCGTACCAGCTTACCTACCTATCGACGACAAATTAATGTGGCCTATTAAGACGCTGTGCCTGAGGGCGGGATTGTCGTGTTTTTCTTCACGGTATACAAATAAAAGCTAGAGTAAACCTCAGTGAATAACAAATCTAGTATTTCAAAGGTAGGTAATCTTAAAGACGGAAAATGATTTGCACTTTTTGTTCATATGAAAATCTACTTTTTGTTTACCTTAACTTTAGTATTCCGCACGTGCCTCGAACGGTCGTATATTTCTGTCGTCGATTGCTTACCAGGTAGGAACGTAAATTTACTTTTTGCTGTACCACGGCACAGGTTTACGAACACAGGGAATTCGTGCCGGAGTGTGCACCAACAATACCACAGTGTGTTACTTCCAAATATATTCCAGCATAGCCACTGAGCTCGGCTATGCAGTATATCAGCTCCTAGAAAGCAAAAGCAACGAGATGCACGGTGAAGCGGTTTCGGTCTTTCAGCCGAAGGACTTTCGTCTCTTCCGTTGGCCGAACATTTTGAATGAAATAACATGCCTCATCCTCTGAGAACATACGACGGTGCTGCTAAATACACTGGATCAGCCGGGCTACTTTTCACGTCCTACTCTGAATCATTGTTTTGCCTAGTTCTTGGATGGTGTTCTTTCTGGCATCATCCAAGAAATCTGCATAGGCTCCCCATATACACCATCGGATGATCTGTATCGTGGCTTGGCGGTGATGTGGTAGGCATTTTACAGGCCGGTTACACCTTCCCATCTTTTGGCAGATGGGGCTATCTGTCCTCGGCAGCGACACTGTTCGGATCAGGCTCCCGATTTGGACTGGAAACATAACGCACTGCCTAGATGGCTCCGAAGGTAATCGCCAGGGAGTGGTATCTCTATGCGTTATACGTGAGCCGGGAAAGCCAGCAATAGCCTGAGGTTGTCTCTATGGCGTATTAAGATGCCATTTCCGTAACACACTGCAACGAGATCCTACGACAACTCGATTCGGCCCTCACCTTACAGTGATTGGTAGCAGTGGTGAATAGTGTATTCTGAAGGGCAGAGCGAGAACCTGTCTCGCACCAGGGAGTATCGGTGTAATACGAGAGTCATGAGAGCAAAGTCCATTTAGAGCCTAAGAGGTGACAAATCCACCGCACCTTTTTCTAGAACCGAATTAGGATGGTGATTTGACCTTGCTCGATTTATATATACAGGATCTGATCTGACTAGGCACGTTGTGTGGGTATCGGACTAACAAATATACATGATATTATGGGAGATATGTCCCTGTTCATCATTACAAAGAAAGACGTTGCTCATGAACCCCATTTGTAGGTGTGTGCTATTTCGTTGGCCCTTCTGTACGGCGGAATTACAGAGACACTTGAAAAAGACCGAATCATTTGTGACAAAAGACAAGAACCCAACGTTTTGAATTCCATCTTCCGTGCAGAATCCTTCCGACATTATCCCAACAGTGAAGAAAGATGCATCCTCGTGTCTCGCTCTGTTAATCGCTCCAGGTTCTCGTACCGAGTGCTGAATTGGATAGGTGGAAGCTGCACAGGCGTTGATGGGGCTGTGAGCAGCTGTGTTCGAGATTCTGGGTGATATATTCGGGGGGGGTGCGATGGCATCTGATAGAACTGGTCAGGCCGCTGTACAGAGGACGAATGTGTAGTCGAGATGTTCTTCTTCGAGTCACTAACGGCGCGATGCTTGAACGTGTACCCTTGACTATCCCCATCTGAAAGGAAGGTGTTGTTTGATCTGAATGGAATGGCTGGCAGACTCGGGCGTCTTTGATCTCGAGAGAAAGAGTTCAATGGAGGCAAATCTAGGCCTGGTGACTGCGCGAGACGAGGAGATACCGAGAATGCAGAGCTGGCGTCCGAGATGAGTGACGGCGCACCCACCTCTACCGACTCTGCTCTCGAGGCTTCCGAGACTGCGGGGGATGGCAGTGGCCCATCGCCTAGCCTCGATGAGAAGTTGGTCGATGTGATGGACAAGGTGTAGCTCGAAGCTGGCCTAGCGTACGACACTGGGTGCGACCTCTCATCCGTGCTGTTGGCGTGCTGCGTTGATATCCTCCGTCGAATATCAAGGCGCCTTCGTCGATTCATGCTGCCATTCCACCAATTCTTTACTGCATTATCGCTCCGACCATGCAGCCTTCGAGCGATCTCTGCCCAGCGCTTTCCCATCTCGCCGACCATACGCTCGATCTGTAGTCCTTCTTCTGGACTGATTGGCTCATGATTAAGCGTTGGCTTGAGATTTTGGTGGTATCGTTCCCGGCACTGTTTAGGTGATCTCGAACCGATGAGTTGGGCAATGCGCACCCAATTCAATGCTCCTTGGGTGTGCACCAGTTGAACGAGGTAGGCGTCCTCTGCTTGAGACCAAGGTCCCCTTCGATGTGGTGAGGACATGGCCGAGTTTTAATATTGAGACAGGCGACTGAATAAGTATAAAACACGGAATGTTTTCTTCGAGTCTGACAACAGGATTTGGATAAACCAACAAATACTAATAGCCGTTGGGAGATGAGCGGTTAGATATAGCCCCGATTTCAGATCTCCGGCGCGATGAATATTGTCCGAATTAGCTATGCGACTAATGTAGTAGTCGAGATCTGAAGTTTGGAGGTCGATATGACAGTTTCGAATCAAATCGAGAGATGCTGAGCCGCTTTGCTCTCAGGCGCCAGGGTAATTGGAGGCTTTGGGATAGGGTGAGGCTAGCTTCCAGCCACTAAATAGTAGTTGAGAAGCTCAGCACTTGATCTGGTGCTAGAAACCTCTGGCGTCTGCTTTAGCAGTAGCTCGCGTTGTCTGATCGGTAACCAAGATGTGGCAGCAGCTGCGGGGGAGATCTCGTTCGAGGGAGTTGTCGGACCTGGAATAGTCTAGGCAAGGGAGATTTTGGTTGCTTGGCTGGAAGTGGTTTTTGATGCAGGTGAATCCAGTTTCGAGTATCCCTCCCGGCTCGAGGTGGTGATAACAGTCGTTTCAAAGAATACACGAGGTTGACGAGTTCTTGATGGGTAAAAAGGTCTCACGGCAGGGCTTCGATGGTCAGTTAAGATCGGGGAGGAGGGGGTGTCTGGCTGTGCGGTCGAGAAGTGGTGAAAAGAAGAGAAGAAGATCAGAGGCTCGCAGGTTGGATCCAGGCTGGGTGAGCTAGTAGGTAGCCAGTCACAGGTGATTGAAGAGATCGAGCAAGAGAAGCATCAGGAGAAGTACAAGAGTGTTGTTACAGCAGCAGTAGTAGTGGGCGTTCAACAAGCAAAGGCAACGAGCCGAGCAGGCATTAACCAGGGCGTCCGGGATTAGTGCTGGGGAGACATGAGGCGTCCTGATTGCTGGGACGTTGGTGCCATGTCGGGACTCTTAGTGGATGGAGCTTTGGAGATGAATATGGATATGGATATGGATATGGATATGGATATGTGATCTTCGACTCAACCAAGCTGGACCCGCTGATCAGCCGGGGGCATGGGCATGGGCATGGGCACGGTAGGGGTAGGGGGGAGGGGGAGGGGACACTAGAGGTTGAGGTGGGTGGAGGTGAGGTGGGCCAGGTGGCTGGCCACGGGCAGGGGAAGGGAGGAGAGGAAGAGAGGAGGACGAGAAGAGGGAGGAGAAGAGGAGAGAGTGCTCTCAAGTAATATACTGTAGGGGTGGACGCAGATCAGCGTGTGGCAGGGATGATGAGAGAGAGACGTTGTGATGATGAGGATACGTGGGAGAAAAGTAGCAGGCTGGGCTCAAAGGAGCAGCCATGGTTGTGAGTGACTGAGTGAGTACCTTAACTTAAGTGAGAGAGTCTCTCGTGATTGATCTCGACTGGGTACAACGGGCGGGCACACAGGCGGGCATGGGAAATTCCAGCTTACCTAGAAAGACTTACAGGTACTGCACTTTACCTACGTGGTTATGCAAGGCAAGGCAAGGCAAGGCAAGGCAAGGCAAGCAAAGGCAAGTAAATTTAAAGGAAAGTAAGTAAATACCTTGACGTTAGTCGTAGGGGTCTGGCCCTTTGAGGTTCGGATTTTTGAGATTCAGATTCAAGTTCAAGATCAAGTTCAAGTTGAACAGGGGAAAGATGAAGTCCGGCTAGTAGGGATGGGATGGAGGGACGGACCCAGGGCGGGCGGGCACGGGTGCGGGCACGGAAGGGCACAAGAGAAGACAGGATCAGGGCAGGACAGGACAGGACAGGCCAGGATCCGACGCTGACAGGGACAGGGACAGGGTATTCGATGCGCATGGCATCGCATCGCTGATCGCCCACGGCGGGTGGCTTCCCTCCACTGTCCTTTCAGCTGGGACAATAATACCTTACGAGCTTACCCAATATTGACACAGCCTAACGAAGTAACCTCCATACCTACTCCGTAGTGACAGTGACTTACCAACTCCGTGTATTTTCCCCATCGGGCGTAGATTGGATCTTGTGGTTCTTATCCCAGGAGATGGAGTAGAGCGGTATTTAAACTTACAATAAATTACATTACATCCTTTCGATATCTGCGCCTCGAGGGCAAGTGCGAGTTTCCTCGCTTACTAAGGAGGTACTTCGTACACTGACAGTCCTGCTCCGCCGTCATGGGATCAATCGCTCTCTGCGAAATGCTAGGCGAAGCCACAATTGGAAATCGAGGAAACGACAGTGTCCACTCCAGGCTAGCCATAGATTCCCCAATGGGCGTTACCAGACAGAAGAAGCACAAGGCCCGTTCCCACAAACGGCTGAAGATCTGAGCCGGGTCTGAAACATGCCGGCCGATTGTCTCTATTGGGCACCAAAATAGTAGTATGTGCGGACCCATGCTCGCCATGGACGGTTGAAAAATGCTGTTGCGTATCCGTACCTGGCTGCCTTGTTACTTTACTGGCCATGCTCATGTTCGCAAGAATGCTGGTGGCATGCCAATATATAATATGCACACACCAAAGACAACTCATTCCCAAGAATCCCAACAGGCTGGATCGGAGCATCTCTCGTGATGCAGCATACGCTAGTATACGCTAGTCACAGTGTAAGACCGGCAACATCAAGCCCGATAGACTGGACAGAAGCAAGCAATATGGGTCGAGCCGAGGATATTGCATACGTATTGTACAGATATACGCCACACTGAGTGCTATTGTGTATGTAACAGAAGATATGATATGGTAGTATATTTTACACGAGTCATATGCATCCCATGGAGAATCCGAGGGCATACAGTAGAGTAGATGCGCAGGATGGCGATGCAGAGGCAGATTGAGGACAGAGAAGAAGGAAACCGAGATAAGACAAGATGGGATGGGGTGACGAAAGTAAACACGGGTCTATCATTCAGGGTGAATTGGTAGATTGGTAGATGCTACTGTCTCGAAAAATCTAGACTCAGCTCGAACGACGACACCAACGGTGGGAATAATACAGCGAGGAGACTGTTCAGGCAGCCCCTGGTACATCGACCACTTGTGCATGAGAGCAAGCTGAAATCACGATAGGACTCGGTCCAAGATCCATGCGGTGCACAAAATATTCTCTCTCTTCTGTTCAGGCTACTTGAATTGGCACTAAGTACCTAAAGCTTCCCTCCTTCCTCCCCTTCCAGGTGTTCATGTACAGGACCTTTAATTGCTAGTGTGCGAAGCAAGACGAGATCATTAAGAGGATCGCCCGTCTGAAAATCTCATGATGCCCCCTTACCCGCCTTGACTAGGCTCCCTGTCCTTGTCAAGAAAAAGTATATGAATTCTACGCTGCGAAAATCATGCACCCGGCATTTCAATACTGGACCAGGCGAATGCTTCATTCACTTTGTGAGATGCCGAAGCATGGTGGTATGGACTGGCGGTGAAGAGGTCGCCCAAAACAAACTGATCAGACATTTCTACTATCTGTCTACATTCTTTTCGGGAAATATAAGGTCTTTCCTAGACTCCGGATGGAAATATAATTTACCCGCGCTCATTATGCCTGACGACTTAAATCTACCTCGCCTAGGGAGCCGAACCCCAATCGCAAAACCCAGCATGGACCACATCGAGCGTTTGCTATCCCAATGCTTGGGAAGACACGACTGGAACAACAGGGACATGGCATGCATGCCCTGTTCAATCGAGGGGTGTCGCAGGATTCTGCCAACTATGGACGGCCGCCTCACTTTCCTTAACACTAACACAGAAGTGCATTTTTACATGCAGCTGCTGGCCCTTGGTATGGATTGTGAATGCTGAGACCAGGACTTCTCAAAAGAAGCAAAAGCGACCAATCAAATCAAGCGCTATTCATCTACTCTTTTCCGAGCTGCTGCAAATTGCGATTCAATGTTTCTATTGTACAGAGTCACACCTCTCTATGTATGAATTTGTATGGTTCTTGCCGATGGTGCCATGTGTGCCGGATCATGGCAGCAAAGAGACAGACGAAAGCCAAGAGTCACAACAGATCCTCCGCATGACAATACGGGGCACCCCTGCAATGATTTGCCCTGATCTGAACAGGGTGCAGCAGATCAGCACGGCTTCCGGTAACAGGAGAAACAGATCTGCACTGTCAATCTCACACTTCTTAGCCATAGCACCGCTGGGATGAACCATGATACCTCGGTCGAGGTTATCACGAACCCAGAGTCCAGTGGAAGAGTTCCACGGAAGCGGTGGGGGGGGGGAGAGAACTCAACCATACTTGCTGAGAATAATGGATCTAAGATTTTTGAGTTTGCTGACGATCCGATCAGATCGAGACTACTCGCATACTAGAAAGGCGGTCCCGACCGTTTCCTGATTCAGGGACGGCTTGGACCACTTTGGCTCAGACTATCTGACCATCGAAAGGACCGTTTTACTGCGCTACCGTGGACTTCCCGCCCTGAGCGAGGAAAATCGGTCAAAGCCTCTTTTCCAACGCGCGACAGACGTTGCGCCACGTCTCTAACTAAGGATTAAATTCACCTGCCAGAGTTCAGCCATCTCAAGGTCATGGCATCAGACAATATCACTTGCTCGCGCCAAATTTCAGCCGTAGATTTGCAATACGTTGCTCTTTCTTCGTCTCAGAATCTAGTAAATTACTGTCCTGAATCTTTGTCAGGTCCACAGAATAAGAGTCTATGCCAAATCAACCCCTCAGCACACGGATAGTCTGCGGGTGCGGGTGCGGAGGACGCATGTTCCAGGTTTCTCAATGGAATTCACCATGACGCCAGATCTCAACAACTCAGACCGACCACTGGACAGAAGGGGTTGTTGACTTAGCGAGATATTGATGATGATCTTTCCCGGAGGATAATTCAACAAGCTTTGGGGACCCCTGCCACGAGATGTTTTCTGTGTTGTCAAGGTATTAGTTACTACTACAGCACCATTGTGTGAGTCTCGCTTGATTAGGCTCACGAGGGAGGTTGCGCTGCCTCGGGTCGTATTAACTTCAACCTACCTCACCATCAAGCAATAATAATGGAGCACGAAATATACTATGTGACCGTCAAGAGACCGTCAGTACACGCACAGGTTGGGACTGTCTCAAGACCTATCAGGTGTCGAGATGGCTGATGCATTATTGTCGCGACGGATGAACTGCTCTTATTCTTCTCTAAGCTGGCCTGTAGGCGACATGATGCTCGATGTTGTGCAGACGGCAACTCGCTTACTGTCTTGCCGCTGTGCCCAGTCGTTGTTGAGAGCTGGCCCAGTCCGCTGGGTTGAGGTCGGCGACTTCCAGACGACTAATGCAAGCCACCAGCGCGTTGGACTCGACCAGTGCGTTTTGATCTGCAGCATGTTGGAAGTTGGGTCCGACACCCCTTTTTTCTTGTTCCGCCTTGTCGTCTTCGCCTTCCTGATTCTGGCCTTCTCTTCCTGTGACTGATCATGACTCGCGCCTCGTGACTCGTACGGGGTGACTGGCGAGACTGGTTGAAAATGCCACTCCTAGGTACCAAGGTAGTTCGCTTTCGCCCCGGCATTATCAAGAAACGGCTGACGGCTGACCTCCTGTGGGGAACGGACAGACAATGGCAAACAAGCAGCATGAAGAACACATAATACATGTGCATCACAAAGCAATGTTTACTGTAATGTAGGTCAACACTCAAATTTGCTTTTCTAAAATGGCTCTCCAGGCATAATTTGCTGCCTCGAACCTTGCTCTCTACCTCCTGACTGTGCACATCCATATGATATGATCTTCGCTCCAAATTGCGGACCATTAACAGTCAGACTGGAAATGGGGCATGGATCTCAAAGGGGCTCAGGCAGGCAAGCCTGGGTGACACGGGGAAGATTGCGAATGGGTACACCTGTTTCTCAAGGTTTTCCTCCCACATGGCACGCATTAACACAGGATTCTTGTTTTACGGATCTGTGGTTATGGAACGCTTTCGGACAGTTTCTTGAAAAATAACTGTTCTCGTCCACAACCCCCTGCATTCCTGATTCGACACAGCGTTCGAAGCTGATATGTCAGAAAATTTCGTGATCAAGTCTTAGTTCGCAGATTCCTGAACAATCAAAAGCGAAGCCAGTAAGTATGTATGTACCGTGAACTTGACCGTTCAGCTGGGTTTCTATGTTTGGGTCAGAACCATCAATGCAGATGCCTTGTACCAGGTCCATGCAGCCTACTCGTCCCAGGATTACGGCGAGGAACATTTGTTGTACCAAAACAATGGCTTTCTGTAGCGCTCCCTTACCACAACCCCAAACTTCTGCTGAATTCAAGTGCACATGAAGAAGTTGTTCAGCATACCCAACTCTATTATTGTAACAATTCTGCGGGGAGGGAACGAGCTGGCATGCACCATTACGACTCAACCCCGACTGCTGTAGGCTTGCAGTCAAGCTCCGTCCTCCGGCTTGTCACAGAGGCATCCGAGCATATTATTGAGCTTCGCGACTGTTTGGAATTGGTCCTCGAAGCATGTCCCATGCCTAGTGTTGCTCCTCACAAGATGCTGTCCCCTTCTCTCGTCGTCGACTTCAAGACACCGGCTAAACGCCCATTATTAGTTTGCTACTACTCGTACATTTCAGCGTCTCGGCGTATCAGGGTATCGATATTGCGTTAGGATGATTAGACAAATCTACAAGCACTTGCTTTTTGTGGATCTCAAATCACATCTCAGACATGATCGATCGCCCCACAAGCTGGGACAGATCAAAGTTTCTTTTCTCGGTCGAACATCAACAAGGTCATGGTTATGGCATCCTAGTGTTGCCAAGGGCTATTTGTCCCGAGCACCTTCGTAGCCGCCACTGCGATTTTCTTAGACAAATACGCCGGTTCAAGCCTGTGAGAAAGAGCGAAGATAGGTAACTATAATAATTTACTCTACCTCACCTGTGCTTCAAGAAGGAACACTGCAACGGTGTGCCAGCGCTTCGTGCTCTGCATCGCCTGAGCATAGCTAAGGGACTGTACCTCCGAACAGTCCCTCCAAACCTTAGGTCCTGATCCAGCGACATGGGATTTGAATCTGCGGGAAGGAAAGGCGGGCACGAGCGGACCGTTAGCTTTATTCCTCACCCCAGAAGGAGAGCTCAGTGAGGTAGTGGAGGAGTAGCGGAGACCACAGTGAGACACGGCAAGTGTACGCTGCATTGAAAGTCGGACGCGATGTAACGCTGTACTCCTTGGACCACAAGGCGATTGCGCAGCCAGAGGTTGTGCTTGTCCAATGTCCCTACACACTCGCAATGGCAGAAACCAGTGGCCAATGAGATATGGCTAAGCTGCATAAAAAGGGAGACAGTAGCTACGGATGATCTGGATATGGGAATGGACATTCTTCATCATAAATCGACTTAGCGGTCCATCAAAGTACCAAAGTGGCCAACCCCATGATAGGGGCTACAAGAGACCTTTGTGCTGAACATGCTGCAGTCAATCTTAAGCATCACATCCCCGCTCCGTAGAGGCGGACGATATTGTTTTCATTCATTATCAAGGCGACATCTCCCAGGGGAACCTGGGAAATGCTTCGGTACTCCAGTCATCCATTTGGCGACTACTGTAAATCACGTCGTCCATAGGGTGTTTGTTAGCTCCGTAAAGTAGTGAAGCTTGGATAGCTCTGAATTCTCGGTGCTCGTTCTCACCGATCAGATATCACTCCTGAACCCGCAGACCGCCCGCACCCACTGCCCCGACCACCATACTTGTCCTTGTCCTTGTCCTTGTCCCTTCGTCCTCCGTAACAGCATGTCTTGACCCCAACTGGCGATAATTGACGACGCCTGCAAGGAAAACCGCTTTGTGGCTTGCGCCTCTTTAAAACGCGGGCTCATCCGCTCGCTGGGACTTGCGTCACAATAATGCAGCGGAACCTCCAGGATTATTGCGTCGGCTGGGCGAGCAGAGGGAACCCCTGAAATCCGAGAATAGACCCCCCTATCAGAGCTGAGATAAGAGGGGTTCTGTCCTTCAACGACCCAGACTTGTCGATCGACTCTATACCATGGCTGCTGCACTGCTAAACAATGCAGAAAGTGGCACACCTGGCCCCTCCAAGACTGGGTGGCGCCATGCTTCGTTTCCTCCTACAGTAGACCTTCTTTCTTCAAAGTCGACAGCGCAAAACACGTGCCGCTGACGCGAGATGTTGAAGTCGAGTTACAATTCTACCAGAAATGGAACGGCTACAGCCTTTGGATATTGTACGCAAAGCTTGCCGGTCACAGGTTACAAGCTCTGCCGCCACCCTGGCGACTTTCCGGTCTGTTCTGTTCTGTTATGTTCTGTTCCGTTCCGTTCTGTTCTGTGCTGGTTTATTTGGTTCTGTATCATCATGATAATCGTGATTCGGCTCATCGCAGATTATTCCTCGAAGCTGCAGTATTGTGATTTCAAGAGTTGCAAAAGTACCACAAGTGTCGATCCGAATTGCGAACAAGTCTGATCTCCGGGTCCCACTGGAAGGAGCAAAGAGATAAAGCCAATGCAGGTCTTCTACCGATTGTGGGTTCGTACTGTAGTCGGTTATTTGCCCTGCCCTGCCCTGCCCTGCCCTGCCCAGTGCCCACATTGCAGGTGACGCATGAACCAGCGAACAGCCCGATTGGGTTGAGCCATACCGCACCGGTGCGTGCCCCGATCATGCGCGCTGACTTGATTATTGTTCAATTTCGAGCTCGTGAACATAGTCCAGAAAGGCATGCTTTACCTTCGGACTATACGTGTTGTTGCCTACGCTGTTCGTGCAGAAATACAAGATTGTCTCGCTTGTCAGAATCCGTCGAGACTTCTGGAGGGAAGGAATTATCTTATCTGCCTGATCGTACCCTGAACGGAGAGATTGGAACAATGATTGAGAGTACACGTTCATCAGAGTATGTAGGGAGAGCAGATAGGCGAAATAATCAAAATAACCAAAATGGTCTGGACCTGGAAATGCTGGACATACAATTTGCACTTCTGTTCGCCGGATATACCCAACCCCTGCAAAGCCACCTCATCGAATCCCAATCAACCCATGCCACTACCCTCACATTACAGGTCCTCAGTCGCTTCTACATTTGCACCACTGTTGCGACCGACTTATGTAGGGACGAAGACAGACTCGGTCACTGCTGGGAAAGTGTATCGGAAATCTTTTGATAGGCTGACTTACGAGAATAATCACCCTGTTGTTTCACTTCAGATTAGAACCATTGTCCGCAGAGCCTCAAGTGGCCTTCTCGAGCTGACGTACTGCCCAGGCTTGTTCATTCTCGTCTCAAATCGTATGTACGGATAATTCAAGTCGATTATCGAGGCTGCAAGTGAACGTCGTGTCCTTGTCAAGGACAACTCTACGCAGCGTACGCTTTGTGGCTCCCTCTGGTGTTGGCGTGTACCTTTCTTCCGTGCCCTTTTCTATCTCAATGGCTTGTTTATTGGAATCAATCTGCCATTTCGATCAAGTGCGCCAACTTACTGTGCTGTCTTCCTCGTAGCAGAAACTCGACAGATAGGAGCGGCATATTCACCAACAGGCCCGAACGCTTCCTTGAGAGATCGTCAATAAGTGAGACCCGTTCAGTCATGCCGACTAAGGACCACCTCTTCCCCTCGGCTGTACAGGTGATGTATCCATGAAAGGGTCTTTACAACAGGCATTTAACCAGATTCATTCAACCGCATGCTGAGCGGCCCTGAGCCCTCAAGATCGGCCAGAGTGATTAATACCTGATACACTCGCTCTAGATGTGGAACGTGGCGGAATCTGTACAATCACGGAAGATCTTCTGATAGTACTGGCTTGTGCAAGCCCGTGGGATACTTATAAGAACCAGCACCGAGCAGCTACACAACAGGCTATCCAACCTGTATTCATTATGCAGTTATTGCTCCCAACCAGCTCAATCAGCTCGAGCTCTGTCTTACTTGGTTATAGCGTTGTATTTCCCGTAGGCGTCTTCGGATCGACCTTTTTATGGCTTCTCTACTGTTCAGGCAACGCTGCATTGGTTCCTGAATAAGAACCGTACTTAAAGATCTTGTACTGCCAAAGCCTACCTCATGTAGTGAAAGCGGCGTGCCTGTACGCCAAGAAGGGAGGAACACTTCGCAGTGAATGGTGTAGCAGTATTCGAACATAGGCTCAATTCTTGGTTTAAGGTGAGATGAGGCAATTGAGATTGTAATGGGGTACTTTCAAGGTTTATAACTCGCATCTGACCTTTAAACAAACCAGGGTTTCCAGGGGGGGTACGGCTCTGTATAGAGATTATTGTAACTTCAGGGCCACCAATTCAGTCACCTCTGGGGATGGTTTCGCCATGTTCTGAAAAGTTGGAGGTTATCTAGTATATTGAAATCCATGGTGCAATTCTACCGCTCGTTTCAGTAGTGGGAACATTTTCAGTCATCAATGGAGGACCTCACTCCCTTACCTCCAATGGGACTCGGACTTACCACCCTTCGTCCAATATTAACTTCATGTATATTTGGCGCCACTGCCGATAAAGTCCCAGGTTATTAATATTTACTTTTGGTATGCGACCAAGCGAGCATATATCCCGGCGGGTGGTATGTAACTGGCCTTTTAACTAGTTAATTCCAAACTCCTAGATAACTGGGCACCAGTTCAGTGGAGTTTCCAGGACAACCGCGTCATGGCTCTGTTAGGAGATTCCTATAAATAAAGCGTAATGAAGAAGACCCTCTTCTTTTCCACTTGATCACTTGAGAACGGCGAAGTGCTTACATACACTTCAATCGATACGTGACAACGAATGCTTTGTGAGAACCCCGGGTGCAGCAACCAAGAAAGAAGGAGAGAAAGAAGAGAGAGGCCGATCATGTTGATAGGAACCTCTTCCAATATAAATACATAGGAGAGCTCCACAAGTAACTAATCTGCCTATGGTAAAGCAACGCACACGCAGAACTACTTCCACCATGACGTGTGTTGCAACTCCGGTCCGATCTAGACTCAGGTGACAGGTGATACAGCCTATTGTTCTCCGAATCACATCAGCTTCGTGTCTTGGAACTGATCCGCAGCGACCATCTCCCTAGCAACCTTCCTTAAATGCTTTCCTATGGTGGGATCCGTGTACCACTGTCTTCCCGATGCCAACCAGACCCTTCTCATGCAGGCCTTTTAAAATGAGTCGTCTAAGAGTATGTGACAACTTTCTTGGATATCCACAGTCACTCCATATCACACCGTTGATGATGTGGGAAAGAGACACGTCACGGATCATTGACTGTTGTTAGCAGATTTGCACGGATTCAACGCAAATTCCCCTCTGACTGGAGGGGTATATTGTGGTTTCCAGCGTGGACAACACATGCATTGGTGAAGGTTCGTAGCATTGTATTTGCGAATGAGGTTCAGGCAGTGTCTTCCTCGTCAGCCATTATATTGGCGACTTGTCATCCTCGGCTTGGGAGTAGAGCTGTCCAAGCGTCATAATCCTCCTTCTGGCAGAGGCAACAGTTCAAGCCGGCCATAGCACCCTTTAGCGCCAGGGAGCCCCACGATATAACAGCTCCGGACAGCCATATTTGTTGAATCCGCCGCAGAAACCGCCCGGTGATCCAAGGGCGGAATCTGATCTTTCGTGGAATTTCAATTTTAATAGTCCTCGGCAGAAAGTGTGAATGCATAACCTTCAGCTGGTGGGCCCAGACAGTATTTGGTATATTCTCATCAGCAGCCCCATACCGTAACTGGTACTTTCGGTGCAAGCAGCCCGTCTTCCAAGATTCAGAGTTCATTTGTGGATTTATGGAGCTGATTGTCGAGTTTCGATGTCAAATTTGACAAAGTATGGACTTCCAATGGTTTCGTGGAGTGAGATGTTACACGTCATTAACCTCTTGAAAAAGCAGAGACGTCCTCTTAGTCATTTCTCTAAAGCTTAACCTTCCTCTGGGTTTTCCGGCCGAGTTTCCTGTGGAGAATACTGTTGAGAAGGGTTGGAATTTATGCCAACGGAGGTTTGTGACAAGAAACCTTCTTCTTGTATCAGCCACCAACCACCAAGTGCAGAAGAGCCTGAAATTCCTCGGTGGGGTTTCAGTGGTCTGACTGGCCGAAATTGGATCGCACCTTGCCTATGATCTGTGTACATCTTCAACATGTGCCTTGACATTTGTTCTGAAATTTGCAGCTATCTGCTATATCCTCCGGATGTGAAGCATAAAGTCACTTCATAACTTCTCTGTATGCATCTTGCGATCCCTGTGTTCGGGTGTTTGGGCGCGAGCAAGTCTGTTGCATGCGATTATGGTCGGACAGGCACTACGAGGACTTATTTGGATGAGGAACAGAACCTAACTGATGGAGATTCCAATCAATCGAGATCTGTGGTCGCTGTCGTAATTTGAAGTCATCGAGATCGGCGATGAAGGATCGAGTACGGATAGCAGACTGTCAACGAAGAAGAAGAGTGTTATCTATGGTGGAGAGGGTGAATGAGCGACGGGGAAGCAGCACGAAGGATCCGCAGAACGCTTACAAAGCCTCTGAGATGCTTCGACTTCGAGTATCACCTTACTGAATGGTTTTGTGATCACCAGTGCAGACTACTTGATATAATAATATAGACGAGGCTCTTGGAGAATAACAACGCCGCAAGCAGTTGAGATTGGCGAACTCTCACGGTAGACGCCACCCAAAATCATCCCAACCTCTGCTACCTCGTGTGGAAAGACACTATGGCGCATCATATTAGCGCGCTTGCATGTGACTCCCATTGCCTGGCAATACGCCCCCAGCTTCCTAGTATAAGATTCTCGGACTTGAGAAGAAAGTACCCCCTAGAATGCTTGTTTATGGCTTCTGGCTTCTGAAATCTTCTGCATTTATTGTGAACCTGTATCGGGGTCTGGTTCGTCAAAGAAGGAGTACGAAATGCTTAGCACGACATGTATAGCAATGTAAAAGGATAGCTTCAATGGCTTAAGTCAACCTGAAGCACACAACTTTTCGAATTTCTCAAATAGGTGCTTCTTCTTCCTTGTAATGGTTCCAACTCATTTAGCAGAACTGACTGCCCCAAGCCTAGACAACAGGAAAATCTTACATGCCCTGTTATTACACCACCCCCAGCTGTTAGGCGGCGTGAATTTCAGGAAACTTTTTCGCAAAAGTGTTGTTGAATAACAGAGGTGATATCGTGGACGATACCATATAAAGGAAAGGAGGTACTACCAGGGTGGTGGATGTAACGCAGGTCAAGAAACAAGCCTTATCAATATTCAATCATTACTAGCACATGCAAGTCTCCAGCTTCTAACCAGTCACAGCCTCGATCGTGTCGTGTTGAAAGCTATTGAAAGGCGGATATCCAAATCAACTACCGGAATGGATCGTTGATGTGCCGGCTTGATTGTGACTGTAGTTCAGGCTCCACGATTTCCTGGCCGCGAAATATTTACCATTTTCTCTCGATATATCAATTAGCTGGATGAAGAAGCTGTCATTTTGATCGAGGTAGCAAGAATGGCCTAGGCTCTCAAGAATGGAAGCAGATTCTGGGTGAAATCCAGGCACAACCCGGTCCAAATTTCCTGGGACTCATCTGTGTTCAAACTAGAGCAATTTGAAGGGACAAAAGTGTATAAGGGAGATCTAATTGCAGCACATTCATGCAGGGCAGGCACCAGTATACACGTGCGCACGCTCAGTTGGGTAGCTTATCTCGCATCGGCTTGGTTTAGACCATTACCGTGGGCAGACCGAACAAAATCAGATATAGCAACGAGAGTATTGGATAAGCAATCGTTGTTTCTAACTACAGTAAATATAGAAAATGGCGGCCACTCGATGAGGGAGCTGGCCTAATACAAGCAGGAGTTTTCAGCTTGCAAAAGCACTAGTACGGTGGCAACAGCCCCATATCCACGAAGATTCACATCAAAAGTATGGAAATTTCTCGACATTCTGAGAGTTCCGCTTATTATGACAGTAGATGTGTAAGTTAAGAGAGTGTTTCGTGTAGGAATACACTGTAACAGCGATCTAAGGTTAAAACCACACCTCAGTCTTTAATTTTCTGAACCTCTACCCCCTTCTACGTCTCCCACATCTCCATTCTTTCAACAAATACAAGTCATTCAACAAGAATTCCTTCGACTGCGGGTTTTGACTGTAAGTGCGTTAATGGTACGCTATCTCTTATCATGTCGAAGAATATGATATTCTCAAGGCTATGAGGAGAGGGTTAAATAATCCTGAGGTATGAGGTAAGGCAATAACGAGAGAAACGATAGCAAAGGGTCGATCGCATGGGGGCCAGCGATGAGGGGGTGGGAGGACACGACCACAGTAAGGTAAAGTAGCTAGTTGTAAACGTAAATGCCCTCGAGGCGAGGCCTCAGGCCTCCAGTCGAGGATGCTACCAATATCTATGATTATTGAGGGTTTCCAATATTGTATTTTGCATAGCATAAGATCATGATTATAGAAACACTTTCCATAAGGATAGTAGAAACTTGCTCTATAACCATGGTCTTTTGTGTACTTTGGGGGTGGTAAATCTCGTCTTTAATCATGGAGTAAATCTCCATGCTTATATACACCGTTACCGCCGTACCGAGAAAGACAAAGAAACTTCACAAAGCAAGGGAAAGAAAACAGCCCTAATAGCAAAGCCTCGTCAAGAAATGCAATATAAATCATCTTATAGGCTCCGGTGGCACCATCTTCTTTGTACATGCCAGGCCGAGCCCTCTTTGCAGATCTACTGGCTTGGTAGCTGTGATTGAGCATCAACAGAGACTGGCTCTGTAAATTCCCAAAGACAATGCAATCCCGTACTGTCCACTCAAACCCAGCTGACCACCGAAACACAGGTAGAGCACCACAGAGAGCCTGAATTGCACTTGCCGGAAGCCGCCAACGACATCCCACTAGTGTTGCTAAGCTGCTTTGTGTTTGCAGTTAATTGTTAACAGACAGGAAATTTCAATTGCCGTGAGACTTGCTCATAGCCTACTGTAAAGGAATTTGAGCTTCACCGATGTTGGAACAGAGAATTGTGTGCGCCAGGTGCCTCGTGATTACATCGTGAACAATTCAAGACCGAAGTCAACCAGACTGGATTGAGCACGGCACCATTATGTACAGATTTGCACTTGACTGTTGAAATCATGGAAGGTTTGTGTGGCTTTTCTATTCTCATCCATCTGAAATTTCTACACCAAAACTAATGGCATAAGCACGGCCACTCAAAAACCGAGAAGTGTACGGCAGCAACATAAGAGATATTGAAAGGAAAGTATGGTACGAGCCAGACATTTTGCAGTGTTGAAGAATAAGGGGTGCGATCTGGTTGAAGCCAGCAAACGAAAACGGACTGGCAAGATTAAATCGGCAACAACAGGTGCTGAATATGGCAAATATCAAGGGATCTTGACAAAATTTGATTGGCCCTGTTCAGGCAACAAACCTACCTGGAATTTCTCCTAAATCACATAAACATCCACCTCTCTGGTCGACTTGATAGAACAAAGCATGAATTTGACTTTTTGACCACCTAGCAGCTGATTCAACAGTGCCGCATGTAAATAATCTACCGTTACAAGCCATAAGCCATGCGAGAGAAGGACACAACCTTACCGATGAAAAGAAGAAATACGGCGATGTTCCCCTACACCGAGCTGAATTATGCGAGCCCCCCAAGTACTTGTGCACAACCTAGAAACCGGGACAATTCTACAGCAGAAGGAGCCCATCATCCACATGCTTTTGAAGTTTGATTTTTATTTGACGAAAAACATGAAAGAGAACACGCGCGCAAGGAAGAACCAACGTGATTGGCAATAAATACTGGATCGCCATTTCCATTGAGTTGTCCATTCTCAAAGAACCAACTCTCCATTTTGCGACCACCCATGCACACAGATTTTGCTCGCGATAGTTCGTAGGTAAGGACTCATCGCAAAGAATTCGCACCACATAGACGATCGTTCGGAAACATTTTGGCCCTCGGGAAGACGCTTTATGCACCCAGGCTTGGGAAGGCACTGGTGTCATTGGTGTTGATGGGTGCTCGAGCAGGGCCACCACGACCCCCTCTTGAAGGGCCGTCACCACGTCCACCGCGTCCTCCTCGGCCTTCGCCACGTCCACCTCGGAATTCACCTCGTCCACCACGGGATGGTCCGCCACGGAATCCGCCCCCACGTCCGCTGCGCTGGTCGGGGGCTTCGACAAAGCGTTGATCGAGCTCGATGGTCTGCTTCTGCTTGCGCTCACGCTCACGCTTGGCCTTTCCAGCGGCAGCAGCAACGAAGTCCTCTTCATCCTCCTTCGCAATTGCCTTGGCATTTGCCCACTTCTTGTCCTGCTTGCTGCCCTCGTTTGGCTTACGAGCTTCAGGGATACCAGCACCGAGTGCGAGCTTCTTCTCGGCAAGGTCAGCCAAGTAATCTTCGTAGCTCTTGTGGTTGTCCTCTGGCTCAGCCTCCGCTTCGGCAACAGTACTGTCAGTTGGAGCAGCATCACCACCGAGAGCCTCCTTGGCTTCGGCGTTGGCGATAGCTTCGCCAGCTTGCTCGTCAGCAAGCTCAGCTCCGCCTTTGTTAGCTCCCCAGCCATGGCCAGCTTGCTTCTCAAACTCGCTGTCAATTATGTAAGTGAATACTCCTTATAGGCCATGGCTAGCGAAGCGGAATTCTTACCCCCCTACGGTTCTGCTGTGACGATCCATATTACCACCACGGGCGCCACCGCGGCGGGCTCCTCCACGTCCATCATAAGTGCCTTGAGCACGAGCTGGTCGATCTTGTCGGCCGTCCTCTGTAGGCTTTGTTCGGTTGTTGGCACTGCCAGCATTGCGGTCACGGAAAGCTAGATAATGTTGTCAGAAACAGATGTCCATTTGCGCACGTCCATATAAGCATTCAGCTTGTAACAGGGTGCGCATAATATAGACTGACCTCCTTCGTTGCCGTTGAATCCTCCACGACGACCACCGCGACCATCAGTTGCTGCTGGAGCTTTGGAAGCCGGGGCCTCAGCTGGAGCATTGCGCTTGGTGGTTCTCGCAGGAGTCTTGTCAATGACTTTCACTGGTGGCTCGGGTTCCTTGTCGGAGTCTTCATCGTGGTTATTGCCTGTTTGTCACTTTCATCAGTCGCGTGGTCCCTAGGCACGGCGTTAACTGGAGATGGGTTTTTAGCATACCGAGAAGCTCGTAGAGATTCTACATTCAAAAGAGTTAGCTGGGATGTCTCAATGACTGTGGTATATCGGCTGCGAGGTGTCTGAACAGGGTCTCTTGATGCTTTGGATGCTGTGGGACAATCACGCATGGGAATGGAAGCTCACTTTTGATGCAACTGCCGACATCTTGTCCGCCAAATCGAGCGCCTCCGAAGAAGGCCGTGCTATCGAGGGAACAACTCGGAGAGACTATGCCGGAAGATCGAGATGGACAGGTTCCTATGTGCTAGGAAGCTGTCTCTCGAGAAGTTGTGGGTGAGTGGGCTGCTTGGAGAGGAGAGGAGAGGTTTGTCCTGTCGACAATTCTGAGGTTGAAACTAAAATTGTCCTTCGCTATGGGACTAAGGACCCAATCAGGCTTAGTGCAATTTTCTTCTTAGGGCTTTCCTTTTCGCCTAATTCATCAGGGCTACTTTCACTTTTGCAAATTCGAGATCTTCAGCCTCTGCTACGAATAGACCTTCTTGAAGGGACATAGACTATGGCAGTGGTGCCATCAAAGGTCTGAATTATTTACAAGAAGCTATTGGCCTGTAAAAGAGATGGCTATAGTCCGAAATGGCCGCCCAAACCTACGATGGACCACAAAATGCAACTGTGCAAACGCCACTTCATTGTGGGGTACATGAAATACTTGTGAGGACTACCCTGAATCCGAATGGTAGTAAATTGGGGCGCGCATAAAGAAACAGTGGCAAGGTAATGCAATTCATAGGTAGCTGAGTGTATGCCTTATGAAACCACCATCGGCTGGCAACCTTGAGAAGGCGAGGTCCTGGGGCAGCCTCGGCTAGTGGAGAAGACAGACAGCCAAGGAGGAGGTACTTTTGGTTTCGGAGGCAACAGCCCCTCTAACAATGCCCCTGATGAAATCATAGAAACTTTTGTTGCGTGTACCCAACCTCCCACTGTGTCTCACTCGCAAATCAGTGCAATAGTCATGGCGAAGGCTCTCAAACTCTGCCATTCTCACATTCTCACATTGCAACATAACCTGTCAGAGACATACAGAAAGCATGGAAGTTGATTCGGATTGTCTCTTGAATTAAGAGTTTAGTACAAAATGTAATTCTCTACCCTGCTAGATATTATAAGTTGATACAAGGGAGGCACAAGTAAGTCTTGACCTATTTCATTCAATGTCCATGTCAAAGTAAGACAATGAACGAGACAATGTTTTCCAATTGACAAAACTGGATGAAGCCTCGCTTGGACGCTTGCATCCTGGAGCCTGGTGGCCTTGTGAGGCACGCCAGAGCCATTACAGTAGCGTGACGAGTGCCAAGACTTGTTTACACAAACTCTCGCGGAATGTCAACAATGGAACCTGGAGCTCGTGGATCCACTCTACTCTCTTGCAGATAACACAACACGACGCTGCACAGCACTGCACTGGACTAAACAACCTTCCCTTGCGCTTGCATTGACGTGGAATTGCTATCGCTCTGAGAACCAGGCATAGCCTCAGAGAGCTCGGTCTTCAACAACCCCCAAAAATGTCTGCTCCGCGCCGACGTTCGTCCAGGCTTCGGCCACCAAAGGTAGGTACATAAATCCCCGTGTCTGAGTGCATTCGTTATTCAAATACATCGCCGCTGATATTGGTTCTCTGCAGGCGCTGAACAATGCTTCCGACCACCTCGAATCCCTCGCGGAGCGTAACGAGACACCAGTCTCAGGCTCTCAATCGAATCTGGTTGCTGTTGCCTCTTCCCCCCTCCCACCTCGCACTCCAGCTACAGCTGGTCGAATTAAGCCACCTCTGTCAGAGATGCACCCCAGCAAGGCTCACCAAAGTACGACCCAGGAACCCGACTCTGGGCTGCGGCTGGGTTTCACCGATATAGACACAGGAAACAAAACCAACCAACCTTCAGGCCTTACCCAACAAACCCCTACAAAAGCCGGCATATCATCCCCAGCTTTTGACTTTAGGTTTGCTCGTCCTGGCCCCCAACTTGGCCCCGAAGCTCAGCGGATGATGGATGAACTACGTGAAGAGGCTCTTCGGATCAAGGCTAAGCTGGCTGCTGCGCGAGAAGAAGAAAAGCGCAAGGAAGTCGGGTCTGATGGAGGAACAATCAGAGGACGAAAGTTCGCACAACCAAAGGGAAAAGCTGGCAGGTTCAGTGATGCCCACATGGCAGAATTCAGAAAAATGGACTCGATCGCGGGACACCCTTCTTCTTTCCGAGCCCACCCAGGGCGCGGGCGCACCACCCCAGTTTCGAATAGCCTCAAGAGAACGCAGTCGAAGGCACAATTGGACAACTGGGAGCAAGTCCATAAGAAGAACGAGCAGGTCACCGAGAATGTGAGCCACAGCGAGCAACTGGAGAGCATGGCACCTTTCAAACGGGCTCGGAAGCATGTCTCAGAAGATACTTCGACTGCTCGGCCAGTCTCTCGGAGTGACAGCAAGGCCGTAGTATCTACTCCAACCGTCTTACGCTCTCAGTCAAGTATAATTACGACTGTAACAACACCGACACGAACTTCCTCAGTTCAGGTTGCAAGTACGAAGAAAACACATCTTCCAACTATTTCCAGATCGCCATCCAAGCCGAACTTGTCGATTGCTGGCATGCCTCGTGCCTTAACCAACTCCGCAACCACCATCAACTACAGCAGCATTGCGAGATCCGATACCCAGAGCTCGATACGCAGTCCCGGCAAGTTTGATCGTGTCAAGTCCATTCTCCGACATCCAAGCTTTGGTGCTAGAAAGCCAATTACAAAGTCGTCATCGATTCCTTCCTTGACGAGAAGCCCTAGTCGGCCCAATCTTGAAAAGCCACTTCCTTCAATTCCTTCCACCCCCGGTGTTAATGTTGGTAAGACCGCCAGGCATCTGACTTTCACTCTGGATACTGTGCACAAGGACTCTGCTCTGGTACCGCACTCTCCATCACCAATAAAATCAGGCATTCCCCGTTCAGCTTCAAAGGTCAACTTTGATTCAAGACGCCAAATTAAACCAACCAGTGGAGCCAAGTCAGATGCGACGGAGATTGAGTATCCTTCGATTGCCTGTTTGCCCAAGCTTGGAGAGTCCTCTAACACAGTCGAGTATCCCTCTCTCGCCGGTGTTCGTCCACACCCCGAGCCACCACGCCAAGTTGAACCGCCATCAGTTCCTGGCACATTCACATTCCGCAGCGACCATACCATTCGTTTTGAATCATCTCCAAAGGATTTCGGATCTTCTCCAGGCCAGGCCAGTCTTCGACAGGTCCGCCCCAGTGTCCTTCCCAATGTCATGCCTGGCTCACTCCCCAGTGGTGATAAAGAGAATGCCGCACCAATTCCTTCTGTTCCTCATGGCATGGCCAACAAGAAGCGCCGTCGGGTCGAATCGGACGATGAAGCTGAAGACGAGATCGACCGGTCCCCCAAGAAGACCAAGACTGTTGCGGAAGGTCACATGCTCCTTGCACCCAAGCTCCAGACAACAGCTAAAACCAAGACTCCAAGCCCCGTTAAAAAAAAGGGTGTTTTGAGTCTTAGTCGTCTGAACATGCTTGCTCGACCAAAAATGCGCAAGTAAGTACCACATTACCGATGAATTGACTCGTCGATCGTGCCTGGCAGGATGGCGCCTCTTTGACTTTATACTGGTGTTAGGCGGCTGCTGTACAACACTTTACATTGCTTTGATGTTGCACATTAGGTGAGAACACTTGGCCCGTGAAAGGGGGTTTGATGGTTTGATGTTTTTATCTCCCTTTCTTTGCCATTGCATACTGCCACCGTGGACATACGAACACTTTCTATGGCAGAACACTTTCTGTTCCTGTATAAAGTGACAGTTTATCTTCTTCTATTTGTGTTTGAGTACTCATGGAAGTAGCTCCTTCCTCTGTGACTGGAGGAAGTGGCGAGGGGTAAATAAAAGCATTCTGATACCTACTACCTTCGCCCTTTCCTTTTGTTGTTGTTGTTGTTGTTATTGTTGTTGGGTAAAACATAATGTAGGTAACAGCCGCAGAATCGCAGAAGTTCATCGCATCACAACATCACACCTACCACATTTTCAGATGAAGCTCCCCGGGCTGAGACTATATTTTACAGCATTTAGGCATTACACTTGTTTTCGGTCACGCTCGTTTTCAGCTCCAGGCACAACAGTGCAGAGATCAACTATATTCTTAGTCTTTCGTTCTTGTAAACGACTTCTTGACGTTCTGAGAGACCCTGATGCCTACCTCGACTCTTTAACAGCACCCGCACAATGCCAGAGAGCACAAACCGGCCCACTGTATCGTCACCCAGATTCAACCAGTGCGGACCCATTGATCCTCATCCTGCCTACATTTGTACGATTTGCTGGCAGCGTCAGGCACGCGGATCACAATGCAAATTACTTGGTTCATCGGCACGAATCGTCTGCAAACCCTGCTGGCGTACGGTCTTGGATTTGAGCATATGCTGGGTGTGTGGGGAATGTATTGTGAGGGGTGACGAGGTGGTAAGCTTGGGTTGGTGTTTCTGGCACCGTGGGTGTTTTGGCTGCTTGATTTGTGGCACAAGATTGGACGTTCCAGCTACGGTTGCAAGCAGCATAGGCAACGAGAGTGAAGAAAGAGGAACAAACAACACAGAAGATTGGGGCCGACGGGATGGCGATGGGAGTTTCGCGGCAGAGAAACAAGGGAGGAGATTCATCGGGGTCGAATTGGAGGAGATCCCGTTATGTAATGTCTGCGAAATTGAAGCTGCAGGAGAGAGCACCGATCGTGTATTACAGAAGGGTCTTGAGACTGTGACCAGGCTCGATGGCGGATTAAGCTGCAACAGATTGGACATGTTGTCTGAGGCCAAGATCCCTAGGATCAAAAGTAATGCAGTTCGGACTGAGGAGAGCTCGAGAAGCTCTCTTTGCCGGTCACATTGTCATGTGAGTGATGATAAAAATCTGTTGTGCAAGGGGCTAAGAGACATCTAGAACATTGATCCTGCCAATGGAGAGGATATGTCATCGTTATTGGAAAACGCTGCTGAAATGGGGATATCGGACAATAGCTGTATAGATGGCTCTAGCTCACACGACGATGGTGAGTTGTATGACTTAGAATCTACCCAGACCTTTCCAGACGAAGAAAAAGCTGGCCGTGTTGTCTACGTCTCAGTCTTGGACCCCGTCAGCGAGCCTGCATTCAGACCGAGCAAGACCAAACCACTGCCCAAGTGGATGGCCCTGCTTCCAAGCAACGTCCACAGAGAACACGATAGAAGGTCAGAGTTTGTCGCAGAATCCACACGACAATCACTCGAAATGGAACAAATGAGCGGGTTGTACGGTTGCGGCAGTAATGGTTTAGATGATATCGATGCCGATATGCCTGTTCCCGGATCATGGGCAGCAGCTGCAACAAGAAACGGCAAGCAGCAGGAAGCAAACTATAAAACTTCCGAGGTTACTCTGATTCAAGAACCACCGACTACTGCGTCTGACCCCAAACCGAAGGGAGACGCCGTAGTGTTTCCCTCCCAGATTGTCGATTTGGATATCTCAACAGCAGAAATAAGCTCTTACTATCCGACATCTCAACCACAAAAACCATATCTACGAAGTCCAAGTTCGTCTCCAAGTCGTCCATCTGTAGCTCGGGATGAAGCAAGTCGAGCTTTCTCGGACAGACGGAGCGCCGTTGTCGTTGATAAATCCATGAGTGAGTCTTGCTGTACCCTAAAATCCCAACGAACGGCATCTGGTTCCTATCAGGCGATCCATCCCATCGAGAGCGCCTCCAGCACTCCGGACATGGGGTTCGAATTCTCACCCCCATCTCGGTCTTCTGAGTACCAGAAAAGATACCACCCAAATACATCTGTCGACACAAGGTGTGGGAACTATGTTACTGGCGAAGTGGAGCATATCTTACAGAAGATCAAGAGACAAAAGACCGTGTTTAGGGACAACGAGGAAGACAAGGAGGAAAGTACCGACGATAAGGGCAAAGGTAAAGGAAAGGAGCTTCCCAACTGGGATTTCGGACTTGATCCTAGGCGAGAGGACTTGAATAAGGAGTTGAGAAATCTGTTTTGTGAGGAATAAATTAGTGATGTGACGCTTGGCAGTGGTAAGATGAGACTGAGCATAGAGATATGTGTGTATTGGCCTTCAGATTGAACAATCCAACTGGACCTATGTACTGGTAGGGCCCATGAGCTTCTCATCCGAGAAATGCACTGTACAAAAAATACAGTCACATCCAGTGATCGCATTTTTACCCGCGGGCTTGAGACTGCAGATTCTGAATCATTAATTAATCGCCCTTTTGTTGTTGGTGCTTGTTGTTTGGTTTCGATCAAATAGCCGAAACGATGGGTTCGTGCAATGGCACAGTCCGAACATTCAATACAGAGCTCTATACGCGCTTACATCTAAGGTACTGTGAATAGATTCTAAGGCTTGCATTCAGAAAGCGAATTACATGTCTGATAAGCCTATTTAAACAAGACATGGGAAACCACCCTTCCGAGTTCGTTTTCGGCGAACTCATTATCCGTGAATTCACCCCACAGCGCGATTGGTCACCTGCACCTTGGCACAAAGATGTTGACTTCGAACCAAGATGGAACCTCAACACCACGACAGAGTGCGAAGCAACCGCGCCTACGCCTGCGCCTAAATATCATGGCGCCTGCCTCAGATCATGATGTTGTGGAGAGTAAGACCATCCGATGTCTTCGGCACGGACAGAATTATTAAGAACGTGCAGAGCAGGTCAAGGAAGCAATCCAGGATCTGTACCAGATCATGGTCCAGACGAACGCGTATGACCTGACGAGTCGCCCTTCGAATCAAGTTCTTGAAGCTGCATTGTAAGCAAGCGTTCAATGTTCCCGCTTCAGCCATAATTATGTCACGATTGGATTTGTGCAGAGGTGGCGCCCTAGCTGACTCCCCCCTCCACCAGTAAACAACTCGACAGCCAGCTCCTCAAACTCCACAACACGGCCTCACACGCGATAAACCTTCCTTCCATACCTCCCGAACTCATCCAATACGTCGATAATGGCCGGAATCCTGATATCTATACCCGCGAATTTGTGGAGCTGGCACGCAAGGGCAATCAATTGATGAAGGGCAAGATGGATGCCTTTTCTAGCTTCCGTGATGTTTTGGCTTGTGAGATGGGAGATACGATGCCGGAGATTAGAGACGATGTTGTGAAGGTTGTGCTGGCTACCGGCGGGAAGGATGAGGTTGTGGAGAGGGAGAAAGGTGAAGGTGAGCGTCAGTGATGGATGGAAATCGATACATCGATGGCGTTATGGATCTGGTCGGATGGTTCAAGGGCTGGCAAGCCCGGAGGCAATGCGTAAGCGTCTGAACTATTCGCTGAAGAGAAATGCAAAGGGCGCAGATTATTCCTTGGAACATATGTCTAAATAGGGAGCGCTTATTAGGCAAGTCATTACAGCTCATTCCCACCACAACGTCCCCTAGTAAATCCAACACAGCCACACAAGTCCTTGCCCTCCAAAGTATATGGCATATTGCCTATGAACAATATATTGAACTGGTTTGTTAGAGGCGTGCACCAATGGTTTTGGCTCACTAATCCATGGTGCGTGGCAAGTGGGAACAAGGGACATACCAGCTTGCTTGCACCAAAAAGCGGATACACACCTCATTCATCTCGACAAAACTTTCCACCTCTCGAAGTACGATGTCAACTCCACAACCTTCTCCGAGAGAAGAATCGTCAGTACTGCAGCCAAGTTCTTTTGTGCCCGTTCCTGGCTCTCATTAGCGTTGCTGTACTTGTACCTCGGGCAGTGGCACTGCAGTCGTCATGTCAGAGAGCTCTTCCTGTTTGGTGCTCGATGCCTCGAGCTACTATGTTGGATGCGCCGGTGTCTGTGTGGATGCTTCTGGAGCAGAGTATGAAGACGTTCGTTTCCTAGAAGATAGTTGTACTGCTACAACGACATTGCAAAGCAACGATATCGCAAAGTATGAAGAATTTTGTCTAACCAATCTTGAAGCGCAGACACTCTTCTAAAATTCTGGGGCAAAAAGGACACCAACATTGACGTATTTCTTTTCTCTTTAACCAAAGAAAAAGGGCGAAGAAAAAACCTCACAGCAATCCGCGCGTATGCCAACAAAGGAGAGGACTTAGCGTGTTCGTTTTGACAGAACGTTCATGTTGTCATGGGGGACAGTCATTGCACAAGGTCAAGTCCATTTCATTGCACGAGATCATATTCGGAAGACATTCTCACATTTATTCTAATGGATATGTATATTATCCTTCCATTTATCAGATGTCCTAGGTTATACACGAAGTTTATCCACGCCGAATGGCAGGGCTGGGTGCCTAGCTCTTTTTATTGAGAAAGCAATACCTTGGCGGGCGTTGCGATGCTCAGATTTCGCGAGAATGCTTGCAGCCAGCGTGACCATCCACACATTTGCCGCCGTCCGCACTACCTCAAATTCGCATCTAACCTAATGCTCTGTGGAGAACTGGGAACCTGAAGTCTACGTATACACTCTTGGAAACACTTTGGTTCATATAGCTTCAGTGCAGCAAGACTTGATTTCCAATGAAGAAGTACCGCTGCGGGATCTGGACCAATTGTGCCACTTTGCTCCCTTCCAGCAGGCTCAAGTACTCGTGGGCGAGAATGTACCCAGAGACTCTGGTATAAGGCATGCTTGCCATATGTTCCAATTTCCAGGCCGGGACAAGAATATCAAGTGCTCCTAGACACGCACGCAGTGAACAAGTCCCGACACCAGCTCTCAAACTACCTAGCTGCCCACCTTCCTCTCCGACGCCAGTCGATTTCCGTGCTGATGATTGCATTTCAATTTCCACTTTCCTTTTCGCTACCACCAAATATTTGGAGATCATGTTCTGGCTGCGCAGAACCATTGAAAAGTTGCCCCATTCGCTACTGTTGTTACGAATTCAATCACGATCTGCGTCATTCTGCCGAGCATCTCCATCGACTAATTTCTTTTCCGCTTCTTCACCCAGCACTTGCTCATCAATAACAGGTGCTTGTGTTGTAATAACCAGCATCGTATGCGCCTCTGCCAGATATGAAGTCCCCTGGGCAGGATGGGCCAAGCCGTCCGGATACACGGAATTCTGGCAATCGCTATGTGGAAGCGTGGAGGAGATTGGATTACCGTCGTATGCGACGTTGTTGTCACCAAGTGGATGCGCGTGGGACAGTAGAAGTCGCCCTTCTTGGAGCGATACTATGAAACTGGGTTCGATTGTGAATTTGGGACGCGAGTTGGCTGGGCATAGCTAGCATCCTGTCAAAAGAAGGGCGAGAATTTCGAACTTTCTGTGACATATCCTTTCTGTCCATGGGAAGTGTGGTATCAAGATGCGGTCCTGATACCACTAGACCCTTTAGCAAATCCCGTCAGTGAGACCTAATACTTGTTGGTAGTGGCAAGTGGCCCAGTATTGAAAAAATGGATGCTGTAAAGAATATCACTTCCAGATTGAAAACTTACTTAAGAACCACAAGCCGCTCATTGCATCTAACAAATCTGGCACTATTTAGATCTCGCAGCACGACAATAGCATTTAGAGCATCAAAATGCAGGCTGTCAGGTCAACGGTTTCTACTTTTGCTTACCTACATTGCCCTTAGTCAAGTTCCTTGAGGACGCCTTTAAGTGTCTCCGCAACCGCATCTCCAACCTCAACTGTGCTGTTTGACCCTCCGATATCCTTCGTTCTGATGCCCTTTTCAATAACAATTCGAACGGCATCTTCAACGGCCTTGGATTCAACGGGGAGATGGAGAGAGTACTTCAGCATCATGGCGACCGAGAGAATAGTTCCTACGGGATTGACTATGCCTTGGCCAGAAATGTCGGGAGCAGAACCTGAGAATTGTCAATGCTAAATGCGATACTTGGAATACAGCAGTACATACCATGAATTGGCTCATAAATACCATTGCATCGACTCTTACCATCTGGTACCCCGCTCAAACTTGCAGAAGGCAAAAGGCCAATGCTACCTGGAATAACACTCGCCTCGTCACTGATAATATCACCGAAAAGATTGCTGGTCACCACGACACCATTCAGCGCTCTTGGGTTCTTCACCATCAACATCGCTGCACTATCAATGAGGTGATGTCCGATTTGCAGCTGTGGGAACTCGTTGGCCATAACCTCCGTTACAACCTTCCTCCACAGCCGACTTGTCGCCAAAACATTCGCTTTGTCCAAACTCCAAACTGGCAAGGGTGGATCTTCCTGAAGTGCCAAATGGGCTGCCAGTCTGGTGATACGTTCAATCTCCGGGCGGGAGTATGGCTCCGTATCCCAGGCTGTTCCATCCCCGTCGTCCTCCTTCCGGTCACCAAAGTAGATGCCCCCAGTAAGCTCACGGATGATGTTGAAGTTCGTCCCTCGGCAGACTTCGGCCTTGAGAGGAGAGATATCGACCAGAGATTCCGAGGCGAAATTGCATGGTCGAAGGTTGCCATACGTGCCCATCTGCTTGCGGAGAGCAAGAATACCCTGCTCAGGACGCACCTTTCCTGTGCCCCATTTTGGACCACCAATTGCACCTAGGAGGACTGCGTCTGCGGCTTTGGCAGCTTCAAGAGCTTGAGTGGTGAGAGGCACGCCAGTGGCATCGATCGAGCACTGGATATTGTGTGAGATGAGTTTCTCTGAGATTGGAGTGGGGAGATAATGCTACTTACGCCTCCCAGAAGGTGCTCCTGAAAACTGAACTTTCCGGCGCTTGGGCGCTCAGCCTCGATAATCTTGAGGATCTACAGAGAGAAGTTTGTAAGCTCCACCCTTCGTGTACGTTTAGACAAGCCTGCATTCTGGAGAGGAGAATGGAAGGGAAGACGGGGGAGGAAAAGAAAAGAGAAGAGAAGAGAAGAAACAAGGAATACCTTCACAGCTTCGGCGACTACCTATTTGGTCTGTTAGCTTGCCGTGCCATGCCATGCCATAGTCATGCCTCTAATCTCAGTTGGCACGATTGCGCTCACCTCAGGGCCGCAGTGATCTCCTCCGAAGACCACGATATTGTGAGTTGTCATGTTGAGTTGACTTGTGATGAGGGAGAGGGGGAGGAGGAGGGGGAGGGTGAGAATGTAGAGGTATTTCGACGGAGACAAATGAGGTGAAGTTCGGGTTGAGATACGCCAGAATGGAAATTGGAAGGATGAGGTGTAGGCGTTTTCTGTTGTCTGCCCCGCACTTCCGATAACGGAACCAGGAACCAAGGTACTCGTACCTAAGTACGAGGAGGTAATTTAGGTAGGAAGTTAGCGAGTGGAGGTTATAAACTGGGTGGCATAAGTCTGTGCGCTACAGGCTTGAAAACATTAAATATGAGTTTTAACAAAGTCTTAATATTAAATTCAAATTTATTAGTTGGAAGAACTCTCCTTTGACTAATAAGTTCAGTTAGTTATAATACATTTTCTTTAAACTATATATTAGTAGTGAGCTAAAAACGTAAAGTAGAGGATATTATGTTTAAGGTATAGTTCCTCACACAAGTAAGGAAGCCTGTAGCGCACAGACTTATGCCACCTAGTTCGTTAGTCGAGTAGGTAAGGCACCAGGTAACGAAGGAACTTAGGTAAGTGCCGTCGGGTACCTTGGGTATAGGTAAGGTAGTCGGGTAAGTGTTGTTGGTGGGGTCACTGGGGTGGCACCGTGGCACCGTGGCATTGTGGACAGTACGAAAGGTACAGACAGTACTGGGCAGTGGGCACCCGCAAGGGTGGGCGGGCGAGGGCGAGGGCCGAGGGGGGCGCTGTGCTGGTGGTGGTCCGTGCAGTGCCGTGCGGCTACCTCGCTGCCTACCTACGTAGCGAGGCAGCGTACCTTGGTAGGAGAAGGCGGGAATCACTACACAACACACAGGTCGTTGCTTCGCTTCCCCCAGGCAAGGAAAGGAGGAAGGGGAGGAAAGAACTTGAAGCATAGGTAGGTAGTGACGGATATCATTATATATCGCGATGTAGATTATGACCGCGTAGGTAGTTCTTCCTAATTTGCTTGCCAGTGCATGAAGATGCAGCACCGTGGAAATTGTCCATTATATCTACTTAGAAGGGTATCGAGACAAAAAGAAAGAGGCCCTAGGTTGGATAATCCTCCAGCCATATGTGTCGGTCTTACCCTGATACAACCTCGATGAACTCTAGGCGAGGGGCAGCAGAGGCTACCTTCCATATTTGCTGGCCGCGACGCTTGCAGGTGCCGGTAGGGCATGAAGCGGGTGGCCTCCGCCTTTCCATTGTCAGAAGCTTCTTCGATGCTCATCCCATATATCATACTCGTCCAGGCATCATATTGGCCTCATCGGAATGACTTGAAAGACTTGTGTGCTAAAGGAGACAAGCCCACCCTCGAGACTCCTTTGGCTGGCTCGCGAATCCGGCCGCCACGAAGATTTGGAGTCTGAGCACAGAAGGCACATACATAGACCGGGGGAAGACTTCTATGGTCAACGCCCACGCAATCAGCATGGAGCCAATTGTCGCAAGATTCACAGAGAATCATCAAGCCTTCGCTGTCGGAATTTCCACACACGCATCGAGTTGTGCCACTTCTCGTACTCGATGGTGTCGCTCCTCCATCAGGATCGGTGATTGTAGTCGGTGACATGTTGGTGGATGAGCTGTAACTGCCGTATTGCGAGTTGCGACGGGGGGCGGAGTCGGAATAGCGATTCTGCTGTGGATTCCTTGGCTTGACTTGACCCTTCTTACGAGACTTCATGACTTTGCGTAAGGCTTGTGCTGCATCGCCTGAACGGTTATCCTCGTTGATAACGGTTTCCGCCTCGCTTCCCAAACTATCACGCCGAACCGATCTCTGACTTGAAGATTCAGATTGACTGTATCCAGCAGAGCTGCGTCGCTGTACACCATGGGCTCGACTAGAGGCGTCAAATTTCCCAATTTTTGGTGGCTGTTGTTGTGGCAGAGAAAACGATGTATCTCGGCTTGGAACTAGAATTGGCTCATCATCGGAAGAAGACTCGTCATACTGAGAAGACTCCCATTCTTCGCTGCGGACCGACGGACCTCCACGCCCTGTCTGAAGATCGTCTGCCACAAGTATGGTCTCCGTCTTAGCTCTTCCGCTGGCGTCTATAGTGAACTTCACCTCCGTTCGGGTTCGGAGCCGTTCCGCCTCAGGTATAGACATGAGGTTGCTCGAGCGCTGATGCTTAATTGGTGACATTCTGCCTGTGCTGGTACGAGACAAAAGTCGGTCTTGGCATGGGTTTAGTTTGAATCTTGAGGGATAAGGGCAAGCGTACTCTTACCTTGGGGTCGCCTCCCTCGGCTATCACTTATACTCCGTTGTAAACCTGGCCGTGCGGAGCCTTTTACAGGTGAGCTCGCTGTTCCTAGCTCGAATCGGCGCGGTCTGCTACTTTCTCTCGGACCGCGAGACCAACACATCTCCTCCTGATCTCGCATTGACTCCCGAAACTGGTGTTGATATGGTTTGAATTCCAAATGGCTTGTAACGGGACGCGCAGGAGGTAACGGAACATCTTGGAACTCGGAAGGCATAGGAATTGGGTTGTGGCGACCAAATAGCAGACCTGGATCAACACCCCCAAGAGCAGAAGGAGAAAACGGGTCCTCTGAAGCCGACACGTTGCTGAAGTCAAAAGGAGCCATTGTCGACGGTAGAAGTTCTGTCGCTGATGCTGGCAGTTTTGGGGCTAAAGGGCGTTGTCGCTTGATTGTGCTTAGTTCACCTTTGGCTGCAACGTTTGATTTGGAGGTCGGCACATTCATCGTCTCTTGGAAGATCTGGTTGCTTCTTCCCCAGTCAAAGGAGTTGCTCATTCTGTGTGAAGGAGCGTTAAACATTGAAGAATCCTCGGGACTGAAATCGAGGTCCATGCCGCCCATGCTGGCATCTGGCTCCCAAAACGGCCTCGTGCTGGTAAACACTGGAGCTGTTGCTGGGGCCGACATCGGGTAGAAGAACTCCGATGAGCTTGAGGGGAACGACATTAGGCTTTGCTGGTGGGTCGGGGTTTGCGAGGCGCCATAGTGGCTGTCTTGCGACTCATTCTGCATTGTATCCGTGTCCAGTTTCGGGGCCAATTTCCTCGATCCTTTGGGCCTTGTTGCTGGGGGTGTCGCAGTCTGTCCGCTGAAGGCGTCCTCCAGGCGTTTCCTAGGTTTTCTTGGTGTCACTTGGTTATTGGTAATGTCATCGAAATGGCTTTGCGTAGCAGAGTATGGGCCTGGTGATGAAGGGAGCTGGTTCGGGGGTCCGACGGGTGGCAATGAGAGATTGGGGTTTGGTGATAGATGATGGACGTGGGTTGCAAGTTCAGCAGCAAAATCTCCTTGTGAAAGAGCCCGGTTCTGAAGGGAAGCGGTGGACGGTCTCGGGGTAGACGTTTCGACGAAGTGTGGTGGAGCACTTGTCAACCGGCCTGGAGTGGCGTTGAAGACCTGAGTGAAGTTAGCTTTAGAATTCCCATGTTGTTTTGCACTGCAATGGGAATCCAGAGAAGCCTCCAAAGAAAGTAGTAACAAGTTTAAACAAGTCTCTTAACACAGCGTTATACATCGCCGAGGCGACTATAGAGCTTCTCCAAAGATAATAGTAGCGTTCAAAGCTCATAACAGAGGTCCAAAAATAGCTCACAGAGTATTCTTCGGCAAATGTTGGAGTCCATCCACCTCTGAGCTCAGAATTCGAGCTATTCCTTGGAGTCTGAAAAGCGGTTGGACTTGGGAATTGGCCAGACGTTGGGGTTTGTGTGGGTGTAGGTGGTTGAGCGTTTGGGTTCCCAAAGCTGTAGAACATTAGCAAACGGACAAGCTTCAAAAGATGCTCGCATGCCTGTATGCCTGTTGATCCCAACTCATAGCAAAGTTGACTAGCTAGCTTGCGGTTAAGATCCAAGGCACGAGGAATGCCGCCTGCTCTGTGCAGATGATGTCGGCAGCCTCAATTTCGAGGTGTGCGATCCTCGAATTCTATCAACCAACATCCACCCTCTGGTACACCCAGAATGTTTCCTGCCTTCTACTGAGTCCTCAGTATATATGGAGTGCGTATATTTTGGTCCCACTTGGATTGGCGAGGGATGCGGGAGCGGAAATGAGGTTCGAAGCACTTGAAGATATTCACAGCATGGCAGCTGGAGCAAGGGATGTGATAGAGGTAATATTCGGGCTCTATAAAGTCGGGAGTTAGTCTCTGCATGCAATAGAAGCACAATCCATTGAACTATACCAACAACACTTTGATGCCGTTCCAAAATCGATGTCGGTCTAGGTGTAAGCAGAGGGTGGAGAGCAGTGCAGCGCAGCAACAGGCACAGACGAGGCGGACCAGGATGCTGGACAAGCTGGTCCACGGACGATTATTCCAGGTACAGCTAGTTGGCAATGCGAAGGTAGAAGTACTCAGGCGGCTTCGAGGATTGTTGATGTTGGGGCATACGATCACAGTACAGTGGGATTTGCAACAATTTGCGGAATGGCATGAGGAGTAACGCAGAAAAGTACCAGGGTTGATTGAGGTCGCAGCGGGTCTCGTTAATAGGTACCTTAAGTAGGTAGGTAGGTAGGTACATTACCTCAGGCAAGAGAAGAGAGCAAACGCAACGTAAATCCGGAGCAAAAGCGAAGGGAATCTGCTGGTACTGAGATACAACAATGAAATGAAATGAAATACCCAGGCTCGGCGGGGTCTATCGAGGAATGCTCATTTCATTTCGGGATTGCGTCTGGTCAAAATGCGTAGAGGTAGTGGGAAGACGGCGTGGTTTTGGGCGGAAGCAGTGCAGTGCAGTGCATTGCAGTGAGGGTCTGAGGAGGTCCAGAGGAGGAAGCTGGGGTGGCTTACGCTCGTTAACGAAAGGAGGGCTCAGGACGGCTCAGCAGGGCTCAGGAGGAGGGTTACTTCTTTGAGGTTAGAACACCGAGTTGGACTGTGCCCATGGACATCCAGAAGCTGGAAGCTACAGTAGTAGTAGCCCTGCTGGCCCCTCCAGGCCGCAGTAGAAGACGGCAACCAACCAACCAACCACACATTTGGGAGAACGCTGGCACAAAGGAAACCAAACCAAATGAAGTGAGTGAGGTCCATTGCAGGGAAGAGTGTGTGTAGAGTCCGAGATAACAGACGAACTGCTGTGTGGCAAAGCATGGCTTCTCTCCATCGCCAACCGGATTGTCTTCAGGTTGTAACTTATAATATTGTCAACATCACATTTCGGCTGTTCCGCGCTTCCTGCCGTGCAGTGGGAGGCGAGCGATTTATGCTGCTTAGAAGTACCTTACCTTCTCTTCTATCATGTCATGTCATGTCTCCAAACTTATAAAACGACCGCTCACTGTCCCTTGATTATTTCATCATTCAAACCATCAAATCATCTCATCGTTCCCCGTCCCGGTGTGAGTGATGCGACGGTACCTGCGTCTGCGGGCATGGCCACTTTGCAAGGCACATATCTCTGCTTTGCCAATCTGCAGTACAACTGTTATCCTATGGAGGTCAGCGTCAGCCAGCCCGAAGGACACGAGAGGTAACATGATTAATAGGTGAGGCAACCGGTCCTACTTTCACGTCGGTATTTATGATTGTGACAGATGCAGGGACAGCACAGCACAGCATAGAAGGGCGAGGGAAACTTGAGGCAGGTACAAGAGCCTTGCAATTGGAAGTCCCTGGTTTTCTGGATCACAGATCTCACTGGACCTGCAGGTGCATGTGCATATGCATGTGGTGACACGTCAACAATGGAGTTCCTTGCGTTTCTGAGGTGCTCGAGTAGGTATAATACTAAGTAGGTAGCTATTCCAAAGCACTTCTCTGAGTAACCTTAAAGCACCTAGGCGACCAGTACAGTACTTGTACCCAGAACGTCATTTGTAATCAATTCATTGCCAACTTGGAAGGCCGAGCTGTACTTGACTCGGTAGATTCCCTATACCTCGTCTCTCCATCAATCTCTGTCACAATTCCGTTCCAAATATCCAGCCTCGCCCAGGCTGATGAAGCAAAATTATCTGGAAATTAGCCACTGCCATGTAGTTACTTACATAGATATCTGCAGATGTCCTCCATGGTCCAGGGCTATGGCAACCCACAACTGTCTTGCCCCACAGCAGACAGCGATGGGACGGGTGTTCCAATTCCATTATCCCCTCCCCTCGTCCCCTTCAGATTTCGCCGGAGTCAAACTGCTGCGTTGATCGTGAGTCGCCTGCTAAGCAGAAGGACCGTCGTTTTACCCAAGTTACCAGGCATGGACTTGCCATACAACTTCCCCGTATCCTGCGAAGGCACAAGCTCAACTGCGCAGCTATGGTATCAATGTTAACAATGATACCGCGGTCCCTATGGAAAGGTATTCAGAGTCATCTGTCATGCAGGTAGTCATACGAGGCTGGCGTCAACCACCCCATTTCTGCTTTTCCTCTCCGAGTGAGGACAGGCGTTACAGGAGATCTGAAAGCACTGATGTTGACTGGCGTTCAGCGAACGAACCACCCAATGCACATTGCCACTAGCATTCAAGGACAACCCTGTGCCAGTTCAAATCAAGAGATGCGTTGCTATGGCTGTTTTCTCCAGGTTCATGCACGGAACAGGGATGCACACCACCACCACCACAAACGCCATTCTTTCGGCGAATGGAATGGCTAGTCTCTGGAAGAGGCAAACGGAAGTTGAAGTCGAGCGAAGCTTTCAGCCCCCGATCCATGCGCCAATTCCCAGCCAGGCGAGCCACGCTCCAGGTTCTGTGCTGTACGTCGCTTACTTATCAATTATCGGGTTAGCGGTCAAGGTCAACCACTACTTCGTTGACGCATGAAATATTGCGCTCTTTCAGCCAGTCATTCGTCACCGTCAGTACGTCAAAGACAGCTTCCGCCAGGGCCAAAATATGGGACAGGACTATTGGATTTTGATCCGAGTTTTAATCAAACTTGCATCTAACTACTGTACGTTAACACGGATAGCCGGCCGAAAGGATTCCCGGCGACGTTTACTGTCATCCTGAACTGGCCCTTCGAGACTCGAAATCCCAAGTATACAGGTAACCTTGACCCTAGAGGTACCTTCCGTACCTACCTACCTCAGGTAGTGTGCTAGCCCGACACGTGCTTTGTTCTCACCTGACTCAACCGAAGTCGGCTGGGACTTCACGTCAATCCATGCTTTTTCTCACTCTGGTGAATCGCTGTTGGTCTTTCTGAGCGGCGCGATTACGGAGTATATGAATCAAGGGAGTGTGGGACTGAGTAAACTGTTATACCCAGAGTTGTTGCGTAGGCGATAGTTAAGTTACCGTCTTAGGACTGTCAGTATCTTTCTACGGAGAGGAGGTAATCGTCGCCTATCAATTTTGATTTGACTACTTTAGGACAGTGTACCCGGTCACCTACCCAGTCACCTGGCTGATGAAGGTGGTCTGTTGCGGTACTGATCCCTTCTTTTGCCAGAAAGTTCCTTTCGCACTTTGCTACGGTGACAGATACGGCGCGGATACCGCCGCTTGCCTTATCGATCCTCAATCGTGACAAGTGTATGAGAAGTTGCCGACCGTCTGCAGTCGTGGATCGATTGATAGTCTAGCATCTTTTGAAAGCGAGGAGAATGTTGCTACTTATCCCCGTTGGATTACTGTGTCTCATTGATTTTTGCTCCGAAAGTTAAATGCTCACAGATCCACCCTTCTCAGATGCTGTAGCTAGAAGCGAGACTTGCAAGACTCGGTATCAGAGCGCAAGTGTGAGTGTCAAGTAATGGGTTTTCACTAACTACGTACCCGGGAATGAGCCTGCTATCTTTATCGTAGCCAATGGACCGCCTTCATTGAGGCATGGTATCAAAGCATGTTTTTGCGAAGAGCACCTCATCGCTAATATTGTTGTTGCAATTTGACGAATTATCTGGTGAGAGCACCTCACATACATCTGGATCCATGAAGAGACCACAAGCATCTTCGGACGAGGCAATATCCATGGGTAGGTAGTATTCGTACCCTTGAGATACTCGTGGGACGTGTAATGGAATCGGAGGACTCGAGAATCTGTTTCTCTTTCACTCATCCGTGATTCAGTCAAATACCTGCCACTGGTTCTATAGCTACTGGCCTGAAATCGCTAAATTTCTAGTCGTTGGGCAAACAAGTGTCCTCAATATCTGCTCCAGTACATCATACAACAACGAAGCCAAACCCCAAAGAACCGACTCCCGACTCCGCCTTCAACAATCAAACAGCATCTGGAACTTATAAGTGTCATAGCACATCTCACTCTAAAGTAATCTCAAACGGAGACGGGAAGAGGAAGCTTGAATCAGGTATCCTCAAATGGTTGGTCTGAACCGCATTCACCCCATTCAAACATACGTTCATTCTATCACTGCACCCAACAGCTGCCAATTGAACTGGGTGTTGTGTCTTTCTCCCGCGAAACTCAAAATTTCGAGGACTTTGTTCGTGGGACGCTCACGACCTTTTTCTATCGGTAGGAAAGTGTTGAGTTCAGATTCCGACCTCATTGACAGCTGCCAGTCCGCCCGGCTACCCTGAACGACTCAGCAGACAAACTCTGCTGTAAAATCTCTGCATATTGTGTCAGAGAAGATCCAATCGCCTCCATCTGTATCAAAATTGACGACTTAATCCACTTCCAAGTTACGCCGCACAAACCTTTCTACAGCTTCGCCAAGCCCTCTATCGCAGCACGATCAGGCAAGCACTACTCACCTCTCACATTTCCAACCCCTTCTTCCAGAGCCCTACAGCAGACCACCACAGATCCAAACGCCTCTGTCTTGTCTCACGACATACTCTTACGCTTTCTTCTATCCTTCTAGAACCCACCCGATTCCTATCGTGTTTCAGCATGGTCTCAGTATCCGCCGAGGTCGAGATCCACAATTCCAAACCACAGCAACCCTCTCCCCTGGCCATCCAAACGATTTTGAGACGTGTGTCAAGAGCATCTGGAGACCGGCAAGTCACGCTTCCTTTCTTCAGCTTCTTCGTCCACCATGGTCCGTCATAGGCATGATCTCGAGAGGCATGATCATCCGGGGTTGAAGATCACCGATCAGCAACTGGGAAACAGTTTGTCCGGATCGGTTCACTTCATGAAAACGCGAGAGCCAAGTTGTCGAGAATTCGGGAATATACACTACAAGAAGTATGTGGCGCGAAAGCAAGCAAGAAATTGTAATAGAGATAGTCCATCTTCTCCACATTCTGGTGGTTATTACAGGTACTAACTAGTAAACTCACTATCGAGAGATCTTCCCGCAATCCACATGACAGGAAACTACTCTGCCATGTCTATACAAACCACGTACATATATACCGCGTGAATTGACTAATTAGATGGTAGGTAAAGATGCTTTTCGGGCTTTCCATCCTCTTGCGCGCCCCCCAATGCTTGCATCCGTGCCCCGCAAACACATGTCGTAAAATCATCAGGAAAAATACTGAACTCGCCTGCAGTATAACTTCAACCACGCAACGAACATACACACATAGTATACCCACCCGTAGCTTTTAGCCCTAGCCGAACTGGATATGTTGTCTTGTCGGCATAGGTTGCTCCGTGGCTGACAGCGGTTTCTCCTGGCTCTGTCCCCTTCTAGAATATTTTCATACGAATTTCCTTCCAACCGAGCCCTAACTAGATTTATCTTCTTGAAGAGCGTCCGTCATTTTACCCACCTGCCACATGCCGTTAGTCCATCATTGCGAGGTGATTAGGTCGCTAACCAAAGAAATAGGTTGGTGCTATATCATTGTGGACAGACCGTCCAGGGGACTAATTGGTTTTCGTTGGTGCTGCGATAGCATGCCTGTTGCGGGTGTGTTACTAATGGAAGAATCGTTTCTGGGAGTCATTTGTGGTGTCATAGGTGTCTCATTCTTCGGCTTAGCCATGGTGGAAGCACCCAGCGCCCGAGTGTGACTGCTTTCTCGTCGACGTTTTGGCGCATCCTTGATTTTTGGGTGCGTATGGCACTGTGAATTTGTTAGCAAAAGTCAAGTCTTTAGATGATTGGAAGTTTTCGCGGGACTTACCTTGTAGGCATGTCTGAACCAAGTGGTGCCTTTTTTCTTGCTGCTGACCAGCGCAACCCACTCGTTACAGCTTCCGCACAGACCCTCCCACACATCTGGATTTCCATCCATTCGACGAGTTTCTTGGGGCTCTTGAAATGGGCTTCCGGTTGCAGCGCTGATGCCATGTGTGAAACTCTTATCGTACCAGAATGCGCTGTTCTTCAATACGAGCCATCGTCCTGGCTTGCAAATCCCACACCACCCTTCACGCTTGTTCCCGTGACCTCGCACCCAACGAGGTGTATAGAGATCACCATCGAAGCGAAGTTCTTGCTCGTGTGGGATGAGGTCTGGATCACTTGGGTTCATATCTTCAGGTGGAGGTGGTACCTGCTCTTCGTGCAGCGAGGCATAGAGATCGGGAGGATCGCTCAAGTCGGTGTAGTGGGAGTGTAACGAATGTGGGTCAGCGTTGCTTTGCAGCATGCGGAATAGTCCGTGGGACAGCAACGGCGGTGGTGTCTCGAATTGATGGGCTTCGTGGTAGTTGTGGGATGGAAGAAGCATGCTGTTTCGGTGAAAGCCAGTATTATTTGCCAATATGAACGGGTGTTGCTGTTGCGTTTGTTGTAGGTTGCTAAGATTCAAAGGGAGCTGTGTGTTTGGCAGTGTTGGCGAGGAATGCCGGGAAGACATCCTGGGAGGATGCGGTGTAAAAACCTCATGACCTTGATGATAGACAAAAGGAGAAGGACGCCTGTTTGGCAATGGGGCATAAGATCCAGTCGACCATCTCTTACTGCGGGTACTCTCCATGGTGTATGGTGCTGATCGCATGCTGGGTCTTGGTGAAGGAGAAGCGCGTCCCCGGCTTTGAGTTCGAACAAGCTCAGAACGGTTTTGAGGAGTCATTCTCGGTGATGCGACGGGTGAAAGCTGTGTGGACGACATTAACGAGTTTCTGTTGGATGGTGGCGGGAAATCTGAACTAAATGATGGCGCTTCTGACAACGTCGCAGAGAAATCTTCGTACGAAGGCATTTCTGAAAGTGCTCCTGTGGTCGACATCGTGAAGGACGAGCCAGACATACGGCGAGAGTTGTAGGACTGCTCGAGACTCAGACGGTCACTGTCCATTCCAGGCCCAGGGTATCGTAAATCAAGAATCGGTGCACTCTCATCCGAAGTGTACGTTTGTCCCATATTCATATCTGTATCGAGCCCGTGAAGGTCAAGTCCATCATCACAAGGCTTAGTATGCCAGCCGTCTGAAACTCGAGTCAGATATGGATTGTCATAAGGCCCTGCCCTCTGATTCTCATACTTACTTTCGCCATTGGACGTCGTGGGGTAAAAGTCTTGTTGTACTGTGTACGTCTGCGGTAGTCCATCATTGAGAGGTTGCATAGGCATTGTAGAGGAGTCCCAGGCTGGCAATGACGTATACTCTTCTGGCATGCAATACGAGAATCCGGTCTCATGTATCGTTGCTGGTCGAGGCCTTGTTACGTGCTGTGGTGTTGGTGCTGACCACATTCCAAGCCCAACAGCCTCAGTCTTCATCGACATCTCGTTCGGATTCATAGAACCCGCAGGGAATGAGCGAGGAGGGTGGTCCCTTCTGAACTTGTTGTTAGGGTTGAATTGAAAGGAGGGAGTTTGTATTTGGTGGCGGCTAAAGATGGATGTAAGTAATGCTTCTCATGAGTGGTCCAAAGAGGAAGGGCTCACAGATGCGCCTGGTTGGAGTCCATGACGGAGATCGTCCACTTCTATCGATTAGGCTTCACGGCCGATAAGTAAGGCCTGGATGAGTTGTCGTCAGGTACGATAGACTTATGAAGAGTTATGAAGGCAAAGCATTCGACGACTGACCCACCAGACGGGGGGCCTCGGGGAAAATGTAACTGAATTCATGTAACATACCAGACGTAATATGATCGGAGGATGTGCAACTCAAAATGTTATACTGCTGCTCCCGGATGGTAAGGAATGCGTAGAGTTTTCCGGCGCTCTCTTTGAAACGAAATTGGACAACGATGCCTCGCGCTGAGGATGTGTGGATATGAATTACTGAAATGGTAGGTGGGGTGGCGGCGGAAATGAGTGTGGTTGAGTTGACTATGCAGAAGTATAGAACAAGACTCGTGTGATGATCGGCGCAGCCTGGCTTGAAGTAGATGAGAGCCAGCTCCCAGTTTATAGAGCAAAGAAAAGCGAAATTAAAATATCGGCCGCAAAGGAGTGACTGTCGAATAGAAAGTAAAGAGCAGCGATTGGGAGTACGCGAAAAGGTGGAAGAGGGGCAGTGCAGTGACCCTAGAGTATAAGAGAAAAGAAGTATTCGAAGGTCAGGAAGGCCTGCGGCGACATGCTCCAGTTAACTGGTCAGTCCGGGATCGGGATGTCTTTCTTCACCCCTGCGGGTGTTCTGATACAAGCCAAACTTGCAAGCTTGTATGGTGAAGGCAAGAAGCATGCTTGGCAGAGACACCTTGGCTTGCAGGGCTGCTGGGGTGGGGAGAGCAGGGCAGCAGAGCTGCACAGCGGACGGAGTCAGTTCAGGTGTGAGGGAGCGAGAGTGTGTGCGGTATGGAAATCCGAGGCAAGCTTACCAGGGATGGCTTTCCTGGGCCTCCCAGAAATCGCAACATACAGGCATTGCATGGAACAGAACCTGCGATGTGTTCATCCAGCCAGCAGGAGTACTAGTATCTGGAAGGGGGTGGCTTGTTCTCGTCTCAAGGTAAGGCCACTGCACGAATCTCCAACCTTATCCGGGGTAGGCCAGCTTCGAAGGGCATGCTGAGGGCGATTGTGATGCATCTGGCCGATGCCTGCCAGGCACAGAAGAAGGCACACAAAACCGTTTGTCTTCCACTCTGGGTTGGCAACTTGGCAGACAAGCTTCACGACGGGGGTTCGTAACAAGCACATCGGAGTCTGTGGGACTGACTGATCTTTACTCAGCACCTGGAAACAAAAGGTTGCCCAATGGGACGATTGCGTGTGTCTGTCGCCAGCCATCTGGACGCCAACTAACATCACCCGCAAGGATCATATTCGGTTGCAAGATCTGGCCCGTTTGAGGATCTTCCACGATGTCTGGGGTGTCCCTGGAGCTTGCGACTTGTTGTTCGCTCCATATCAGCCCCGTTAAGAGCGTTAGCGGGAGCGGTCGACGAGTCTTTGAGGAGCTTGCCGGCGGGCAAAACTAACAGCCATCAACAACGGCCAAAGCATTCACAAGCTCCCTGGAAGCCTGGTGGAAGGGAGAATCAACAAAAGGGCAAGATACGACTTCAAGCTCTTCTTGTGATGGGGTTTCAGGTTGTCTTGTAGCTGCGCTGAAGATGTGGTGAGGTTGGTTGTTATTTGTGGAGTTCGGGTTAGGGGCTACTTAAGCGAGTTTGAGGATCCAGTGTGAAACGAGACGACAGGGATTGTTGACCCCTCTATCAGCATCCGGGCCAGCCTCGTCTCGTTTGTGGCGAGCAGAACCAGAAGCCTTGCCTGCCTGCAGACCCGAGCCCGAGTTCCCAAACTCAACGTCGCAGCTGCGTGTTGCTCGGCCAAGATCTGATACGGTTGTCGCGAAGTCATGAGATCAAACCGACATGATGGCAGAATAAGGTATTTCAAATGCTCTCGCAGCGAGACAACACAAGACAGACTGCGCCTCGGCATCGGTGCCAGCACTAGATCCACCAGAACTCAAGAGCGAGCACTAGCCGCGCCTCGTCCGAGTTAGACCGACTGGATGAAGTGACAGGATACAAGAGTTCGGACCGTTGGTCTTGTGTGTGGCCTTCAGCGCGCGGTCCCTGCCCCATAAAGATCGAAATGAGATGAAATTGCCACTCAACCAGAGCTTCTTCTTTCGATCATCCAAAGTGTCGGCAGGACGTTTGCCCTTCTGCCGGTTCCACTCGTGCGGGGGATGCTCGGTGTGCGTCGGGGCTTGTCCATGTCGCCAGCATGGCAGGGAAGAGTGCAGTGCGTAAGGGAAGGAGTTTGCATGAATTTGTTTCTCGATTGGGCTGATTGACTCCTGCCTAATGGTAAGATCTCTGTTCAATATCATTGCTCTTATGAGGATCATGGGTGCCAATCCGGACCCATTCGGCTGTTTTCTGATAAGCAATGTTCCACGCGTCCAGCTCTCTGTGCCATGCCGACGTGACCGAACGCCCAGCACTCAAGGATAGGGCCTCGAGGTCCATCTTATCTTGAATCATGTTTGGCTAATGACGCGATATGTTCAGCCCAGTCCTGCGCCATGTTTCATGCAAACACCGAAAGAAGAAAAGACATGGATTCGCTTTACGAAAACGGCTCCCCTGAGAGCTTGGAATCTATTCTCGAAAGGCAGTGGGGATAGAAGCCCCTCGTCACCTCACGATCCTTAGTAAGCACCTTTGGAGACTTGCGTGAATCATATGTCCTTAGAGATATCATTTCGCGGTCGAGGAATTCCTCAACACCATAAAAGGGGTTCACAAAAGTAGTCGTAGCGCTCGCACATATTTTAATCGTCTAAGCCAAAGTTGGAATTCTACTATTGATGAACTTTGTTTTCCTTGCTCCTTTTAAGTCCTGGATGTTGAGCGGAATCGAAGTCTTGATAATTCCTTCCACACTAATGAGCTCACTCCTTGTTGATCTTCTTCCACATTTCTGCTTCGGCTACAGATATCTTTTCTCCAGCAGTCTGTGCCCATTTTTTGGCTGCATTCCAAACGCCCTCAGGGTCATAGCCGCCTGCATTTCCTGTATCCCGAGTCCCCATACCAGAGAAGTTCGTTGCCTGTTCCGTTTGTTGGGCACGTCTCTGGTCGCTGGTGAGCTCTGATGTATAAACATTTTGGTGATATCCCGGAGGATGCTCTAAACTTCGCCTAAGACTCTCACCAGGAGGAATGGCAACAGGGCAAGGCACTGACGGTATGTTTGCCGCGCTTGTTGATGAACTTGAAGTTTGTGGATCGTATGTCGTTGTCGGCGGAGAATAGGCCATTTGAGGTGGGTATGAGTAAGTGCTGGACGGCGCCGGAGCTTCTGTCTGTTGGGGATGGTAGTTTTCGCCCAGTTTTGGGGGAGGCGGGACAGCACTTTTCTCAAAAGGCGTAGGTATAGCTCCAGGCTGGGGTGCTGGAGGTTCAGAGTCAGTCTTGGCCGTGGGCGTTGGTCGAATGGGTGCATAAAGTGGTTGCGCTGCAGAAGTTGGAGTGGGAAATGCTTTCATGTCTGTTCGAGCTGGGGGGCATGACGTGGATGATACCGAAGCTGTAGTGGTGGCAGAAGCTGGGTTTGGAACAAGAGGTGAGTGTAGAGCCTCCGGATTGACAGTCTGTGGAGTGGTAGCAGTTGGCTTCGATGCTTTGATAGGACTGGAAGTGTAGACCGGGATGCCCGACATGTTGGAGACCGAGAGATCGAATGCTCCAGATTAGCGTTGCTGTTACTGTTTGCTTTGAGGTTGTCGTCGAGGCTGCAGCTGACTATTGACAGGAACGCCGTCCCTTGCCTCACATAAGTCCCTCAAGTACGGGAAGTACATACCTACCTAGGCGAGCCAGGTAGGTATTGTACTGTTTGTGGTTGACATCCACGCCCCTCGCTGCGCCTGACGTCACTGGTCACGTGTAATTTTAACAGGTCTGAGGTGATGCGAAAGGAATGAATGAGTGTCCGCTTGAGAGGCTATCTATGCTCTAAACAGAAGCAGTTGATCACAGCCGTGCCGGAGAGTGGCATTGTTGTTGTATACTGGGCATATTTGCAATGGCGCGAGCTGGTGAGCGAAACGATGCAACGTCCTGGACTCCTGGAGAATCTGCCCCCAAGCTTCTCGATGTTGCAGCTGCACTCTCTTCCACAAACCCCTTCTCATCTTAGTCAATTCAACTTATTTTTCTGCATAGCCTCTCCGTTGCTTCGTTGCTTCCAGTAGCGAGTGCTATGCTTTCGAAGTAATGCACTTCATACTTGTAAAGACTTTGCCCATGCCGAGTACTGCTCGTGCAAGGCTACAATACCTGCGTGTATTACTTGGAAATGGGCGGAAAGTTCCCAGCACTAAAGCAAATGTATGCATCCGGAGCCGTCTGGATCTTGTTTGACAGAACTGCCTATGACTTTGACTCAAATAAACTCCAGAGGGAAGACCAAGAGCTAGAATTTTACGACATGAAAGCGAAGAACACCTCCCAGATTGTCGACATGACATTCTTGGCAGTTACTGACTTTTGGCTAGCTAACAGAAAATTCTTGCTAGCTGAGACGAACTCTGTATAGGCATACATACATGTTTGAAGGCGTTTGAAAGGCAGGAGGGTGGTCCCTGGATTTGCTCTCCGAAGGAAGCAAGTGTGAGGAAATAGCAAAGGGGGCCCGACGAATTTCTAAATCTACAAATAACATGAGGTCGCAGTGAGATTGGGTAAAAATAGCTGATAGCCTTGGATGACGATTAGAGAAGAGCTTCAAGTACTCCCGACCGAGCCATGTAAGCCCTCAACAACCTTGCAAAGCAAGTTTTGCTGGGTGTAAGGAACCAGATGCCGTGATTATTACATTCGATTATCGGACGTTGGAAACCAAGGGAATACAGTACCGAAACATTCCACGCCGTACTGAGCGCCATACCAATGCTACCTTGTTGAAACGAGCACTTGCTGCTTGCTCAATGTATTGTACTCGAAAGTCCCCCATCAACATTGATGGACCTCCATCGGCTAAATTGCGGGACCCTAGATCCGACTTAATATGCACGTCACCGAAGCGCATTCTGAATCGAGCGCGCCAAACATGACAAGGAGCTCCAATTGAGTCTCCAAAAGTGCAGTAATTATTCATACCGGGCCCAGCATGTTTAGGATTTCCAAACACCTGCCCTTCGCTTCTTCCACGACGACCACACAAGCGTGCTCCTACCTATTCGCAGTATGCCTTTTCTCGATATCCTTCCTCGTGTTCCTGAACAGCAGTGTCTCATTCGTCATTACCGATCTCATAGGAGTCAAAGATGGAGTAGGGGACTTGGTTGGAACATTGGGATTCGTGGACGAACTGGTAGCGTATGTTGTTCTGGCAGTGCCATACTTTCCCCGATCGAGTACTTCCATTGCAAGATGTGCCCCGAAAACTTGAATCGTCAGTGATTGCTAATCTCCCAAATGTCGCAGGTTGTTCTGGTGCCCAATTTGGGGGATCGTGTCTGACAGGTTGGGTGTGCGTCTGGTGTGCGTGGCGGGGTATACAATCGTTGGACTGGCTCTCTTCATATTCGTTCAAGCCCGGAATGTTTACCCCCAGCTTCTGCTCGCAAGGGTACTTTTCAGTGTGGGAGGAGCTGCTACGTAAATTATTCAAAGCCTCGGTCGATTCTTGCAACTGATAACCATGATAGTGCTACCATGGTCACCGCCATTCTACCTTCTATGACTGGAAGTAGTCAGGAACCCCACAGTACAGACGGAAACCACGACATCAATCCCACACGGAGATCTGCTATACGGCGTAGCATGTCTGCATCTGTCGATTCCGAAGCTACTATAACTCCCGCAACATACAGCAATAGGTCATCGGCCATAAATGACCATACCATGAGGTCCCCGGAGAAGCCGTCCTCAAGCCCGCCGCGCCTGGCGGGCCTGGTCGGTGTGTTCACAGGATGTGGAGCTCTTGTGGCATTGTCCATATTTCTGCCACTGCCGGCTCAGTTCTCTCGTACGCGAGGAATTACACCGGGCCAGGCGGTCGCGGACAGTTTTTACGTCGTGGGAAGCATATCGCTTGTTGTAGCAGGATTTTGTTACTTCGGACTTCGCGGACTGCAGGGAGAGGAGGGGAAGGGTTGGCGTTTGTTGCTGGGGAAGTCGCCCTCCCCAGACTACAGCCCGCTGGGCTCGGATGAAAACCAGAGGAGTCCAACGACAACTTTCCTGCCTTACTGGAGATTGCTGTTGGATTCCACGATCTTGGGATACAAAGATGCCCAGATTGGCCTCGGTTATCTCGGAGGATTTGTTGCAAGGGCATCCTCAGTGGGCATTTCCCTCTTCATCCCGCTCTATGTGAATGCATATTTCATTCGAGAAGGGTTCTGCCAAGGATCTCCCAATGATCCATCTCCAGAGCTTAAGAAGGAATGCAGAGCAGCGTATGTATTGGCGGCGGAACTGACGGGCGTGTCGCAACTTGTTGCACTCCTTTGTGCTCCTTTGTTCGGCTATCTATCCGACAAGTATCGCCGATTTAATTTACCACTCTTAGCTGCAAGCGTTTTCGGCATTGTGGGGTATACAGCTTTTGCTAATTTGGAAAGCCCCGAGCCTTCAGATGTCAATGGCAGAGGAGGAAGTCCTGTGATATTCCTGGTCGTTTCTCTGATTGGAATCAGTCAGATTGGTGCCATTGTATGTAGCCTTGGACTACTTGGGCGGGGCGTCCTTGGAGCTGAAGGGGGCTACAATCTTTCTGGGCAGCTACATGGCGCTCGTAGCGGTGTCATACAAGTACCGGCTGATGCTGTTGAGACAGCTCCCCTTGTTGCATCTTGTAAGTTTGGGAAATCTTACAATTTCCAGTCCGAGCAGTCCCAAGTTCTTCTCGACACAATCCCACTCCCTCAATCACGCACATAGCATAGCAACTGCTAACTTTCCTGCCACCCAGTACCCTTTCCCAAGCAATCAAATGCAAGGAGCCATCTCAAGGGTTCTATTGCGGGTATCTATTCCCTATCAGGCGGAGCAGCCATTCTCTTGCTCACGAAGCTTGGGGGTATTCTCTTTGATAGGCTGTCAGTTGGGGCGCCATTCTACATGATGGCTATTTTCAACGGTGTTTTACTTGCCATTGGACTTGTTGCAGGCGTTTACAGAGAGATCAGAACGATAAAAAGTTAGACCTATCAACCTGTATGAAAACTCATTTAAAGCTTTCTTGGTTCATTGAAGCTAGCGCATTCATATATATCACTCTGCTATTCACAACCTGTTTGTTGGCTGAACTACTCAAATAAAGGTTCGCATTTCACACGTGTCATGAGACTTGGGGGGTCTGGGAGGAAAGTATACATGATATCGTTCACGTAACTTACTCATCACACCACGTGTACTCAACGAGACATCTGACGAGAGAGAAGAGGATCGGAGATCTTCAAAATCTGATGAATCCAGTTATCTCAGCCCACTCGATGCTGGCGAAGAAGAACTGCGAGCTTTGCCATGCTTGCGGCCTAGTAGTGGCCTAGCAGTTTGAGGTTTTAGCATCGTGTCTTAACCCCCTCTCTTCTCCAATTCGGCTGCTTGGCTGGTACGCAGGTCTGCTTCTGTGTCCAAATAGCATGTTGTATTGTCTACTTTGACAGAAATCGCAGCAATTGAGCACAGTGACGACTCGCTCGGCGTCTTGCGTGGTACTCGACCAGTTGGGGAGACGAGACTCGAGGAATCTACCACAATGGAGTCATCTGGAACGGAGCCGTACTGAATTTCACGTGCTGGATCAAAAATAGCTTCAACAGCTGCAAACTCGGCTATCTTTGCCCTCAGCGCAGCTGTTATAAGATATTTTGCTGCATCTGTCGTTGCTTCTCCGATATGTTACGGCTCTTTGGTAGAGGTGGGAGTCAGCATTGGATCCCCGAATCCGCCGGGATCTTATAAGTTCCCAACTTCGGATGATGACTTTTAACACTTCCAATCATCAGGAGAGTCCTCTTCTGGGACACTATTCTTTGCCGTGTTCCGGGCCCAGGTCACCCCTCTTTTATTGGCGTTCATATCAGCCACCTATGGTTAGACTGGAGTCTGGCAGTGCTTCTTGTGGTGCAACCAACCATTCAACTTCAAAGTTGCAGGTTAAATTGGCTGGATGCAAATGTGAGAGTTTACAAGTCATCGATTATAATACCGACACGTGTTGAGGAGCCGGCACGAAATATCAACTTCATTGCCTAGTCCGATGCAACAAAGTATACAATCCAGCGTAGAGAGCAAGGCTCACGCATCTCACGACGCTGGGGCATATCAGCGGGCTGACACTTTGACAAACGTCTCCGGCTCGGACTTGCGTAGCTGGCCGCATTTGTTGCCGCTAACTCAAATAGAGTGGTAGTTCGGAGGAGCGGCGACACTGCAGGCAGCATAATATCCCTGGGGAGAAGTAGTACTCCCCGTCCTGAATTTGTGGACTTGGAGCTCCAGCCTCTACTCGCGTAGCACATCGTGTACTCCCTTAGCCGATCCGAATCAACCTTGATTGACTCTGGCCAGCAACACCGAGGAGATTTGCGCAAAACCTGACAGACATCTATAACAACCTACCAAGCTCAGGAGTGCTTTGACATCGTTCAGGGAGCTGTGCAATTAATGTTGACGCAGCGCCTAGCCCATATCAGAGAGGAGAAAAGCAACGAAGAAATTTGAAACCATTGGAGGGCGACATAGTATCATTAGCAGGAGGCCAAGTATTTAATATGTACATGAAATTTAAGTGATTCTGCGGCACATATTACTATCTCTTGCCCATTAAACACCATTTATTAATTACGGGTGCACCGTTCCTCATTCCTGCCCCAAGTTTCATGACCATCCTTCCCATCATTTCATGTTCGTAGACTCCCAATCCGGAGTGTGTATCAATGCTGCGCTAAAAAGGAGTGTAGTGCCCATAAGGTCGTAATTCGTATGTGTGTGTGCAATCCCGAGAGCCAAATCTCATCTCATGCATCTATTTTTCTCCAGTCAACATAGATTTTAGGCTAGGGCAATCATTGCCATGGCACCAGCGATCGCGAAAGCTAGTGGTCCATTGGTGGGTGCCGCGTTGCTGGAAATCTCCAGAGGTGCGGAGGATGTTGGAGATGGTGTTGGAACTGGGGTGACAGTGACTGGAGGAGCAGTAACAGTGCTTTGCGTGACTACGGGAATCGTGGTGAAGACCGAAGATCCCGGGAGAGTGGCCGTGACTTCTGAAGGTATGGTTACTACTTCAGTAATGCCGACAGATGTCCCAAGAGTGATTGGAACGTAGATGGTAGCCTTGGTCTGCATAAGTGTCAGCTTCTAATTAAACCAGCTTGCTCAGGAAGGTCAAACTTACAGTGGGTGGCTCCAGTGTCTTGGTGATTGTGTAGGAAGAAGTTAAGAGGATTGTGTTGGTCTCAGTGATATAAACTGAAATCGTAGACCCAGCACTCTCCGTAACATAGTAAGTCTCGAATTTGGAAAGTGTGGTGTACACATCCTCCTGTCAGGAAAGTTAGTATGTTCATCCCATGAATATTGGTCCTTACGTACAGTGGCGTAGCAGGTAGTCAACAACGTGGTTGTCTCGTAGATCGTGGTGGGGCTAAGCTACTTGTCAGTCTAGGCCGTGTTCAAATATGAGGAAATATTCACATTTTCTCAACGACCAAGCTGGTTGACGTGTAAATGACCTCCACTGGTTTGCCAGAGATTGTCTTGGTCTCAGTTACTGGGCAAAGCGATGTCGAGGTTTGGTAGACGTAAGTCTCGATGTATTTGGTGGTGGGTGCAAGTGTGGTGCTACAAGTCTGTTAGCCGAGAACAAATAACCATGATCAGTTTACACACTAAACATCCACTTTGGTCGGCAAAACGGTATAGATGAGCGAAGTCGAGGTCCATGTAGCAGTAACGACATCTCCAGCTATAGTTTTCGTTTCTGTAATCGGGCATAGACTTGTAATCGTTGAAGTCACTCCGACTCCAGTATATGCCGTGCTGTCAGGAAGCTCCACAGTCTCGACAATGGTGGTTGGGACATCTGAGATGCTGGATTAGCTCAACAAATTTGCAGTATGGATTGAGATTTACTGACGATCAACAACTGTGGAGGTCGTGGTGTAGGTCTTTGTGTAGACCTTGCCAGTTTCAGTGCTAGACAACCATCAGCCTTGATCTTGCATTGCAAGAGGAGCTACTTACGTCGTTTGAGTAACCGGACACAACGAAGTATAAGTTACGTATACCTCTGTCGTTGTGGTGTATTCCTTGGGCCAAGTGGCAACGACTGAGGTAGCAAAGGCTACGAGAGAGACGATTGAGGACGACTTCATTATGACTGATTTGAGGCACACTGATAGTGAGTGACGTTTGGATGAGAACGAATGAGATATCTAGAGCAGAATAGCGAAGGTGTTAAGTAACCGTAGCGAAGGAGTTACTGTTGTTGGAGGTTGGGAAAGTCTGGTTTGAAGAAGGCTGGTCTGCGTGAAGGAGTAGAGGAAAAGAAACAGGCGGGAAACCTTGTCTCTTAAGAATCATGAAGGGAACACACGCCGGTGACACTTCCCCAAACAGAGCTAGGTCTGGCGCTGGGATGATATATTGCTACATCGGGACCCTCACATGATACAGGCCAGCATTCGGGCCATCAGTGATCAATGTCACCAACATAGATAGGAATCCGGCTCGGGCTGGGAGATGCAGGCGACTGCGCGATGATTGCAGCATGCTTTTGCTGCTGGCCGGGTCGCGGGTGAGAGGAGTAGACAGGGAAGTATTGCAGGATTTGCTCGTTGGAATGGCAATAGTGATGGCTGAATGAATGATCCACGTCGCTGCGGTCCAAGCACACATCTGATATCGATTGGCTTTTCTATGGGAAGCTCGCCAGGGGGCTGCAGCAAACTCCCTGCCGTGCCCTATGGATTGATGCGGCAACAAACAACTTCCCTGCTCGCCAATCCTTTTGCTGCCAAACAGACGGCAGGGGGTTGCAACTCTCCAGCCTCTCATGTTGTCCGGTAATCCGGCTCTTTCTTGCAAGCCAGACAGGAAGCAAGTTTTCAGGCGATTTAAACTTCATCCAGGAAAGTTTCTCGACTATGGACTAAAGGCTTGTGGCGTTGGGCAAATGAAAGAGAGGGAAGAAGCCTTCTGCTCGGGATACACTTGCTGCACTTGCGCAGTCCAGTCGAAAGTCGAAAACGGCCTCGAGAACATGTCCTCGACAACGGTAAATCTGCCGCTTGGGTTTTCCTCCATGAAGCAAACTTGCGTGGGCTACGGATTACACAATCTCCAGCCTCTTTTGTGAGTTCCCTGTACTGGCGAGTCCACTATTGGTGTCACTACTGGTTCTGTGTTGTTGTCGTCCACGGACATCAACAAAAAAGTTGGCTAGTGCGTGCGAGTGGGGGAGCCAAAACGCTTCACCAGCCACTTGAGCTGGGAGCTCAGTTGCTACTGTCAGGCATAACTATAAAATTTACATATATAAGTACTGTTAAGCAATAACAATGACGGTTGTGATTGGCAATCCAGTCAGTCCAGCCAGCCCTCCCTGGCCCATGGCCATATCATACAGTAGGTGAGTACTGCACTGTCGACATCATTGTCAGGGATTGGGCCCGGTACCGACAGCAACAGCGGGGCTCGCGCAAGGGTCGCACAGAGTGGCATGGCATGGCACGGCATGGCATGGCATGATTACCTGCATGTTGTGGCGGGCTTTCTGGTGGCAAGGTTGAAGGTTGTTTATTGGCTAAGGGCCCGTTTAGATCGGAAGTGACACTTCGTGTTACTTCCTAAAGTAACAACGCACGGTCCAGCTATATCGGATTTCTAAGCGAGATACAGAAGTGACGCTAAGATTTAAGCTCCCTCCTAAAATTAGGTGGAGAAAAAAATAAAGAAGCTGTTATTATTATTAAGAGCTGTATCTAAGTATAATTATTAACAAACTACCCTAATTTAAGTACCTTAGCTACCTCCTATACTACTAAAGAGAGCTCTACTTACTAATTCTTCAGGAGAAGCTAGTACTATAGTATAAACACGTGCACCTAATACAGAATAGAAAAGGTAAGATATCGATTCAATAGTATTATAACTTATCTAAGTAATAGTTAATAGAGCCTCCTTAGAGGGAGGCTTTAAAGACTTAGTATTTACAGCTATTAGAAAGTTATTTAAGCCTCTATTAAAGCTTTAAATCTACCGGTCGAAATAGAGTCGTCTAAAGAAGGCCTATAAAGAGGTAAAAACACTCTAAGAGCTCTCTAGCTTTAGATAGAATAATAGCTTATATATTCCGACTGTAAGACCAGAGGTCTAGGAGTAAATTTCTACGGTATTAGTAAGTCTTTATAAGTTATTATAATATCTAACTATAATAGGTTTATCCTGAGAAGCTACGTTAGCGGACGGAACCTTTCCCTTAGTTTGATAACCTCTTGAAAATTACAGGAGATAGCTTATTAGTTAATAAATATAGCTTTTACAGAGGCTATAGAGACTTTATAGATAATATTAATAGAGAGTTAGATATATAAAATAAGAGTAATATACACCTAGATCTGCGAACCTAGCGATTAGATTCAGTATCTACTGATCCTTAAGATACCTCTTAAGCTACACCTCAAGCCGCAGACTCTTAAGAGGCTCCTAAAGCTTCGGAATCAACGAATATCGTAGCTCTTATAATATTAACACCTATAATAGCACGAAAGCGCTATATCGACTCGCCGGCTCTATCACTTCGTGACGCTAAGAAACTAAAAACAAGTAGCCTTAGTATAATAGATAGAATAGGAGAGGCTATTACTTAAATAGCTAAAGTAATAGTATTATCTTTAAGCCTTAACATAGAGAATACTATTCTGAAAGAGATAGTAGAATCGTTAATTCTTAGCTAGGCAATTGTAAAAGTATAAAAGGAAATATACTTTACAAAGGAGGGAATCTTTTATTTTATTACTGTTTTTAAGACTATTAAAAATACCGCTTAAACGTATCTTACTTTAAAGGCAGATAAGCTTTATATCAAGTAGCTAGAGCGTGAGATTCAGTTAAGCTTTAGTAGTTCAGAAGATATAATTAAATAGTATTAGATTAATTAAGAATTATCTTAGCTAAAGTAGATCTCTAGTCTTTAGTTATATATAATATATAATCCTCTTACATTTAAGTAGCAATATTATCTCTACGTTAGTTGACTCTTATAGTTTCCCTTCTAGAAATATAATAACCTAATCTTAAACTATAACCCTTAACTCGTGATTCTAGCTCACAGGTTTCTTTCTTAACTACCTCTTTAATCTCTCTAATATCTAAAAAGATATTATATAATATATATAATATAGTAATAACTCGAACTTATACTATAACCTTAAAAGCTCTTAGTCTTATAAGGATTTTAAACCGAGCTTTAAGTACTCTAAAAGTACGTTTAATAACGTTCCTTAAGGCTAAATAACGTAAGTTAAAGAGCTCTTCTTTATTTTAAAGATAACGATTCGCTCTCTCCTATTTCTTTAAGTGATATCAAACCGCTCGATATAGTATTAATATTAAGTCGCAATTTACAAAACTAGTATCTCTAAGAGTATATCTCTCTATTAGAATCTTTATAGTATTACTACGTTAAGCCTTAATCTATAGTACTAAATCTACCGTACTACCTTCCCAGCTAGTTAAAAGATCGGTAAACCTTATATTAAAGTTATATACAACAAGTACGTTTTAAGTAAGGTTTCTAGACCTATCTCTAAAAGAAGCTCTTTCACTAGATAGTAGAGATATCAGAATATATATACTATTAATTACTCCTACGTAATACTTAAAATAGTCTTTATATCAGTAGTTATAGAGTATCTAAGATAGAACAGGTATTATATTAGTTACTAACAGAACTATTAATTCAAATATATCTTTATAATAAAAACAACATATAATCTTATAATAAGTTCAATTAATTATCTCTGTACTATATTAAAATCGTTCTGTAAGCTTCCTTATTAATAAATCCGTAACTACCGCGTATAGGAAGATTCCTAGCTATTCTGTAGTCCTTATATAACGTGTGCATTATAAGCTACCTTTCTAAATCAGGAAGTCTTTAATATAGTAAAAGCCGTCTTTAGAAACGCCTAAATTATCTCGAATACGTGCGTTATAGCCCCTTAAAAGCTCCTCTATCTATTCCTTCCTAGAGAGCTTAGAATCGTGTTATTATTACTATTCAAAGTTATTCTAGTAGTAAATAGATATCGCAGATACAGCTAAAATACTAGTAAAATAAGCGATTCTTTAGTTCCTACGCTAGTGCCGTGTTAATAAGGCAATTAATAGTAACATAGCGCATATAATAGTAGTAGTAGTAGTAGTAGTAGTAGTAGTAGTAGTAGTAAAAGGGGTAGAGCTATAGAGCCGTAGAGCCGTATAAAGTAGTGAAGTGACACTTTTTACAGGATTTCTACTTTTAGTAAGAACTACAGCGAATAACTAAAGTTGACAGAAATAACAGATATTTCTAGAAGTAACAAAATCGAGCTAAACAGAATCGTCACTTATTTGTTATTTCTCAAAGTAACAGAAGTGACGATTTTGTTATTTCGAGTTTTAGTGTCACTTCCCAAGTGTCACTTCCGATCCAAACGGGCCCTAAGGAACTTCACCTCAGATCCCTTGTACTCCATGAACTTGAACGAGCACGGTACAGCACATTGGAAGACCTTGTTGCGGCACGGTACAGCACAGCACAGCACAGCACAGCACAGCACAGCACAGCACAGCACAGCACCACATAACAGAACAGAACAGAACAGAACAGGCGAACTGTCCGATAGCTGGCTCGCGACAGTTTTGTGAGACAGCTCACTTTTCCGCGGCCTTTATTTTTCGAAGTCTCCAGCTCAGGGAATACGAGAATGTACTCTAGGTACTGTACTACTACTGTACACTAAGGTAGCTCGGAAGAGCATTACCAGTACTACGTCCTAGGGAGGGGGAGCGGGATGGGGTGGGGAGGGAGGGGAAGCGAGCGGTACCTCGCACTAAAAAGCGATTCCCTCAGTAAGGTACTTACTGTACTGTACGCAGCATACGGTAATAGTAACATTATTACCTTACTTCGTTACGTAGAATCCATCTCACTTGCACCTCCACTTGAGTTAAGTCTAAAATGTGGGCCGTAACAGGTATAGGTAGTTTAGCACCTGACCGAGCCAGGGGAAATGGCATGGCAAGAATAAATAAGGTACCTAGGTACAGTAGGTACATGAGGTGTGGGTCATGTACCTAATGTACCGTTAGGTAGGTAAATTATCTTCGTATGTCCCCCAAAGGTCGTGACGAGGAGGGGAGACTTGTATTGTGTTTCATGAGCACTGACGGAGTGACGGAGTGACGGATTGACTGACTAACGGGACTGGCTGACTGACGTCAAATTGGGGTTCATGGGTAAATCCAATCCAATCCAATCCAATCCAATCTACTCTTACAGAAAGTAAATTTTACCTAATTTACTTGCGCTTTTGAGCAGCCCATTACCTACCCTACCGTACCCTACTGTATGGTGCGTTGTGGCACGAAAATAGAAACACCCCTGCCGTTTGTGCTGCCCGCCCTCGAACTGTGCCAGTACAGTAGTAGTGTGCCTGTCCTGTCCTGTCCTTCATGCACCTTGAAGTAAGCTTAGGGGCCTTAGGTAGGTACCAAGGCTTGCTCGGCTTGCTATTCGCTTACCTTACAGTACCAGTTTTTACTGTAGTCTTATCAGAGCGGGTGCGGGGGGGCACATGGATAAAAGAGGAGAGGGCGACGGGACCGCAGCGAGCAGGCCGAACGTGCAACGCCTACAGTAAATTACCATATCTCCTGCATCATTATCGCGATCGGCTGCTTCGGTGAACTTGAACAGATCGAGGATCTAAAGCTTGCATCCTTGCGCAAATAAACTCACCCCAACATGCAGCCCAGACCATACTGCATGAGTGTGTTGTTGGCGGATTTACTGTCTCTCGGCGGCTCGTTCCTTGAAGCTAGTTACCTATCTGCGGCGTGGCATGGCACCCCATGGAAGTCGGCGCCGAATGACAGCCTGATTGATATTTTTTGGCTCAGCGCGGGGGAAGATCACATCTCATTCTCGCAAGGAAGCAAGTCCTGCCGCCCGAAAGGGCATTGCGTGACAGAGTACCTCCGTTTGAGCCATCTTCTTCGGCTGGGTGCACAGGTTGTACCAAGCTCACTACATATGGTGCTCGCGGGCTGGATTTGAGCCAATAAAAGCTTGCTAGCCTGGCATCAGCCTCGTTCAATTCCCATCAATCATCATCATCGTCCTCTGTACCGCTATCCCAGCCTTCCTGATAAGCTTCGGCTAGATCGCCCAATGAGTTGCCGAGTGCCTCTCGCTCATCAACACCCACAGCTCTGCTAACGATGTTTTGGAGATTCTTCATTCTCATAGCTACTGTTGTATCAGTTGATAGAGATGTGCTAACCCTCAACGAAGATGCCGTGCTACTATGAGCAAAGATGTGGGGGAAGCTGTCAAGCAGAGGATACGACAAGGATACTCTACTCCTGCAGATGTAAATGGTAAGCACTGAGGATCAAAATCAGGTAAACCAGTGAGATCATTGGGTTGGCGCGGGGATACGAGGTCGGACTGGACACGGGAATGGGGAAACGGGCTTACTGACTTTTGGATGATTGGAAGACCAGCCGCTCGACGCCTTGCTCTTTCATGGCCCACGTTCTCATCGGTTTCCTCAAGCTCATTCTCCTTCTGGTCATCAGCCCGAAATATCTCGGCTCGAGCAAATACATGAGTCTCCTTGGTTACTTTTTGGCCTCGGCCTCGTTCGTCTGTTTCTGTAGGAAAGAAGTCCATATCCAAAGGTTTCAAATCTTGGTATTTTTGAGAGAAGGGTCCTTCCTCACCCCGCCTCTCCTGAGATGGCGCTCTCGTATCCCGGCTTCGTACTCGTTCCTCTAGTCTTGCTGACTTGAGATGTTCGTTTTGTGCGTCCTTCTGACCAATACTCATCCGACACTTCGCAATATTTTGGTTCCCGTTGACGTTCAAAACACTGACGAGCTCATCTAAAGATCTCCGGCTGGCACTGCCTAATCGTAATCTGGATAGTAAAGTCATGGTCTCATATGCTGTGGAAAGTAGACCACCGACATGCCATCGGGACTTCGGATCGAGCATGACATAGCTAGGTAGCATCGCTTGTGGTATTGTCATGGGAACGAAAAGTGATACCTGCTGAGCAATCTCCGACGTAGATTTGGCTGTATTCGACAGCTGGTTAAAACGTTTTTCCTATGGCATGTCAGTGGCAGTAAACGATGCGATATCTCACAGATGGTTGTTCCTTACCCTAGGAACAGACCCGAATCCAGCTTCCAATCCCCAAAAATAAACAGTCGTTTTCCCAAATTCGTCTCTGATTCGATCCATGTACCTAGCGGCAAATCCTCCCCATGCGTCATCAACACTAGCTATCATTTGGATACCTTGCATACAATCTGCCTCTTCGACAAAAGACCTCAAATCACGATCCAAAATATCATGCTCTTTGTCGAGTGAATTAAAGAGATCTTCTCCCACACTCCATTTCTCGAAGGGCATAAGCGCTGAACCCAGTTCATATTCATTGAGCTGAATGACTGATTTTGGATGAAAGTACACACGGTTGAAATCGGACCAGTATCTCACGGAGTCGGTGGTCAACAATGGCGGCTCCAACCCTTGGTCGAGGCTTTGCTGATAAACGCTTTGTTCGATTGCAGCCTGACGCTGGATAATCGTTGGCCCATTCCTCATCAATGTCAGCGTCTGATAGTCTAGCTTAAGAGCAGTCTTACCACAGTCCTTGCGGACCTGCTGGCTCCTCTATCTCGTACAGAGCATTGACCTTTCGTAGGGAGCCAAACCCCCCCTTGAGATCATAAATGAGCGTCCTTGGAGTGAAAGTCTCACTACCATCAGCTCCTAAGCCAGGTCTGAAATGGATATCATGATCAACCAAGGACTCTTCGCTTTCGGAGTAGGTGAAGTATGATTCCTGGAATGTGTCACCGTCAGTGATAGTGTCAGTATAGGTTCACAAAAACATCCCTCACCTGGGTGTTCCAGAAATGTGTAGCGAGGTAGTTACTCCTCTGCCCGAGTTGAAGGGTTATGATTTCGTGCATTCTTAGGATGGGTTTGAGCACCAGCCAGATTCTCTGTCAACGTCGAACGGACCACTAGCTACCACACCAGTAACTACATCAGCGTAAGTGCTTTCTTCTTCTTCTTTCCCAATCTGTAGGACCTGTTCATGGATGGCAGGCTGCTGTCACTTTGGTGAATTGGAGCAGATTACGCTTCGCGAGTGTCGCGGAATAACAGGAGGTGCTTCTGTTGTGCTCCTGTTTCTCGGCTGTGTGGCAAAGCGGAGCACCCGGCGACCACAACCAAGCCAAACGACGATGAGAAATTGAAATGGGTCACGTGAATTCTGCCTTTCGCTCCTCAGAGTTTCGGGGTTCTCAACATCGACAGACCCAGCAATGGGCTGAAGTCAATCGGAGAGCTGCTAGGCAATCCTGAGTATATGTCCAGTCTCGTCAGTTCCGTGCTCTCAATGGTCCCGTTCCCTAGTACGTAGTAGCTCGCTCTCATATCGAACCCCGCATGGATTCATTTCATCCGTCGTCTACCTTGAGCTCGAATCCAAGGTTCTTAGACATCGTTGTTATCTCTGTATTTCCTTTAGTACCCGCCCCGTTAGGCCCAATATATTTCATTGTCGTAAAAATCTTTATGTGCCCAACCCTCTCTTGGTAACTTCTATGACGTTCCGACAAGAACTCGGCAGCTGGGCGTTTCCCAGCTCTGTCAGTACATCTCCAGTCCCTGAACTCGGGACCAAAGCACCTTCGACATCGGAGCTCTCCTTGTCAGGTACGGATGGAAAACCAACAATAATTACATTCCTTCGACATTGTGGCTGTCCCTGTACACTCCCTAGTCCTCTCCTGACATCGAGCTCGCTAATCGGTTGTCAGTTGCCGAAAAGACATTCCTCAGCCTCCGCGACCTCTCCTTGAGAGATACATCGAAGAAATACATAGCAGTGTCTCACTCATCCAACTCTGCGACCATGACCTGGCTCGAATCCGTAGGCGGCAAAGGCAATGTGCGAGTTGTCGTCGATGAGGAACGAGAGCTGTACGGGGACTGGGGCTTGGGTGTGTCTAGTACATGGCATGTCTTAAATCCGTGGTCTTTATACGCGGTCTATGCGCTTGGGAAGAAGGAAGGAATCTGGAACAAGCCTACCGAGAGCGGGACAAGATGGCAAACGAGCGGTAGCTTTGCTATAAGTGAGGCTGGCACAATTAAATGGGTTGCAGTTTCCAAGGCTGCGGATAACCTACCAGACTTTGAGGAGGCAGTGTATGCAGTGAGTGGTGCTTGACATGTACCGCAACTGAGGGTTACGTGTATGAACGTGAAGACTCTATTGCCCCAGAGGCATTAATCAGGTCGAAAATGGTCCTATCGGCTATTTTGCTTAAGAACCTATATTTTGGCAACATACTCTGCTTTCAAGTCAGTCTTATGCTGTGTAGTGAACCTGCCGTATGATGATAAGGAAATTCGCCTATTCTCCTGAAGTCAGAAGGGGCATGGATGTGGATTTGGGGCTTCAGCACATTTCAGAGTCCCAAAAGTCACACTTGAGTCTAGAGGCGTGAGGTATTGTGAGAATCCTATTCCCCTGTCGAGATTCCAATCGTGGTAATGAATCCCAAACACCAAGTTCCGATACCTGTCACTGGTCACTACCTAATATTTTAAATCTTGGATGTACGCCTACCCTTCCACAAATCTGCAAATCTGGGACAAAAGTTTACAATTTTTACATGTGTAGGTGAATAGTGGTTGTGAGCACTTTCGTACAATTCGACCATCTCTCGGACCCGCAACTCCTCACTGGGTCTGGGCTTTCAATGGCGATCCTATTATGGAGACTTCTTGCATGGTCCTTCACTAGAAGGATATCGTTGTGGCGGACAGCTGCTTCGACCATACTGTTCAACCAGGATTTGACACATTGCGAAGCCTTGCGGCTGGTCGTAGTGATCCGATCGGACATGAGAAGAGCAGGCATATCATTCATCTTGCTAGTATCCGGAGACCGTATATCCTTGCAATTACCGTTGAATGAAGTGTGGCGGTTGTCATCTTCTGAAACAAACATTACACCTTCAGAATCAGCGCCAATCACCTCCTTGTCCGCAACGTCTCCCCTCTCAACTATCTTGTGATCTTCGCTCTTGTTTTTTCAATAACAGAAGTCTGGTCGAAAGCCGACTTAATGTCATCTTCTTCATCCGAATCTTTAGATACTCCGCTCTTGTACTCTCAATAACAGAAGTCTGGTCGAAAGTCGACTTAATGCCATCTTCTTCATCCGAATCTTTAGATACTCGAGTTGCTTGAAGACAAGGACTTGTCTTGTTTTTCACGCGTTACTTTGGACCCATGAAAGTTGTGTACTGTTTTATCTTCTGTTTACGGGCTCTTATCTGTCCTTTGCTCTTAATTTCGAAGAACTTCCAAGTGTATTTCGGAACTGGCTATCTGTGCCCCGAGAACACTTTTGAGCTAATGCTCAGCGAGAATCTCCAAGTAGATTTGAAAATTCGACTTGTGGATGAATGCACTGCAATCTGCCGGAAGTCCTAGTCACAACCTGAGAACGAAGACAACAGCTGGTAGGATGACATCCAGATCTGCTCACTGCTCTTCACGATGAGGTCATCTGCAGTGAGATAGTCTTGCTCTATCACCATCCTATAGATAAAAAGAAAACCTGAAGATTACTTTCGGTAGGTAAAGGCATGACCCGAACACTCCTTAGGCGAGCGGCCGCAGAAATTGCAAGTATTTTCTCCTCCTATTCCATGGATCTCGCGAAACTTCAAGTAGATGACTGTATTGAGAGGGCTCCTATCAGACGTAGTTGGATTTCGAAACGAGCTTTGAGCGTTTGGCTTTTACAGTAACGCCTAGCACGGCTTAGGTGACTCTATCTGAAGTTGTCCTCAAGCTACGGAGACGTTAGTAAGGATAGCACGCCATATTTATACTCCACTCTTTCGAAGTGCGTAATGGGAATTAATGTATGTAGACAGTGCCAACCTTGCTGGGTATACCATTCGCAAAACACTCGACCTTCCCCCAGCCGAAGTATTTCGCCGTTGGGATTCATGGCGTTCACTGCGTCGAGAAACAGGTTGACGACTGACATAGGATCCATTAGAAGTTCAGTGGGACGACGTGTTTGGAGTGGACATGCAATAGTAATTGGGTGCGTGTCCTTGAAGGGCACAAGTGCAACGAGCTCAGGAATCTTGATTTCACGAGGCACAATAAAAACAAACTCACTGGCCAACATCACTACAGGCATTTGAGCACTTAGCAGCCGTCGCAACAATAGACATTACGAGCTGAGTAATAGTCACGAAGATGGTTATGCATAAGATGGTCAAAGAACTCTTATCAACGTTTTCGCAATGTGTTCACACTATGCGTCACAGTCTCGGTGTTGGGAAGAAATCAAGATAATCATCGATTACTAGATGGAATGCAAATGCATATAGTTCTCATGTAGAGCGTATAGTATATCAGAGCGTGTGGGAAAGCTACGTCTCCAAGACGCGTAGGAAGTTGTCCTGTGAGATGAATCTACTGAAAGACGTGGTGGATGACATCAGATGTGACCTGGGCGATGTACTCTGCATCGGCCTGTGTGATGGTGTACGGTGGCGCCAAAATGACATGATCTCCTGAGACTCCATCAGAAGTCCCAGTGCCCGGATACATGCATATATTGAATGGGGCCGAGATTGCAGTTTCATGAACCCTTTGGGCAATGCCCAGCTTCAAGGGAAATGGCTCTTTGGTCACCTTATCCTGGACGAATTCGATGCCCCAGAAAAGACCTCGTCCTCGGATGTCACCAACGTTTGGATGAGTGCCCAAGAGGGCCTTCAGGCGTTTCTCAAGGTATGCGCCTTGGATCCGAACATTCTCGGTCAGTTTGTCCTCCCGTTTGATTCTTTGAACCTCTAAAGCCGCGGCTGCTTGAACGGGCATTCCTTGATAAGTCTGTCCGTGGATGAATTGGCCACCACCATTCAACAGTGCATTGATAACCTTGTGAGAGATCAATACTGCAGCAATGGGCTGGTAACCGCCACCCATCCCTTTACCAATTGTTTGAAGATCAGGAACAACACCCTCATGCTGCCAAGCATGCAAAGTACCGCAACGACCCATACCACTCATGACCTCATCGAGAATGAAGAGTGCTCCATGCTTGTGGCAGACGTCTCTCATGGCCTTTAAGTAGCCGGGGACAGATGGAACGCAGCCTAAGGAGCCTCCCACAACTGGCTCTGCAATGAAACCGATAACAGTCTCCGGACCTAGCTGTTGGAATTTCGCCTCTAACTCAGCCGCCTTCCTAGCCACGAACTCGGCATCAGATTCTCCATCTTGGCGTTGCCGATACACATTGCAGGACGACACACGATGGACATTGCCCATCAAGAAAGGTGCGTACGGCGCTCTCCTGGCCACATGCCCAGATACGCCCAAAGCGCCAACAGTATTGCCATGGTAAGAATGTTCGCGGGCAATGAAGTTCACACGTGAAGTCTGCCTGTCGTTCTCGTAGAAGTATTGCCGAGCAAGTTTGACAGCCGCTTCCATTGCCTCCGAGCCTAGCAATGCATCAACACACAGTACAAGTAGTCATGGTATCATGGGGCTCACCTGAGCCAGTCAAATAAACTCGAGCCAGCTTTCCTTCGGTGCCATCAATTAATTCCTTGCAGAGCTTCTCCACAACCTCAGAGCCCCAAAAGGTTGACGCGACGTAGGGGGCACCAGTATTTAGCTGAGCTGTGATGGCATCAATGACTCTTTGATGATTGCCATGACCTAAGCAGGACACTGCAGCACCAGAACTGGCATCGAAGATGGCCCGTCCATCAGTGAGGTAAAGATAGTTGCCTTTGGCACTCTTAACGATTGGAAAGGACTTGTGTAGGTTTCTATCAAGTAGAAATTCGGTTTTCTTCCGAGCGTCTGGAGAGGTAGAGCTGGTCGACATTGCAGAGTGATCTCTGAATCGACCACCTTTCAGGGAGACTGTAGGTGAGGTTTCATGATGTGGGAGATCAGTAACTGTGGAAGGAGCCATGTTGGATGTGCGCTTTCAAGCTACAAATGCAAGTGACAAGAGAGGCGCCTGACTACCAAGGAATTCGCAAGCACAACTATTCTGAAGAAAGTCAATCAAAGAGAAGGATCAAGTAGAGTAGATAGCCTTCGCAGACGAAAGTGATCATGGACACAATGAAGAAATGAGCATTCGAGGGAAGGACCAAGAGTCTTGTATTTTGCTGTCGCCTCTAGACACGTAGGAGGAGAATGCGTTGGACCCTCATATAAGGAGAGAGCAAGACGGATAGTAGCAGGGCGAGCCATCGGCAGCAAGTAGGCCACAGCTGATGGATGTGAATATGGCAGCGGCTAGATTGGCGGCTTGATCGGCGGCTAGATTGAGGACTGGACCATAATAAGGTTCCTAGAGTGGGATTAGACTAGGTTCAGTCAAGTCCGGGACTACTACTAGAAGCATTTAACGCCTTCCTGAATAATAATATCTAGGTAAACAGAGCAGCTGCACCTAGTGTGTTCTTAGAGGTGTGGCAGCGTGATCAGCTGGGAATCAAACTAGTATATGTCAAGGGTGCTTGATTTGTTGTTATAGTGTTCTATGAGTCGCGATATTCCGACGTTAGGAAATATATTAATCGAGAGGAATAGCGAGCTCTGAAAGCCGGCATGCTAGTGGCCAGGTGTGCACACCTTTCTACCTACCTAGGTTAGAAAAACATATTCAGAATAGTGCTAAATGCTTCTACTGGTAGGCTACTGACTATCCTGCTTTTGTTTGTATCTCTCTGAGTATCTCATCTGGCTCGGGAGTTCTCTGACAGACGTGGAGCCCCAGAAATGGAAATCGGTGGGGAACACAAAGGGGGACCGGGTCCAGGGTCCAGGAGTCCAGGACTAGACTATTAGTCCCGATCTAGGGTTTGGGTCTGATTCTGGTGTACCTAAGGTATCGGGATAGTAGTCTGGCCGAAGTTGTTACGACTCTGATGGAGAATGTTCCCACCGTCGTCGGCGTCCATTCGGGATGACACGACTCGCTCACCTCACATCACCTGGGTCCACGTCCTTGGCCGGCCGACAAGGCGGCATGGACGTCGATAAGTATTGTGAGAGTGAGAGCGAGAGCGAGAGCGAGAGCCGTCTCCTGCCCCACGAGTATTCTCTCTGGCTTCCCACCCACCAGACCTTTGCTTGTGCTCCAGTGTTGTGCTTTCCAGGACCCCTTGCTCCCTCCGCACGGAAGCACGAGCATCTGCCAGTGCCAATGGAATGCTCTGCCCCGTTGTGCAGAAGCTAAGTCCTGTATAAGTAACCGAGTGCCGTTACACTCCCAGGCAGGAGGATGAAGAGAAGAAGACATGCTGGACTGGGCGGCCACATGTGCTGCCGTCCCGGCATGGATCACATCGCATCACATCGCATCGCATCGCCTCGCCTCGCCTCGCCTCGCCTCGCCTCATATCGCATGCCGGCTGCCTCTTTCTACTTCTCCGTCCTAATTTATCTATTACCCGGAACCTAGAGCACATACAATATCGGGTGGCGGAAGGTTCAACGCCTCGGACCCCATTTACCGATGTTGAGGGCGGTGTTCCTGCTGATCCGACACAGGTCGAATACGGGGACCACGAATACCGAGGGAGAGAGTAACTTATTCACCAATGACTCAGGTCGGCGTGAGACCGAACAGCGTGTTCCGGATTAGAAGCGGATAACTAGGCTCATCGCTTTCCTCCCGCTCACTTGCTGCCTGTTATCTTCAATCTTCAATCTTCAATCTTCAACGGCTGTCCCGGGAATCGATTTGACCAGATTCGCCGCTTATTTGGGCTTGCTTGGCCAATCCGGTGCTGGTACTGTATCCTTTGCAGCGGCAGCAGATCGATGCCATCCGTCCAGTGCAAGCGCCATGCGACATGAACAAGTACAAGGGCTGTTCCCTGTACTGTACTGTACTGTACTGTATTGTACCTCGGACATAGCATGCCGCTGCCCGAAATGCCCCTCCCCTCTGCTCCTAGCTGCTGTCAGAAACCTAGTATAGGTCTGTTTTTGGATAGTTGCAACATACGGGATGAATAGAAGACCAAGTCAAACGCACTCCGACCACTCTGATCATCCCATTTATATGCAGCGATCCGTCGCATCCAGCTCCACACGCTTCTGGTAACCAGGAGCCAGGGATGTCTTTCCATTGACCGCAAAACCCTGCGCATTCAACTACCGAAGCTGAGAGGGGTAAACTTCGTAACCCTGTGGCGCTTCAAGGTGCTGATCATGGGTAGGCAAGGCAGAAGAAGTACCAAGTCTCTTCAAAGACCCCGAAGGTCGATTGGGAGGACATGCTGGACAGTATAGCCGCCTGGTTCCACTCATTACTTTACCAGGTGGTCAAACGATACTTATACTGGTTGAATTTACGAATCCTCGTCCCATCTTTCTCATCTTATCACGGCTGCCGGAGGCTTCTCATAACGCAGAGGCATCCTTAATCTCGTGCATTACGGTAACATCACGCGCATGCGCCGGAAGTGGAAATAGAGTGAAAGTCGTGAAGAAAGCTGGAAGACTCGACCGTGCTTGGTACCTTACTTTGCTCGGTGTGAACCTCTTACCTAGAACTCAGCCGACATAAAAAAGGAAATGACCTGAGCTGGGACTTGACAATGGCCTTCCCAGAGAGCAAGTAATTTTACTTCCAGCGACAGTAGTGTGCAGAGAGTTTGTTTTATTCCAGCAATCAGCGAGTAGAAGCAGCTACTTCAGAGTGGCCCAGGTACTCCTTGAATGTTCCATGTTCGGATTTCTCTCTGCCGTCGATATCTTGAAGGGGTTTCATGCTGTTTTTGTTATTTGGTTTGTCGTGTCGGGGAGCACTAGAGCCAATGTCCCATTGATGCCGACTCCCAGCTTTCGGCATCCCGAGCTCGTCAAAGGTCTTGCCGAGATGTATACCAGGAGCCGTGGTGCGATATTTGTTTATTGCCGAATGCTCACAGAAACCTATATTGATGTTGCTAAGTATAGATCATCAATCTTGCCCGAGGCCGCTGCCTCTCAAGGTCTGCTTTACAGCCAACGACAACTATTCATCCAGACTTCCGGGAAGTGGTTCTGGGGGTATTCGGTGGCGGAATGTCAAAGTTCCACAGTACATATTGCAGGGGGATCTTCTAATTATATGATTGGATCCCTACGCGAATCATACATGATATCTCGAGCAAGGAAGCTGTTGACTGCAAGTACAATTCGCTGTGACCTTGGAGCGGTCGTGAAGATAGGTCTGGTGGGCTGCCTCGAGGAATCAATTTCAATCAATGTCCGTTTTCACTGGTGAACGGTGTCCCGACCTCTCAACATTGGTTTTCACCCTAGAGGCGTTGGCTCGTGTATCGTCTCCTGCATCGTCGATAAGAAGTGTTTATCTTGACAAGGTATGTGCATCTCGGCAGGGTGCGACACACTTTTCTCTCAGGTATAAACAATGCTCTCATTTTCACACGTAATTTACAGGCCGGAAACTCTACGTGTAATAAGTGGTTCGTCGTCCAACACTGTTCAGGTTGTGTTGAATGATGTGACGTTTGCACCACTCGGATGTGCCGTGTGGGGGGAGAGCCTTTTGGATGCCGTTATCTGTCAGCATTAATATTAATTCTTCTCGATTTCCACATGCTTCCTGCAATAGCAGATTATGTACACGGCCAAATTCATCAATGATCTGGAGATACCGTCGGGGGCTCTCTGACCCCCACTCTCGGCAAAGTATCATAAATAACACATAACGTGGACACGCGAATGGCGACAGACAGGGCATGTGGAAGGAGAGAAGAATAGGCCTTCGATCGCCCGCATGCATCATGCAATGTGTGGTCCTTTCAGCAAGTCCAATCACCTTCTGCCTGAATCTGAGCCTAGACTTGCAGCATAGAAATCGTAAACAACCAACTGCAGCGGACCGAGCCTTCCCGCCACTGGCGGCTAGATGATACTCGTCAATCTACAGCCTCTAAATATGTCAATATCTCTGTTCCATCCAGAAATCAATAGAGAATCTTAATGATACCATATAGGCTTCATCCCCTTCCGCTCCTCCTAAAGCAGATAATTGTTTTATGCGTTGTTAATTTTCACAGAAGCATCAACCCAGACGGTGATTTGTCCTAGATAATCGAAAGTAGGCCCCTTTCTACTGCGTGTAAGACCATGTATGAATGACGTGACTTGTTCAGCCAGATAATACGAAGGACGAGGTTCAATATTTACGACACCAAGAGCGAATATGTACGGTATTGAGTTGATTGCAGAACGAGTGAACCAGTCGCTGGTAGCTACAGCCCTAATTGACTTTCTGTCTTGTGATATGGTCCTTTACGAAATGACGTTGATACTGCGACAGAGGAATGGTAAGAGTACGCTGTAGTGGGCAGGCGTAGCATTCCTAGAGTTATAAGGATGGTACCTGCTCTAGGATTAACAACTAACGATCCGAAGAACGGGTTGGTTTTATAGGTATGAAAAGGTAAAGAAAGAAAAGATCATAAACAGGACCGTTTAACAAATGTGAGCGAAAACAAACTTGGCAAGAGATTGTAAGGAGTCAAAGCAGGCACTGCAACGTCTCATTCAAAGTCATGCGCAAAGTGTGATCAATCAATTGGTACCTGCAAAAGCAAGCCACGCAAGCCCCACCAACCCCCCAAAACACAACCATTTCCATTACTCCATGCATCTTTTGTTACAAGCTGTGGCCGTTAGAACAACCATCAAATGACCGCCTTCGCTATGCAGTATCGTGGCAAGAAATAGAGACTGCAATGAAAACCTCCCACACCTTGTCACCACAGGAAACTTTTCAAGAGACAGACCGCCAATTTTTGTGATAAAGAGCACGCACACACACTGATAGAAACGCGAAATTAGACAAGGAAGAGTAACTCATTGTTGACCGGCTCCAGCAACAGTCACACCAGTAGCAGCAGGAGCATGGTAGGAACCAATACTTTGGAAGCCTCTATTGATTATGATCAGCAGGTACATTTTGTACATCTCTCCTTGTACAAGAATCTTACCTGGTAAGATCAAAACCTTGATTCTCCTCCTCGATTTCCTCTGGCTCTTCCTGCTGTGTAGGTAAAGTATTTCGAGTAGGACTGGCGGCAGACGATCGACGGACTGGGGCAGGACTGCTGCTTGGAGGGAGAGCAGGACCGCCAGCTGAGCCCTTGACAGGACTCAAGTCAAACGACGGTCCCTTCATTGGCGTGTTACCGATGTCCGCGTATTTCCAAAAGGGAGCTGGAGAACTGGTTGGCATATGCTGACTCGGTCGTTGAGCTGTGCTTGGAGGAGCAAGACGGGGATGAACACGATGAGGAGCGGGGGTTACGAACGAGCTTTCTTCATGCACCATAGAAGACGGAAGAGTAGGTGGAGATCCCGGAGTATCATCAGAAAGACCAAACGAATTCCCCTGCTGTCTCTTGTGGCGTGGAAGTGGACTTCCATCGCCAGGAACATCTTCCATCGATCGCGACAATTGTCCTCCTCGGTCGGGCGTCTGCTGGGGATCATTTGACTTGAATGAACTCAAACCAGGCGAGGCAGGAGATGGCTTCAGCTTTTGAGTTGAGTCCTTGGGAATTCGAGCTACGAAAGCAGCTGGTGAACCAGTGCCAGGTGAGCCTCGGTGGCCTCCTCGACCGCCTCGGAAACAACTTCTGGCCATATCATCGCGCATCTCAGGTACGATATGCCACTTCATACCCTTGCCAGGCTCATCGGTCTCGCGAGCTACCTTGGCGAAGGCCTTATTCAGAGATAGATTATGGCGGATGGAGTTCTATAGATCGATCAGCAAGCCCATGGAATTTGCTATTCGATGTCCCGAGCTTACCTGCCATCCACTAGGAAGCTGCTGGCGATAATAAGCGTACTTGTCCGTGATGTAGTTGTAGATCCCAGCGAGCGTGAGCTTTTCACCTTCGGCTTGTAGAATAGCTTGGCTGATCAGTTGGGCATAACTGTACGAAGGTTTCAAGTGGCCATTGGCATCAAGACTGTAGTCAATATCTTCGGAGTTCATGAGCATAGTCCCGCCAGGATATCCGGGAGACTTCCCTAATGAGTAAGGAGCCTTACTTCTGGCACTGACTGGAGTTCCTGGGCGTCGGTAATTTGGAGGAGCGGGGGCAATTGGCATCTGGCCGTTCGAGGGCATCTGGAGGTGTCCGGATGTGGATGAACCATTGGATCCATCTTGCGTCTTGTCGTCGTCCACGACCTGGATTAATCCAGCTCTCTGTAGGTACCTATCGTGGACTTGTAGTGTTCCATTAGGTGTAGGCATTACCCACATCATCTCAACGCCACCAATTTCAATGACTTCTCCATTGATCAAGATATGTCGATCTCCTCTGCGAAGATTTGCATTATCAATCTTGACACCGTTGCGTCCTTGAACAAGCAGAATCCAACTCTCTGTCTCGCTGTCGTAGTATATCTCGGAATGGGAACGGGAGACAACCTTGTTTGGTCCAAGATCGATATGTATTGTATTCTCCTTAGGAGGAGCTGAGGCTGATTGACCAGAGCCCTCGCCGGATGGTGCTGCAGGATCTCCCTCTGGTGGTCGGCCAATAGCAACCTTCACCACAGTCACATAAAACGACCAGTCCTTACCGGCGAGCTTAGCATAAGCCGTAACTGATTGATTCGGGGCTTCTTTGAACTTGTCATTCGAGTGATCCTTCGCAACCTGAACGAAGCGAGGAGGCATGGCGAGGAAGGGGATGACGGTCTCAATTAACTTGTCATCATCCATCGGAATATCGGCGCGGTTGGTGGGAAGTGGCTCGAGTTCCTCCTGCTTGGGGTCTGGACCAGGCTCCTCGACTGTTTCTTCGACCTTCAAACCATATCAGAATTGTTCTAAGAATGTGATGGTACGTCAACTCACCTTGTCCTTCTTTCTTCGCTTTGCGGGGCGGGAGGGAGAAGAGTCGGGAACCTCGACATCTTTGTTGACTTCCTTGCGGGCGCGCGCCGAGCGCTTGGTCGAGACAGGCATCGTATCGGTGGTACCTTCTGTGCAGAGAGGCACTCGATGATGGTCTGGAAGTAGCAATGGGCGTCAGTGTCTTTGTTGGTAGGCAAAATAGGGACGGGGGAACAGAATTGCGACAAGGTGTCATTCCTTGGACGAACCTCAATGAGCAGCAGCGCAAGCGAGTTGGGGTTATGTATGAGCACGCTACACGAAGTAGCAATCGATGGCCAGAGGAATCCTGCAGTGATGGCCGTGGTTGTGATCTTGGTCGATGTTGAGGTCCTTATTTGCGGCTTCGTAGTTCGCGATTGCCGCGACGAGGTGTTTGCTTCGCGTCGTCTCGCTATCGCTATGACAAACTTTATCAGAGCGCCGAACGGGAGCCTGGGGGAAGGGAGGACTCGTAGACGAGCAGGGCTGGTCGCAGGAATCGCAGGCGCAAAAGGGATTGCGAATTGTTGTGTTATGTCGAGGCGGTGATTCCCTGGAGTGGCGTGCGCGATGCAAGGCGGGTTCGTCAATTTCTGCGGTGGGTGAGTGAGTATTGATTGATTTCGATCTCGAGCGGCGAGACGAGAGACGAGGGTTTCTAGTCCGGCTAGAGCCCCCTAGCGCGATTTTCATTGGTTGGGGCTCGCAAAAACAACAGTCACCGTCACAGGCCATTCACACGGAATAAATGCCCTGCCTGTACAACGTACTGCTACCTCAGCCCGCAACTGCACGCCATCGTGATCATGCCCCTCGACGCTCGTTGAGGCTCGAATCCCAAATCATTCTTTACTCTGGCTTTCTGCATTTGATGAAGATTTGCCTTGCCTTGCCCTGTCTGGGCGGTGCTGCATCTTCTTGCCAAGCCCGACGAAGACAAACATCGCTTGCGCCACGTGATGTGATGGCAAGGAGAGCATTGTTGACCTTTGCCTGGTGTTTTGGACAGATTCCGGAGGTTTGTGGGCTTCAGCATGAAGACGTGTCCGTTTGGCGCACGGTCATCGTCATATGATGGCCAGATTTGCGGTCTAGATCTAGTGATTTTGGTGGCTTGTGTTTGGTTTGCTTTCAGATTAGTTTACCACCGTTTTCCTCCAACGAGCCGAGAGTGTGCTAACCTGCCCACAATGTAGCATGAGTTGCAGCACAGAAAAGAAAGAGAAGCGCTCTATTAAGAATACTATGTAGCGGGCCTCCGGTGCTACTAGATATATCATTTTGAAAAGTCCAAGACTGGTGATTCTTACACAGAATCAGATGATGAAAACGCACGGCCGCGGATTCATTTCTCAGCCTTGGGCCACGTAGATCGATTCAATGGATTCGTAACAGTAGAGAATATTAACTTGGGGGGTTGACTTCATGTATCGTAGCCAGTAAGATACAGGACACTAGGCTGAGGGCTATTCGTGTGCTATTACATGCGTTCTGTCATTTTCCCATGATGTGATACATGCAATGGCGCTCACGCTCACTGGCATTCATTGTTATTGGACCACCTAAAATGTATCACTAGATTCTTGATATGAGGAGAGATGTTTATCCAATTACAAGAGTGCTAAGTATCTAGCACAGCACTGGTATTAGAGTACAAGTATGCAAAATCTTACTCATCAGTCGCGAGAGTAGATGCCAAAATCTCGCGTTGTGTACACATAGACGAACACATAAAGTACAGACCATCGCCAAATGGTCTTCAGTACAGTACAATCTATCACCAAAAGCTCCCGGATCGAGCTTATACGCCACCCAAATGCTTCCTACCCACCTGCCTTTGTATTTTGAGTCCCTACCTCCGCTTTTTCATGCCTTTGTGTTTCTATGATACAGGAGCACTGGAGCCGCCACGCCGCTTGGGATTCGTGTTGCGGCCAGGACGCTTCTTCGGTGTGCTGGTCTTCGAGTCACCTTCAATGAATTTGAGCAGCTCGTCGATGCTACGAGAATCGAGTCCCTTACGAGGATCGCGACCAGTAGTGGCCTCGGCGGTCTGGCCGACCTGAGGTTGAGGTCGAGTTCGACCAAGTGTTACACGCGGTGAGACTTGAATTCCTGCACGAAGACGGCGGGCCTCGACATCCTTCTCATGTTTAGCGATCGACACGGCATTTTGAGTAAGCTGTTCGAGCCAGCTCTCGGCTTCCTTGGTGTTTTTGTCGGCGGGGCCAAGAGCATTTAGAAATATATTATAGGATTGACGCATGCGGTTTACAGCTGCCTTGGGGTCTTGGTCGAGAGCGAGAGCTTGGGCAAGTTGGAAGAGGAGGGTAGCAGCATTAATCGAGTCTTTACCAAAGACGGACTCGCAGACTGCCAGCGAAGCCTCGAACCAGAGACGAGACTCGTGGTACTCCTTCAGATGTTGGAGCATGACGGCTGCATTGTTGATCGTGGTGATGGAGTCAGGATGGTTGGGACCATAGATGACTTTCCAGAGTTCCAGTGCATGCTTTATGTAGATCAAAGCTTGCTTGGTGTCGCCATTGGCGTGGCCGAATAGTCCCAAGTTGAGATAGCTCAGGAGTGTCTCTGCGTTGTCAATGCCAAGTGTTCTCTCGGACACAATGACCGCTTTGCGTGCAAGCTCCACAGCAGCCTCCTTCTCTTCTAGTTGGTAATACAACATAGACAATGTGTTGTAAACCCGAGCGACTTCAGGATGGATGATACCATAAATTTGCTCATGTAAGGAAAGCGACTCGAGGAGTAAGTCTTGACCGAGCTTCTTCTGATTCTGCATGATTGATATTCGACCAGCCTCAAGAGCTTCCTCCGCAAGTGAGCTTCGAGGCGATGCCTCCTTGATGACGGGAACAATATTGACGATATCGTCTGGGACAAAGGTATGAGGTGTTGAAATCTTGACCGAGGCAATAGAAGCAGGAGATCCATCACGAGCCTTTTTCTTCTTCTTGCTGGTCTTCTCACCGTTTGGAGCATTGTCTTTGGCGTGCCCATTGACAGCAGATTCGACAGAGCCGTTGTGTGGTTGAGGAGTGAAGTGATAATCTTTTAGTTCCAGCTGCAACCCAAGCTTCAAGGACACTTCTCGAAGGAGTTGAACAGGTTTAATGTTGTCAGCCCAAGAAGTTTCTATGGCGTACTGGTAACGTCTAAGGATCTCTGTTTCAATTTCCGCTTGCAAGCTCTCGGGAGACACCTTTTGGAAGTCCAATGCGATTTCTGGGTACAGTGTAGCCATACTTTCGTCAATGTCGGCCTTTGGCTTGGCATTGAGACCAGCCCCAAGTAAGCAGTTGAGAAGATGAGCGATACAAGAAGCAGTCAAAGGCGTAGGCAGGTATCGAAGGTATTTACTGGCAATGTGCTTGAAAGCTCTTGAAATCATCTCTTGCAGAGTAAGAGCTCGCAGGCATTCGAGTCTCTTGCCTTCGGCAAGCCCAGCAAGCCTACCCAAGTATCTGATATTGATACCTCTCTTGTGCAAAAGTCGGCTCAATGATTGACCATCCATTGGGAAGCCGACATCACCCTCCTTAAGATCGCTGATCAACTCTGGAAGCACTGTGCCGCGCAGAAACTCGCATGCATGTCTGACATCTTGCTCATCCTTGGCCAACTCTTCTTTGTCGGAGTCGGTCTCTGGTGCCTGTCCGCTGAACGCGTCAGGGTTCAGTGAGAAGCTGAAGTTGGAGATGTCGATGCGCTCCTTATCAAAGTCCTGAGCCTCTTCGGTTGTTGCAATGGTTTTTTCGTCCTCGGATGTACTCTTCGCAGCATCATCACCGGCATCACTCTCCATTGCTTTAGCGTCTGACTTTTCGGGTGATGTTGCACGTCTTTTCTCTAACTCCCCATTTACCCATTCTCGAAGCTTAGACTTTGAGTAAGCCTCAACAAGTTCGGGTCTCAAGACTGTCATCCTGTGAGGGTATGCATTCTTGCTCGTACCATTCACTTGCTCGGGGCTGCCGACAGCAGTCCCGAATTCCTCCATCCAAGAAATATCCAGAGGTGTGATTCTGTACAGATCAAGAACATACTTTCGGCCATCCGTGCCTAGCAAACCCTTGGTTTCCACGCTGCCTTCAAGTTCGTGCCTCTTGCCAGCCTTGTCCCAAACCGCATGTTTCTTAACCTTCAAGGCCTTTGAAAGCTTTGCGAAGGCAGGTACAAATCGTTCATCGGAGGCGACGACTTCCTTGCCATCGACCGCACCATAATCGATCTGATTTTCTCCAGGGTCTCGTTGTTTGAAGATGCCGGGAACAATACTCTGGCCGACCAGGCGCTTACCCATGTAATCAATGACGACGGTTCCAGGAGTGAAAAGTCCTTCAATGTCTAGTTGGTTTACCATCCGAACACCCATAACGTCCTTGCCGGTCGCAACTCTTGCAGCCTCGTCTCCGCCTTCAGATGCGAATGTACCCACTCCATCCGCACCAAAGGAGAAGAATACATTGTTGTACACGAATATTTGGGCGTCTCTTCCCTCAGTAGGGTTCAGAGGCGCAACTTCACCTCGAGCAACGAGGATAGCCCCTCTAGCAGCTGCCTCGTTATAATCAGCAAAGAGCTTCGAGGTTAATCTTTCCCGGAAGACACGATCCTGGACAGTCTCCTTTGGCAATTCCCTTGTGGATTGAAACTCCTCATTCCAATCTCTCAGGGTCTCGGTATTCTCGATCCCTGAAATTAAGTAGCTCTCTTGAGTCCGAGTTATATCTGGCTGGTGGGCAACGAGAGGCGATATTGAGTTTGGCACAACCCATGGACTCGCAGGGGTAGCATTTGTGATCTGAAAGGTTCCCAGAGGTTCTTTTAGATTGTTGTGCTCCTGTAGTTTCTTGAATGAACCATCGAATCCTGGAGAAAGCTCCGAAAGCAAGCTCAGTAATGAGTGTGCCGCATGAGCTTTTGGAGCACCTCGGGGGAAAGGGTCGAACTTGGCATTCGAAGACTTGTTCACGAAAAACCCAGAAACGTGTGATGTGATCTGATACTGCTCCCCTTCATTGGTTGTTACCTGAATGTACAGCAGGTGGCCTTTCTGTCTCAAGTGGTATGGAGGCGGGTTCCAAGGAGATACTGATATTGACTTGATGGTCTTGGGAGCCGAATCATGGGCTTGTGGCAAGAGGTTCGACAGCACGCCAGGAGCATCAAATTTGTACCCAGTCATAGGGTGGGCTGGTGCACCGTCTGTTGAGGTTTCGCTAGCTGTGACAGAGTCGTGAAGTGAGAGGCCCGACAACACGCCATGCAAAGTGTCCGTTCGATCCCCAGCTGCACCAATGAGCTCCCTCACTCTAACAACATGTAATCTTGCCTCTTTCTCATTGTATGGGTCCTCGACAAGAGTCAGTTCGGAATCGGATGTAATGTCATCGACTTCGGACAGCTGGATGAAGTCGTTGATTCGTTGTCCCTTGTGTTCGAGATGAAAACACGAGTACTGGAAAGTCCCCGGTGTCTCAATGACCGATTGGCGTACATCATGGATTGCTTCTTGCGATGATACCTATCCGTGTGAGAACTGGACTGTAAGTTTTAAAATGATGCCTTACCATGATCTGAATCTTCTTGGGTGCGTGGGGGAGGTTGACAGTCAGTTGAAAGATGGCTAACAGCTAATCAGCACAACTTGTCCTCAAAAATACGTAACACTCCTGTCACTCTTGTCTGATTTTGGTCTTTACTTTCGACTTGATCCTCCCCATCCGCCTCTCCATTGGCTGTCGTATGATCAAGGTCGGTTGTGGTATTAGAGCTCTCTGCAGCGCCGGCTGGAGGTTCTAATAGGGGAATAGGTTAGTCCAATGTAAGTATGCAATATTCGAGTGGCTCAAGATCATTCGAATGTTCACAAAGTGGTGTTGACTTAGCCAATTGACTTACCAGAGACAACGATCTTTGCGTCATTGTTTTCTGCCATGGTGTTGAAGCGCTCAAAGATAAAGTACAGTGCATCAATTCCAAAAGAAACCCCAGGTATATGCAGGCGAAGGAGAAACAGTTATTGGTGGTACAAGAAAATGGTAGAAGGGTTATTGGAAAGAGAGGATGAGGATGCTTTTCAGGAGAGAGGCATTCCAGTAGGGATCAAAAAAAAATCGAGATGCACGGGACACTTCGGAGACCGGCTTTGGTAGGGTAGACGGGAGGCAAAACAGCCTTGTGCTTCGACCAATCGGCGCAAACCCAACCGGGCGGGTTTGTTTATTTACAACATCCAATGACCCAACATCCAGGTCTATTGGTGGTTTGATTCCGTCGCTTTGCTCTTCACAGGCCAAACTTACAGCTTGCATTACTTCTTTGCGATTGACAACACATTATTCTTGCTATGGAAATTACCTCCCTCTTGGATAATCAGTAGTAAGTCATCTCTACCCGAGTTAGAATGTAAAGTCTGTTTACATTGTGGAAGAAAGTCCACTATGGACATTGCAGTACCTCTTTCGAGCAGCAATTCGCATGCCTTTACGCCAGTTAGACGGCGCGAATCCACCATTAATACCAGAGTATTCGATGCGGATCAGGAGCAGGAGTGGACAGCTGCACGTTGCCACCGACTCCTCCGAGCCTTGACCTCGAGAGTTGCCATTCTCAAAAAGGATATTTTGTGGCTTCAGGACACAGCAAAAGAGAATATTCGGAATGAAAGGGCAACCATCCCACAGGATTCGAGAAGTGCCGATGCAGAATGGACCAAAACGAAAAGAAGGATCAGACAAACATATTCTAGCAGAGGAGGAAGAAGTGGGAGTAACCCACAAGCTACGAAACGAGGTCTTCGAAGTGCAGCACCAAAAAGAGAGAGGGGTTCAATACTTCCTGGTGAAATCACAATACCAACGCCTATACTTGCTCGAGCTAGGGGCAACAAACCTCCTGTGTTCCAAGCACCATGGTCGGCACACGATGAGCCACGTGCAGAAGTTGTCCGAGCAAACAAGCGTCCTAGAACACGGTACCCAGCCAATGACGGAGATGGCCAATTCCACCAATCCGAAACATTACGAGAATTGCGGCAGAAGATTCCTGCATCACGATATACGATATATGAGGGCATATACAATGGACTGGAAGCATTGCTTCGCGCCACAACCAAGGATGGAACAGCGGCAACCACAAAGCCAAAAGGAGCCAGGTCTTTGCTTTCAATGACGCTCCATGCTGTTCCGCGATATATTACCCAACAAGAAGGATTGATAGAGGCACACATGGAAGCAACTGGTAGCAGAAAAGCTCTTGACCAAAGAGATATCTCAACCGAGATATATGACGAACTAGAGTCATTTGGACCATCCAGATATGGTTGGAAATGTTTGAAGGACGTAGTTCGATCCCACGGAATTCAGGTCATCCGTGAATCTGTCCACTCGGGCTTATTCGAAGATTCTTTCTGTGGCGTCTTGATTGCTCTTTGCGTTAACACATTTGCTATTGAAGAAGCACAATCCATTCTTTCAGCACTTGTATCTTCGCGGGAATACCCGAGTCCGAGGACTCTATATGATACGCCTAGCCGACCATTGAGAATGCTGTCAAACTTCACCGACTTTACCAGCCTCGCCTCCTTCCAGTTCAGGGAACTGTCAAGTATAATGGCCAGCGGATTATTGCCGCTTGAATGGCTCGCTACCAAAGAGTTTGGATCTATCTGGACTAAAGCCATGCAGCGCATCTCTCCTGGGCAAATTGATGATGACGCCATAGCGTTCCTGGATAATGCCCTATCTCTACTCTCTTCTGCTGGGCCAAGTCCGTCGACATCTGGAAGCAACGCAGTCACTGAAGCAGTTAAGAACACTTTTTCGAGTCTGCTTACTACTCTCTCGTCGATTGTTATCCTGAGCAAGGAGGCGCAGCGAAAGGACAACTACAAGATCGCACATCAATCTACCCAATATGATCACATCACCGCAATTCTGGGCGGGTGTTTGGTCGAATGCGGATCTGCTGATAAGCAGATATTATTGCTCCTGTCGAATCTGATCATCCAGGGTGACATTGTCAAACAGGAAGATCAAAATTGCTCTTTGGTCGATTTACTCCTGGCTCGACTGCAACACAAGAGCATCTCGGCAGCTTCACCTTCATACTTTCAAGCTGTTAATCTCATTTGTCAGGTCGCTAGATGTTGTGGCAGAGCATCCACTAGCCCAGGGCTGGCGCATCTCGAACAAATACACCTTCTCATGTTCGCAGCAGCTGCTGAGAAAGACGAAACTAGTATTGTTCAGGGATTGATCGTCGACAGCGCCTTTGCCTTTGCCCAGAAAGTCCCGGATCGCGAGCATATCGACTATGCCGCCATCGTGGACGAACGATATTCTGCTAGAAGACTCGACGTTGAAATCGGCCTGCATGAAACCACAGGTAAGGATTGCGACGAGGACCTGAGTGGATTCCGTTGGGAGGAAGGGATTGGCGAGTGGGTAACTGCGACGCCTGCTGGCGTTGCTAAGACAAAGGCCGTTGCTGCCAAAGCTTTCTGCGGCTATTCCGAGTTTGATACCCCCTATCGGCCTCCGCCAAAATTGCGAAGATTGGAAAGCCAGGTAGCAGCAGTTATGTATCGAAATGCTTCGCCATTCAGCAGTCCGAATTTTGACGATTCAGTACGAGTTCAGTCTTTGAGTTCTCGAAGCGGATCAGTAGGCGCTGTAACGGACATTGCATCTGAGGATGACAAGCCTGCCCACAACGACATAACAATATTGACTAACAGTTATGATGAGCTTGACTCTGCTGTATTCCTAGGAAAGGCTGACTCCGAAGATGAGGCTGACTTAAGTGAGATGGACGTTTCAGTCCCCGATTATTCACTTATCTGGAATGGTTCCACGACATCATTGGCAAGCATGGCGTCTCCTGAGCGACGGCCAATTGACAGAGGACCAAGGCTGAAGAGAAAGTTACTTCGCAACAGTCATGAGTGGCAAAATCTCGAAGACTCATTCGTTTCTACCGCGACAGCCGCATGTTCGAATGAGGGTGGCGGATCTACAGGATATCGTGAGCACGTTGATCGAGCACCAAGGCTAGGGCGGAGGGCGCTTCGCCCGAGCCAAGCGTGGAAGTTGTTCGAAGACAGCGATGATGAGCTGAGTATCCTCTCCGGATCATCTCGTAGCGATCAAGCATTGAGGGATGCCACAAGCTCAGGAAAGTCTAATGCTCGGCGTCCACGTCAGGTGACGGAAGCAATCCCACCAAAGTCCAGTTCCCTGAGCATCGCTCCTCTCAGCGACAGCGAAGATGAGTTGTGCATTTAAATCCGCAGTGTTCCCTCAGCATCAAAACATACAACGCCTAAAGACGCGGACACAGGATGCTTGACGTTGAAATTGGAGTATGGTCTTCGCGTACACACCATCTACGGACCGATAGGATTAGGAGTCAAGTTCGATCTGGTTGGGCCGGGTGAAAGATGGGATTGCAAGCCGACGTCAGCATCCCTCGAATAGCGAGACGAATGTCTAACCGTCGACCGAAAGATGTGAAGGGTGCCGAGAAACGTCTATTCTTGCTTCCTCGTAATTTTCTATTGGTAGTTCAAGCACTTCTTTGCACAGCCCTGCCACGATGTCTGCATCACCACTGCACCCATCCCTACTTGTCGCTTCGGGATTGATACGTGAATAGAGCAACTCGAGCACAATTCCCCGCCTGACGAATGCGTGCATGCAAAAGTCATCTCATGTTCTGCTTAATTGAAAGACTTGGCGGGTTGGTCTCACGTGCTTTGATAAATCGGCTGAAGTTGCCGTCCGACCAAGTGAAACGACTCTGCTCTTATCATATGTTTGTTCGGTTTCAACACGGCCAATGGAGCTCAGTAACTTACAAGCCAATCAAGCCAATGAAACCAATCAATGAAGTTGTGACATTTTTGCACCTGGTTTAATCAACAGCCTGATCAACACCCCAATCTATCTTCCACGACAGCTTCAACCCCTTAGGAATGCTCACTCGGAGGAAGCACGCCGGACCTGAAAGAGCGAGAAATCCGGTGTTCGAAGACCGGAGCACCTACTAACGAGACTACAAGGTGTTGTGAACTGTGTGCTGTGAGAAATCTCTGTTGGTATTTCCTCATACTCGATGTTTCTTGCGAAATGAAACAATATTACGAAAAGTTAGAGAGCGGATTGACCTCCTCACAATTTCCCCTGCCTTGTTGCTCGCTGTCTCGGCGTGTCGAAGGGATAGTATTTTGTTTATGATCGTGCCGAACTGACAATAAACATGCTCCTTAAATTCTCCCCACATGCGTCACCACAGATTAATTATTTGGCAGGCCTGCGAGATTGGTTTGTGGAGAGGCTTTGAGAGAGGAAAGGATTAGCGCTCGTTTGATTCACAAGAGACTAGGCTAGGTTCAGCAAGGGGTTTCTCGGTGCTTGTGGACTCAAATAGATTGATGTATATTTTAAATCTGGGATCGAGATTGGCGTTTCGTGGGGAGTAGTTACCGGAATGAGAGTGGGCAGGCGAACCAAGCCTGATTGTATGATATTTACAGATTTATTCTTGGGTAGATTGGCGGTATGGAAATACATGCTTTCGATGCAGGTGATACAGCACATCTCCGAACCGGCAGCTGTTGTTTTAGTCGAGTGCTCGGCAGGAGTTGCAGACTCTTGAGAGACTGCTACTGTAGGTAATGTCAGGGGTGCGGTACAGTAGCAGAGTGGATCCCCTGAACCCCTGAGCAGCGCCGTCCCGTCGGTCGGGATATCACCTGGGCAGTGGCCAGTGGCCAGTGGGCACTGGGCACTGGGCACTGGGCACCTCAGTGGTGAAACGGCCACAACCTAGGAACTTTACCTTAGCCTCGCGCCTACCGACGTTGGCATACCTGGGCCCCTCCCCTCCTCGCCCTCCTCGCCCTCGCCCTCGTCCTCGTCCCCCGTCCGCCATCCCTCCCTTAGCCGGGTTAGCCCCCAGCCCCGAACGCCAAGGCCTGAGCCCTGTCCCCTGTCCCCTGTCGCCCGGCGGGCTGGGCATCTCATCGTTGACCCCCTCACCCCACAGCATACAGTACAGTAGGGTAGAGAAGCAGCGGAAGGCAAGGATAATTATTAATGGCAGGGAAGAACGTGCACTCTCGAGACTCTGTACCAGTGTACCACTGTACCTGCGCCGGGAGCCTGTCGATTCGTCGATTTCGATTGATGCCCAGGCGTCGTGGCTTATCAACACGCAACAACCGTCGTAAGTTTAAATTTATCCACGCCCGCCAGTGCCCTCTGCCTTCTGCCCCTGCCTCGGCCCTCCTTTTATTCTTGCAACGACAGGCCGACGGCTCAATCAACGCACAGTACAAGGTCACAGTACAAGGTCAGTAACTACCTAAGGTACCTACCTATCTACCAATTTACACGCTCCTCTCCAGTCTCGTGACATGGAAACGAGAAGAGTACCTATGTAGGTAGGTAGGTAGGTAGGTAGGTAGGTAGGTAGAGAAATAAGAGTAGAGACAAGGGTAGGGAGATAAGAGACCCAACGAAAACATAGATGGGTGGGTAAGCCTGGCGTGCCATGGCGTCTTGTCTCCAACCCGTTCCACCTCCATCTCCACTTCTATGCTGCTATGCTCCATTATTATTACTATTATTGCTCCTGCAGCTCAAGCGGCTTGAGTACAATAGTAGTCAGGTTCCACTGAAATCTGTTTCCTCAAACCTAGGTTGTCTAGTCGAAGTGGCTTGCTTGCTTGCTTGCTTGTCGTGGGGATCGGGCACATTCTAACAAGATGCCAACGGCCCCCCTCCTCACCCCCCTGGCCTCCGCTCCTCTGGGGGCAGATCTTAAGAAGTTCTCGTCCCGTTCCACCAACCACTTTCCACCCCTTTCTTCTTCCATTCCTCCTTCTCACCACCAACCTTTTCTTTTCCTCGGATTCTCGTGTGCCTCAACTGACGACAGGCAAATCTTCTTCCCTTCCACTCGTGCTTGCGCGATCATCCTTTTCTGACTTCGGTCCTGGACGAGAACACTCAAGGTCTCTTCTCTTCGCCTACAGATCCATATTGATTGTACTCTCCTTCATTTCAAAGATCCCTCTGAGTTAGAGGACCGCTTTATTAGACGACAGACACCCCTCGATTTGGGTTCCACATTCCTTAAACCGCTCAACCCTTCAAACTCAACTTCTCATTCACCAGATATTCTGTTTGCTGCTGGACATTCTTCAGAATACTTTCACGAAGTTCACTCGGACTTGAGGCTGGGATATTCCTCGATCTTCAATCCTAAATCATATTGAGATCTTCGACGCTACCCGGGCTTGGATCTTGCAACTCCCCACAGTACTCGTTTCCAACGTCAAAGCAAAAGCAGATCTCGACGTCACTTTTCGAAAAGTTTCCCTTAACAGTCGCGGTATTTCGCCAGCAAAGGAAGAAACAGTTATGTCTTCTTCGACTCGGCTCCTGGCCGTGATGGCTTTGGCACGGATAGCTTTCGGAGCAGCACCACCAGCCCCTACTGGGGCCGCGGCCGTGGCAGCAAAAGCTGAAGCAGCCAAAGCAAACGTATTGAATCAGGACTTCTATAATTACCTTTTCATCATTTGCGGTTCTCTAGTGGTAGCGATGATCATGTGGAGGATGAGCACAGAACTGGTCAAATATGTTCGCCAATTGACTTCTCTCAACAACGACACGCAATCATACTTCATCGCTCCTTCTGAGAATTTTGCCCGCTTCAAGAAGCATCTTCTCTATGCTCCAGTGGTCAGCAAGAGACATAACAGGGAATTCCAATTGTCCTCAGCAGTCAACATGGGAACACTTCCCACTCGTCTTCAGCTCGCGTTTCTGGTTGGATATATTGGCACGAACGTCGCCTTCTGCGTTGTGAGCATCAACTGGGATCTAGCATATGCTGATACTCTCAAGCAATTGAGGAACCGTACTGGTATCCTTTCCGTTGTCAACATGGTAAATCATTTGTCATCACGTGAGGGCCATTATTTACTCTTCTATTCTAGATCCCTCTGTTCATCATGGCCGGACGAAATAACATTCTGATTAACTGGCTTAATATCTCATTCGACACGTTCAACTTGCTTCACAGATGGTTTGGCCGTATCGTGGTTCTCGAGGCAGTTGCCCATACGGTAGCATGGGCCATTTCGTCATATTCAAGAGGTGGCTGGGCTGCTATTCAGGCGTCTATCACTGGAACTCCTTTCATTACGTATGGTTTTGTTGTAAGTTGCTTGCCAAAGTTAGCACACTCGATTCTAATTTTCTAGGCTACTGTCGCGTTTGTAGCAATCTCCATCCAAGCCAGCTCAATCTTCCGTCATGCATTTTACGAAACCTTCAAATATATCCACATCGCTCTCGCCATCCTCAGCATTGTCGGACTATGGTATCATCTTAAGCTTGCAGAGGTTCCACAGCTTACCCTGCTTTACGGCGTCATCGGTATTTGGGCAGCCGAGCGTGGTACGCGACTTGTCAAATTGGCATGGAGAAATGGAACTGGCTCCAAGGCCCTCGTCGAAGCCCTCCCAGGTAATGCTGTCCGCGTTACCGTCGACATGCCTCGACCATGGACTTTCAAGGCCGGCCAACACGCATACCTATACATGCCATCGGTTGGCTTGTTCACCTCGCATCCGTTCTCGGTTGCGTGGTCAGAAGAGGCGGAAAACTTAGAAGGTGAGAAGCTCGCAATGAATCGACAGGATATACTGGCTATGAAGAAGACTTCCATGTCATACGTCATTCGACAAAGAACAGGCTTCACCAAGAAGTTGTTCCAGAAGGCCGAAGGTTCTCCCGATGGAAAGTTCTATACTAAGTGTTTCGCCGAGGGCCCTTACGGTGGAAAGCACATGGTAAGTTCCTCCATTTTGTCGGATCTTCAGCGACTAACGGTGGTAAGATGACTTCGTATGGAACAGTAATGCTATTTGCCGGAGGTGTTGGAATCACCCATCAAGTACCTCACGTTCGTAATCTAGTAGCCGGGTATGCCAACGGGTCAGTTGCTGCTCGCAAGATCGTTCTCGTTTGGATAATCCAGTCTCCCGAGCATCTTGAGTGGATTCGACCGTGGATGACGTCCATACTCGCCATGGACAAGCGACGTGATGTTCTCCGTATCATGCTCTTCATCTCCCGACCTCGCTCGACTAAGGAAATTCACAGCCCTTCTGCAACCGTCCAAATGTTTCCCGGAAGACCAAATATCGAGACTCTCATGGACCTCGAGATCGAGAACCAAATCGGTGCTATGGGCGTCTCCGTCTGTGGATCTGGTGCATTGAGCGATGATGTGAGAAGTGCAGTAAGAGCCCGACAACTGGTGAGCAATATCGATTTCGTGGAGGAGGCATTTTCTTGGTAGAGATCTCCAATACCAACAAAAGTTCCGGTGACTTGAGAAGGTAGATGGTAGGGAATTTTGGGATAGACGTTGTCAGCTTCTGTGACATTTCGGCTTCTTCACAACACCCTCATGTTCACCCATTCTCACTTGGTGGGGACAGGGGAGGGACAAATAACACGAAACAGCACAAGGCAGACTTTCTTTGTACATGATAGGGTATTTTCTAGAGTGGGCCAGGGTAAGAATGGCCGAAGAATGAAGGAGACAGCTTAGATCTGATATGAGATGACGAAATGACACGGCTTGCTGAGCAGCTATGTATCAGATCATACATCCCACCACAATCTCTTTCTCTTGAGTACAGTTTTGTGCCAACTTCAACTCCTGATATCGTGTTGTTGTCGGTCGCTGTTCGCGGAACAGTGCCTGGACAGTGATCCTCCAAGTCAAAATTATAGCTTTACTTTGTGCAGACATTATGGCAAGTCCTTTGTAACTCTCAATAATGCAAGGATTAGCTTCTCAAGAGATCATCTCCTGTCTCCATCAACATCAACTCTTCAATCAGTACTGACTGATGTCAGAGAGATCCCACAAATCTCCTCTGCTAACGCTAACGCCAAGCGCTGCCCCTCCCTTATCGGCTGCAATCGAGACTCGTTCCGGTTATCGCGCATAACCTCTGCTGAATGCTCCAGCCTAGACCTCACCCCAAGACCTACAGCCCAAACCCACTGCTTACCTGCCTCTGCTTACTCTTCGACCCTTCTCTTCCCTCTCCCTCTTTTCCCTAGATACGCCTCTTCAAATGCTGGATAAACGACAACCAAATAAGCCTGTCATCGCTGCCTAGCTCACTTCACTTCGAGACGTCCACTCCACCCCGAGCTACCTGTCCTGCGAGAACAACGTTCACGCCGGATCGACACGTCACTTGCTTGATCTTCCTTCAACCCTCAGCCTACTAGCAATTACCTGCATACCTGAAGAGATCTCAACTCAGAGGGATCTGCCAGCCCATATACTTCGCACGTCTCATTCCAGATTCCGAGTTTCAAAAACGAGGGGAACAAGAAAGACTGGATTAGTGAGTCTGGACAAGACCGGACAGAACAGCCAAAGTGCGGTTCGGCAAGAGAGCAAGGAAGCAGGACAATATGGGCCTCTCCTATAATGTGTACCTGAATAGCCACAAGATCTACGGCTGCAAGAATTGTAAGGCTCATCTTTCCAACCATGAGGATATCATCAGCCGAGTAAGTCGTCCTTTCCCCTCTCATCCCTTCGTCACTCCACTATTCAAAGCCTACTGGCTACCCTTATCCCATCTTTCTACTCCCACCCAGACTAGCACGGACTAAAAACCTCTTTTCAGAACTTCCGTGGCCAACATGGCAAAGCCTACCTCTTCAACAATGTCGTCAATGTTGTAGCCGGCGATGCCTCGGAGCGTAATATGACCACAGGCCGCCACATCGTCCGCGACATTGCGTGCAGACAGTGCAGTGAGACAGTTGGCTGGAAGTACGATAAGGCGTATGAAGCTAGTGAGAAGTACAAGGAGGGCAAGTTCATTCTAGAGGCTGAGTTGCTTTGCAATGTCACCTAGGGAGAGCATGGCGTGATTCTGCTTCGTTCTTTTTTGCTCTGGCTATTTTTATGGTTTTCTGAGGTGGGCTATGGCTTATGGAGTTAATGTGGAAAGGGTGCGGGTTAGGAGTTTGCATTCAAGTGGGTGGCTGGCGTTCCTTCATGGCATTACAGCGCTCAGCACTCTGGACTTACGAGTATATGATTAAGTGGACAACCAGGTGATCGAGGTGTTTATCATGATGCTTCCATCTGCTTTGATCTGTTTTCCTTGCTTGGTTGGTTTGGGATGGGTCACTAGGATATTGAATCTACTGCTTTGATACTACTTGAAGATCTTCCGTTCGATGAGCCGGTTGCAAGCATGCATGAAATTTTAGGCACTGTACGGAGAGCTATGCTTCGCAGTGTAATGAAAGCTTCCAAGAACCCGCCGCTTACGAGTCTATTTCTCCGCCCCAGTGATCTGTAAGTAGTGGTGGGAGAAGAATAGCCAGCATGCGTTCCGAGACATTAGGGATGTACAAGTAAATTCACTTGACGCCGATATAAACGTTTCTCGCTGTAAGATGCATTAGTTTTCTTCAGATACTCTCAACTCGATACGGTCATGGACCTCGATCTTCTAAACGCTTCGCAAAAAAATTTAATTTAAATACTTGCCGTAACTGTATAGCGGGGTCAACTCTCAACCCGCGAAATTGATAATGCACCCCAGGTTCATAGTGATGCCGACGAAAAATACTTATCGCGACTATCAGATGTTTGTACTAAATTATGCTTGAAGAAGCATATCAGTGACGTAGTGATCCATCAGCAGCTTACTATGCTGCGAACGCATTGAGATCTTGAATATGTTTGAGATCGCCACTATCCTCAATGCCCTCAATGTCCTAACTACTTCGAACGGTCACAATCAACATTCTTATATCTGTAACATTGACATTAGCAGACACTGACACTGTAATCAAAAGAATCAATGCTAAAACAATCTACATCATCGAAATCGCAACATCACAATGAGTGCTATGGAACCGAACTGGTCAATGAACTTGGAGTGAGCACTCAAAGTTCATAGTTATTTCTGGCACGGAAGGAAGGTCGATTGAACATAAATGGATGAATTTATCTCTGGAGGACATCAAGTCAAATACATTCTTTTTTCCATCTGTCCGATCTTTTGACCAAGAGATGGAACATTTGCTGAAGGTATTGGATGCAGACGTATACTGTTTGCAGTAGCTTACATCTTTGACAGTCTCTGGGAAGTCTCTGGAAATTCATGTTCCTTTGCTGCTGCTCCTGCCGTTGGTTAGGTTGCAGGTTCACAAGTCTTTCGTCTGCTCTGTTTCCCGTGCTGCTCAAATATGCCTGAAAGGAGTGAATTCTGATCTGGTCAGCACAAAGCCATGCCGTGTTGAGCATATCACCAACCAGTATATTCTCAGTTGTGAGAATGCCTGCTACCAGCTCCAGATTCTGCAAGCTCTTTGCAATCCTTGATATGGAAGAAGTGCTTCTGGGCCCTGTAGGTTTTCCTTTGCTTCGTGCTGTGCCCTCTCAATTCTGTCTCGGCTTAACAATGCCATCATGCATTATATAGTAAACAACCGTGCTATCATCATGCAACGTAGCTAGTAGTATTCTCTTCTGTCTGTTCGTTCCCTGCCATTGCCATCCCACATTCTTCTGGTATTCTCCGTCTCGCTCTTCGTGCTCACCACCAGGTGGCACAGTACTCAGCGCATCAAAGACTGCCGCAAACTTCTTCAAGCTCATCTTCTCCTGCAATTGCGTAGGCAACACCCATTCCCTCTCTGGTTTCTGCTCGATGCGCTCCCCAGCCTTATGTTCCACCTTCAGAATCTCCACTTGCTCATCTGGATGCGTGTATGCTCTCTTTGGGGGCAATCCTGAAATAAGGAGTCGCGGTAGAGGATCGTTGGTGAGCGGTGAATGCGTGTGTATAGATATGGCACGCCAGTCGTGCTGGTATTGAAGATCATGGACGACTTGAGTAGCTAGATTGTAGAGGTGCGCTGGGTGAGGCGAGGACAAGACATTTGGCTTGGAGGCTTGCAGGATGTCGCAGAGGGCTGATGCAGGTGGTGGATCTGTTGTTGTTGAGGAAGCCATGTCCTTGCAGGTTCGTTGGGGTGCTGAATGGTTTGCGTGCTGTGTCTGGCAGACAGAGAATTGGCTTGCAGACCTGCGTTTGTCCTGAGCTCGGTCTCGCAACTCGTAGTATTTTTTTGGAGTCGTCGTACTCGCGAAAGCTCGGCGCGAGAAAAGTGAAAGTAAACACTAACGAGGTTTAAATGGGAGTGGAGCGCATGCCATGCATGATACCGTACGACAACCACCTCAGTACTAGTGCCAGGACTTCGGAGCGCAAGCGGCAATTGCGAATGTCAAGAGTCTCGGCGCTTTGAGGTTAGCTAGATACCTTATTCGAGGCCTGTCTGGAAGAGAAGAGTTGATCCAGCTGTGAGTCGACTCCAGCGGGTACAGGTACAGGCAGACAGGTACGGTACCGAATTGAACGGAATGGAAACATTCAGTAGTAAGGTAGTTGGTTCAGTGTTGGCCTCGTCTGGAAGGCTGGAAGGCTGGAAGTCTGGAAGGCTGGAAGTCTGGAAGGCTGGAAGCCTGCAAGGCATGTTCGGTTCGGCATCAATCAGTGCCGGTGTGCCGAGTCCCCTACGGGAAGCCAAATGAATCACTTGTGCGGAACCTCCAATTTCGCGATTTTATATATTTCGCTATTTATTAACTTCTACTATTTATTACACCTTAATATTAACCCTAATAATATATAATAGTCTTATTAAAATCTAATTAAGGTATAGGAATTTTTTTAATACTACTTATAAAGCTAACCGACGTGTATTAATAGGTGTAGCGTAAGGACTAGTTAGTATTAGGTACGAAAGTATAATTATACTACTATTCTACTTACTTACCTTCTCTTTATTACTAAAGACCTATCTAATATACACTTACTTACTTAGTAATAATATACTTTATTATTCTATTACCTTATAAGTAGATATCTCTCTTAATACAAGTAGTAGTAAGATATTTTATTATATAGAATATCAGATAGATCCCACTTACTCCGCAGTTTTATAAACACTAAATATATAGCTACCTCTTTATATAATAATCTTTATAATACTCTCGGAATCTAGATTATTAATTATAATAATTTTATTAATATAGGTTTCCTTTTATCTCTATTAGTAGTTATTAAGATATAGATTATTGAATTTTCTATTACTTTACTATTACTTCACTTCCTTCTACTTTTAGAACTTAATATATCTATATATATATTTCCTATGTTTCCTAATATATAAGAAGTACTTTCTTATATTAGCTACTCTTTTATATAGTTAGATATTATAGCTAAAATATATATCTTTTATAGTAATATTATTAAGAACGATTTAGCTAACTTTTATACTCTAATTAGCTGCGCTAAGTTTTAAGGGTCGAATCTACTAGGACTCTTAGCTATACTACTACTAGAATATACTAGGGTAATAAGATCTCTAGATAATAATAGTAATAATAATAGTATTATCTTTATAGGTATAAAAAGTACTATAGATATTAAGGAGGAGTAGAGATAAGAGAAACAGAAAGTAAAGAAGCAGGAGAAGGTAGCTAAGGAAGGATAGTATAAACTAGCTTAAGGGGAAGAACTTTCGTAGATCTCTATAACTAGATCTATACCTATATTAACTTATCGTGTTAATAGAGAGGAACTTACTTATTAAATAGTAAAGAAAAAGAAATATACTAGAGATTAGGATATAGATAATAAGGCACTTACCTTAAGGCTCCTCTAATAGTTTAGTATTAATCTAAAAGATAATCTTAAGATATCTTTTTAAGCTATATTATTCCTAGATAACCTTAAGTTCCCTGCTTTAGTTAAAGTTAAGGTATTAAATCGTCTTTTTAAGATCTTTAAGAATATAGTATTATAACTAACTATCTAGGACTAGCTTTATACTTAAGTAAAAGAATTAGACTTATAGATAGAATCGCTATCTAAGTTTAGTATTAATTTTAAACGGAAAATCACTATCTAACATTAGCCTTTAGGATAGTTACTAAGTAAATTTCTCTATATTATTAACAGCTTAAGGAAATTTAATAGAAAGTAATAGCGAGACTTCTACTACCTTAGACTTAGTGTACCTAATAAGTATATAATAGTTGTTCCTATTGAAAATACTATACTAAGTCTCTTACCTCCTCTAGCTCTAAAGCTAAAAGGTTAACTGAAAAAGAAGGCTCTAAAGCAAGGGAGATCTAATTCTATCTCTCCTATTATCTTTCTAACTATATTTAAGATTAAGAGAAGTAAAAGTATTAATTCTATTAGTACTACTATTATAGAAGTAAGTATCTAAATTAAGCTAGAAACTATTAAAGAGGAAGAAAAGGAGTTATTATCTTTATTATTATTAGATAATAAGGATACGACTAATACTATAATTAAGGCAGAGATTAAAAAGGAGATTAAAGTAAAGTCGATTAACTTATATATAAAGATATATATAACTAGAAAGTTACGCTGATCTAATATTATTATTAATAATATTACTAAGGCCTTGTAATCTATGGAATATATACTTTGAGTAGCTGAAATACTATAAGTAGATATTACTACTATATTTTGAAAAGATAGTGAATTTCTAATTAACTAATTTAACCTTATTACTAAAGATGAGGTTAGTTTCTTTACTAATACTAGTCTTTTAGATCTTAACTAAGTACTAGGTAGACTTATCTAATAAGTGTAATTCTACTTATAACTTTAACTTCGCGAAGTATAAGATACCGGGGTAAGCGTAAGAAAGGTATATATAAAGTTTAAGTAACTTAATAGTAGCTCTAAGGGTTATTAGCTAGCTAATTAAATAGATTTTCCTTTAATTATACTTTATTTTCTATGAAGTCTTTACTATAATTACTCTAGGTAAGTGTTACGGACGCTCCTGGGAGCCCGCTGGGTCCCAGGAGGAAATATCCTCAGAGCAGGCGTACTCCTGGGAGTCGGACGGCTCCTAGGAGTAAAGCTCACAGGAACCAATAAGGTCTAAGGAACATGTATCACATAGCATTACATTATAGTAGTATTGCAGGTCACGGTGATCTGGCAGCGGCCTTCCGCGGTCGGGTCACGTGACGGATCCCAGGGGATCCCAAGGGATCCAGTACGACTATGTCGTGAAGGATCCCAAGGGACCTGTGGGATCCAAGGAGAACGAAGGTTCTATATAAGACTGGCACGTCTGCCATTAGATAGGAGCTTCGTGCTCAACTTCAAATAGTATTCTGATACTTAGTAACTGTCTTCCCGTCTACGTGATACACCTACCTCTCGATCATCAGAGATCAACTGCAGCCTTCTGTATTTACAGCGAGTAAATACCGGACCGTTACAGTAAGGTATACCTTATTAAGCGAAAATACTTATATTATCTTACCTTTAATTATACTTTATATTCTTACTCTTCTGTTTATCTTATAATACTTGAAGTAACTACTTATAAAGGAGACGTTTATTATACTTTAAGGGTATCTGCTAGTATGTTAAGCTACTTTTTAAAGGGAGCTTTAGAATCTTTATATAGTATAGGACTTGATACTTAATTAGACCTATAAATAGATCTGTATTCAGTACCTTGATTTTACTCCTAGGAGATGTACTTTCTATAATTAGTTTTTAAAATAGAAGTAGCTAGATAAGAGAAAGCGCGAATAAGAGGATCTAAATCTTATAGAGTTATATAAAATACTCTAGTGAAGAAATTACTAATATATAGAAATAAAAGAAGCTCTATAAGAATACTATAGATATCCTAACTTATCGAATTATATCTATAAAAAAGTATATAAATAATACGATTTACGATAAAAGTCGAAAAGGGATAATCCTAAAGTAGTTACTAAAGTAGAAGCTATAATCTGTAAAGCTTTAGCTACTAGCTAATCTATATATTAGGTTATCTAATAGAACTGAAGTCGCGAATTAAGCTTAATATATCTATACTATAAAGAGATTTAGCTTTCTAAAGTGTATTAGATCTAATAAGGGATTAGAGACTTAATTAATTACTAACTATTAAGTAGGTCTATAACTTAAATAAAATAAACTAAGTATATTATAGAAAGAAGCGTACTATTACAGAGTTTTAATTAAAAAATATTCGTATTAAGCGTTAGTAGGATCTTCTAGTTTAAGGATAAATAAGAGAATAGAAAGCTTACTTTAAGAGTTTATATAAGGCTAGCTTTTTTAATAGCTTAAAGATTAATAAGATAGCTCTTTAATTTATATATATATATATATTATACGAAAGTAAATTATATAGTATATTAAGAACTAGAACACTAGATATATACGTTAAGATAAAAAACAAGCTAGTTATTATTAAAACGGAAAGCTAGATAAGATGTTTTAGTACTTAGGAAAATAATTCCGGAATTATAGCTATAAAATTAGTACTAATTTACACTCTTCAGATTATAGTCTATTACTAGTAGAGATAGAAAAGGAAGTTGAAGACTATAATTTAGAGATATACTTATATCTCGAAATAGAAGCTCTTTATAAGTTTATCCTTAAGTAGGAAAGTATAGAATTCGACTTAAAGGCTTAGATATTCTTCTCTAGCTTAAACTAACTATATATTCTTATATACTAATATCTCTAAGAGTGTCTTTATTAGATTTAAGAGACTAGGACTAATATAAAAGAATACCCTAAACCTCGTAAAGAGTAAAAGTAGATCGATATTATAAAAGTATACTATATAGAATAAGAGTATTAATACTATAAGAATAAAGATAAAGAAGAACTAGACTTAAGTTAACTAGAAGATAGTAATAGTAGTTTAAGTATAAGTACAGATTCTAGTTCTAACTCTAAGAGAGAAGATAAGGTACTTATCTTACTATTTTATAGAGTAGGAGAAAGTAACTCTAAAGACTTATCTTCTATATCTTCTATATCTTCTATATCTTCTATATCTTCTATATCTTCTATATCTTCTATATCTTCTATTAGCGATTCTTCTAATACTAATAGTAGTAATAGTAACTAAGCTTAGTTATAGTTCAGTTATAAAGTATACTTCTATTAAAAAATTCTAAGAGTTTAAAGATACCTAATATAATAGATATCTAATTAACTACTTATTTCCTCTCTCTTTATAAGGAAGCTCTCTTAAGGAACTAATCTATAGTAGGAAAGAAGCCCTTTCAAGGAACTAATTTATAAAGAGAGAAGTAGTAGGTGTTACTAAAACTAATATACTAAGGCTAGTATTAGGATTATAGTTACGACTATCTGATTTAAATATAATCTTAGCTAATACCGAACTTAGTTAATACTTTTCCGATAGTTCTAGTAGAGTATTAAAGGGGCGTAAAGCTCTGCTTATTCAGACTACTATAGTAGCTCTCCTTTGCTATAACTTTAATAGGATTACCTACTCCCTAAAGGAGAGTAAGCTTAATATAGCTATTATGTTAGAGTTGCTAGAAAAAAGGGCGCAGAGCTCCGCTTGTTTAGATTACTATAGTAGCCCTCCCTTACTATAACTTCAACAGGATCACCTACTCCCTAAAGGAGAGTAAGCTTAACGCAGCTATTATATTAGAGTTACTAGAAAAAAGAGCGTAGAGCTCCGCTTATTCAGACTACTGTAGTAGCCCTCTCTCGCTATAACTTCAATAGGATTACCTACTCTCTAAGGAAAGTAAGCTTAACGTAGCTATTATATTAGAGTTACCAAAGAATTAATAAGTACTTAAGTATATTAATAAAGCCTTAAGTATATTTAGCCTTAGATAGGACTAGTCCGCCTAACTACTTAAGCTATCGATAGAACTAGTCTATATAGTCGAAGTTGAAGTCGAGTGTTAGTAGTCTATAGAGGAGTAAGGGCCTACTTCTTTACTAGGTAACTAGGCTCCTTAGCTGCCCCTTAAAGCTATTTGAAGTTAGAAGGTTAGCAAGTTAGAAGGTTAGTATATAATTATAATAATAGATAGGGATAATAAAGGCGATAGTAAAAGCAATAGCGAAGGTAATAGTAATAGTAAAGTTATAATAAGTAGTAAGTAGTTATATTATAGTGATATATCTTATAATGCGATTAACCTAACTTAGTTAATCTCTAGCGTAAGCCTGTTATATAAGCTGATCTTATCTAAGGCTTATTAGCTGTTCTTAATATAAGTTAAAAGTAAATAATAATACTTAGCTAGATAGATAAAGCTTATAAGGCAAGTAAGTAATAGCGAAAGAGGCTATTAATACTCCTTTGTAAGGTTAGGTAACCTCTTTGTAGTAGTAAGAGGTTAAGGTTATCTATAGTACTTTATAAAAGGATAATAAAAGGTAACACCTCTAGCGTTATTATAAATAAGCCTTATAAGTTATTAACGAAGGAAGCCGGTGAAGTAGCCTTAGATAGAGGAAGAAGCTACTTTAAATAATAGTTAGCTTAATTAGGAGGTAATATAAGAGAGTACTTCCTGAAATAACTATAGCTAAAGTAATTACTTTCCTCCTTTTCTTGCTCTTCTCTCTTATATTATATAGTTATAGAGCTAGCGAGGTAGCCTTAAACAATAGAGCCGGCGAAGTAGTCTTAAGTTAATAAGAGAGGTAAACTTATAAGAGTAGTTAGCTTAGTATTAGGTTAAAGTAGGAGATTACTACATGAAGTAACTATAGCTAGGTTAATTATATTAAGTTATAGAGCTAGTAAAGAGGCTTTAAGTTAAATAATAATAGAGGAGCTTACGAAGTAGCCTTAAATTAAGGAAATATATAAACTTAAAATAGTAGTTAGCTTAGTTAAAAAGTAAAGCGAGAGAGTACTTCTCGGAATAGCTATAGCTAAGATATTTCCTAGCCTCCTAAGGTATTTCTTATCCTCCCCTTAAGTTATAGAGTTATAAAGCCGGCGAGGTAGCCTTAAACAATAAAGCTAGTAAGGTAGCCTTAAATTAATAGCCTAAGATAGTAGTTAGTTTAATTAATAAGTAGTAAGAGAGAACTTCCTAAGTAGGCTAAGGCCGTTAAGTTAGTAGTTTATAGCGCAATAGAGCTAAATAGGAATATTCCTAAGAGGCTTTTACTCTTTTACTTATCTTCTAGTAATATAAAAAGACTATAAGGAAGATAAAGTTACTCGACGTTAATATATAAAGTATAGTATCTCTTTATACTACCTTTAGGACATAATAATATAAGGCTTCTAATAGTAGAGTTAACTATTTACTAGAGAGTAGTAAGAGAATTAAGTATTAAAGAAGATCTATTAGTACTTTTATTTAGTATAAGAGCTTAAGTAGATAAGGAGGAGAACTACTAACTAACTAGCCTAAAGAAGCTAAGTAGAAGAGAGGTAAACTAAGGGAAGTATAAATTAAAGGAAGAAAGTACTTAGCTTTTTAGAGTTAATTCTATACTAAGGTAAGAGTTAAATCTCTTTAACTATATATAAGGCTGAGGTTTATAATATAAGAGACTATTATAAGGAAAGACTAAGGGCTAGCTTAAAGTTAGCTAAGTTAAAGTACTAAAGGTAAGGGAGCTTACTTATAGGTATTCTTAAAGTTAAAGTTAAAGTTAGAGTTAAAGTTAAAGTTAGAGTTAAAGTTAAAAATAATAGTAAAATAAGTACTAAACGCATAGGAATACTATTTAGACGATAGTAAGGGTAAGAAGGAAAGTAGAATAGAATACTAAAGGTTTAAAGCTATAGTAGAAAAGGGAGAAGGAGGTAGAGGTAGAGATTAATTATAAGGTTAAGGTATTATTAAAGGAAGGAATAAAGGTTAAAGAAGAAAGTAGGGGAGGTCTTTATATAATCGTAGAGGCAGTAAAGCTACTACTTTAGCGCTAGTAAGGTAGTAAATAACTGAACTTACAACTATAACTCGCTAAAGTGAAGATATCTCTAACTTAAGGTAAACTCAGTTAAATTACTTATAATACTTAAATTCCTTTATATATAATAACAGAAAACTTATTTATATATACCTGTAGTATTTAGCTTTTATTTAATATAAATATTACCTTTTTCTGTTATTAGAGTACAGAGTTATTAAATATATAGGACTAGCTTATCTAAGGGAGTTATTTATAAAGTCGCTTCAGCTATAATTATTAAGTCAGCCTTATTTAATAAGTTATTAAATACTTATGTGCTTTTATATTATCGTAAACTATAAAGTACTACCTGTAAAACACTTACTTATATTAAGAAAGCTATATAATACTATTTTCTAGTATATCGTACTAGTGTAACCTTTAGAATTAATTATTTCAGGCTATTCTATATTTCTTAGTTAAAAAATCATATCTATAGTATATTATATTATAGAGATATCGCTATTTTAGCTATTATATCTAAACCTTTTACTTCTATCTATACTTTATAACTCCTGTATCTACTACTATTTTATATTTTCTCTCTCTACTAATTTTCTATATTATTGTATTATAAAGAACTCTAGAATTAATTATTTCACGTTATTCTATATCTCTTAGTTAAGAAATTATATTTATAGTAGATTACGTTATAGAGATATCACTATTTCAGCTGTTATATCTAAAGCCTTTACTTCTATTTATAGCCCTAGCTCTATATCTCTTATATCTACTACTTCTTTAATATTCTCTCTCTACTAAGTTTCTACTATATTATATTATAGAAATTTCTAGAATTAAATATTTCAGCTCTTTTCGTATTTCTTAGTTAAAAAATTATACTTATATTATTTTTTATTATAAAGATATATTACTTTAAAAATTATATTTTATATAGCTACTAGCTATAAACCGCCCTATATATCGTATCTACCCTTGTATTTCAGCTTACTTATATATAATAGAAATCTACTTAAAAACACTAAAAAAGAATATATATTACTTAGAATTTTAAACTTATTAATAAGTCTATCTTATACTTATAAGTAAGGTAAGCTAAGTAAGTAAGCTCGAAATATTAGCTCTTTAACCTTAGGTTTATTTATTATAGTAATATATCAGCTGATTAGTATAGCTACTAAGCTATACTACTAGTCCTTACTATCTTTATCTAAATTATATAACTTTACTTTATATTTAGCTTAGGAAACTTCCTACTATCTTAACTCCTTACTTCTTATATTATTATACTAATAAAGTATAGTTATATCTTCTATTAGTCTTATACTATCTTATATACTCTTAGTATTCTTTATATATTAAGTTCTTATTCTTTCCTAAATATTATATAGATCTAGCCTTAGGCTCCTATACTTTAGTATCCTATCTCTCTTTAAAGTACTTATCTTTAGCTCTATAGCTATACCTCTAATACTAATTCTGACTTAATAGAAAAATCCGCTGTATTTTAAATACTATATTTATATTCTGTAAAGGTTATAAGAGTATCAAAAGGTAGTGCAGTAGCGAGGGGCAACTGCGCTAGGTAGTATTCCCTAAAATCGCGAAAGTAGACGTTCCGTACAAGTGATTCATTTGGCTTCCCGTAGTCCCCAGCCCAGCGCAGCCCAGCGCGACGCCGAGGATTTACGAAGTAGGTGAGCCTGGCGAACCTGGCCTGGCCTGGTCCACTCATCTGCACCAGCTTTTCGCACCTCGGGGTCCCGGGTCAGGTCACTCCAGGCTAGGTAGGAAAAACACCTATGTAACTATATCCAATCCAGCCTAAGACAAGTCTGGAGAAGAGGAGAGGAGAGGAGAGGAGAGGAGAGGAGAGGAGAGGAGAGGAGAGGAGAGGAGAGGAGAGGAGAGGAGTGGAGGCCCAGAAGCACGATCAACATAAATACCTGGCATAAATACCACCTACCTACCTTACCTACCTCCGTAGCCTGTACCTAGACCCAGGTAGGCACAGTGCAGTGCGTCGCCCGCATCTGCCACACTATTACTTACAGCCATCCCTCTTCACCATCCGCGTCAGCGTCATACTCGTCCTTACCTCCCTATTCTTTCCTTTTCTTGCGACTGCGACATTCCTGGCTCCTGACGTAGCGGTTGCTATGCTATGCTTTGAGTCTGACCAGCTTGGCATTCAATCTTAAACGACGACGTACTGTATTCGCCCCCGTCAACAGAGCCCAGCCAGCGAGCGAACCTTGCCCAGACCGAAACCAAGCGTCTTTCTCAACAAGATGACTTCTCCCACGAACCCTGCGCCAGGGCAATCTCATGCTTCAGAGCCTTTTCCTGACTTGAGCAATCCGCCTTCTCCAACAACAGCAACAGCAGTAGCAGCAGCAGTGGTTACGCCTCATCGACCAAGTGCAGGAATCGAGCAGACTCGTATTCGCCAGGAATCCTCCACATCGACACTTCAAGGTCGTTTACGAAGCGCTTCAAAGACGTTCCAAGAATCGAGTCCCCCTACTGGGTTTATGATCGCCAGCGGACAAATTGCATCATCAATTCCAACACTGTCTGAGATCAGGAGAGGCAGCTACGGCAGTGAAGGCTGGTCAGGAGAGGGGCAGATTGTTGAAAAGCAGAGACGTGAAAGCCTCACCAGACGAGGGAGTTCGCAGACCGGACAGAGTTTGCCACGAAGGAGGAGCTCGAACAACATCGAAAGTGCTCGAGAAGCATCGGGTCAAGACGTGATCCCGCAGACTGTACCAGAGGCTTCAGAAGAGTCCGAGCAGCAAACCAGCGGCCCAATCCAGAGCACTTCGATGTCAAATGGGACAGCGAAACGGGTGGAGGACAAACCCTTGGAACAGCGGGGGAGCAACGATACCAGTATCACGAAGCCCGTCCCTTCGAAAGAGGGCGTTCAATATAGAACAACGCCATTCGAAAATGGCTACGAATTTCCTCCAAAGCACAAGTGGACCGAGTCTACCGTGATCTTCCTCAAGGCAGCATGGGGGTTTTTTATTACGCCAATTGGATTTCTCGTCGTCATATACGGTCTCAACATTGTAGCATGGGGTGGAATGCTGTTCTTGCTTCTATGCAATGCCGCCCCAGCTATGTGCAAACCGACCTGCAATGATATTAACTCTCCTCGTCGTATCTGGATTGAAATCGACTCCCAGATTCTGAATGCTCTTTTCTGTGTTACTGGTTTTGGAACCATCCCGTGGAGATTCCGTGATCTCTACTACTTGATGCAATATCGCATTCAGAAGAAGGAACTCGGTCTCCGCAGATTGGCTGGTATCAACCGCGGATGGTTCAGACTTGGTGGTTCACAGGAACTCCCAATTACTCTTGGCCCAGCAGAAATTGACAACGAGCTTCCCAATACACCAGAGAGCTGCATTCCGTTCCCGGTCTCCAAAGTTCCGGATGCACCGCTTACTGGCAATCGAGCACCACCCACCGCCCTCTGGAAATTGGATTTTGTTATCTGGTCCATGGTCTGGAATACCTTTCTCCAGGCCGTCCTCTCTGGATTCATGTGGGGTTTGAATCGATATGACCGACCGTCCTGGAGTACTGGTCTTTTCGTCGCCCTTGCCTGTATAGTAGCAGCATGTGGTGGAATCATGAGCTTCATCGAAGGAAAGCATGTCAAAGCTATCGAAGGTGTGCCGGTTTCTGAGGCTGACCGAGAGCGGCTGAGACGTGACAGAGAGATGGGGATCACTCACTATAACAACATCAAGGCTGAGAAGCCGAAAGAGAAGAAGGGGAAAGGAGAAACAGGTGGACTCTTCAAGAGAAAGCAAAAGGACCCTAAAGTCGCTCAGGTGGACAGCTCGATAGGTGAGGGATCTTCACAGACTGCCAAGTAGTGAGATGGCTTTTGGGCTTTTGTATGAGAGACGTCTTCTGTATAATTTGGCTTTGGTCACTGTTTCTGTTCAAAAGTATATATGAAGGAATGGCGTGACATGAATTTGCCTCTGGCAATAACAATATCATTGTTTTAATCATTTGGATAGAACCTCTAGGACTTCAGATGTGACATGTCTTATTTTGAATCACTCCATTGTCTGTACATCCCTATTGGCTCTTAAAAACGGGGGACACATGGGAGCAAAGCAGCAACGGCCAGAAGTTGTTTGATGTCAGCATCCATGGGTTGCTCCGACCACCCCGCTTCCCCCATCTTTTAGTGTCTGAATTAACCGCGTATTACAAGCTCATCCTATTTATTTGTGGCACGGGGTGTACCTGGGAGGCTGACATGACTCGGCAATTCGCCTTGGCATTGATCCCGACCGGAACAAAGGGACCACAACCACTTCAACCTCGACATTGTGATAAAGGAGCAGTGTATCATAGCGCGTCCTCCGTGCTGTCTCGAGCTGTATCTTCTGCTGGACAACACTTTACTATCTCTGGAGCGCAGAGTACCAGTAACCATCAATATGGCGTTCAAATTCCTCATCCCATTGTTGGTAGCCTTGATGTTACTCACCGGCGTCTGTAATACGCTGCTCACCAAGTACCAGGCAAGCTGATCCTGATAGAGCAAGCTATGGATAATTCTAATAGATTAATAGGACAACATTTGCGTACGAGATTGCGATAGCCCTGACCCCAAGAAACGCAAGCACTTCGAACAACCAGTCATTCAGACTATGCAAATGTTCATTGGCGAGATGGGCTCGTGGCTCTTCGTCGGTGGATTCTCCCTCTACCGCCGATACATCACGAAGAATGCAACTGCAGAAGAGAATGGCTATGCTCCAGTGAACACGCATGATCATGGAGCCGATAACGATGCCTCGAGCGTGCACTCTACTACACCCATAAACCCCGCATTGAAGGCGATGTCGATAAAGGAAGATCGACTGCCGTTGAAAGGCTGGAGGGTTATATTGCTCAGCTTGCCTGCTATCTGTGATATCTGTGGGACGACTCTTATGAATGTCGGACTCCTCTTTGTGGTTCCGTCGATCTACCAGATGACGAGAGGAGCATTGGTGCTCTTCGTAGGGCTATTTAGTGTTATCTTCTTGAGGAGAAGACTGCATCTCTTCCAGTGGTTTGCGCTATTCACGGTCGTCATTGGTGTTGCTATCGTTGGGCTGGCTGGAGCACTGTACAAGGACGACAAAGCCGCCAAGGCTGCTATATTGATGGCTAGGGAGGCAATAGTTGCTATTAGCACCACGGCGAGAACACCAGAGGCTCTACAGGCAATCATTGGCGTGTTTTTAATCGCTGGAGCACAAATTTTTACTGCTTCTCAATTCGTACTCGAGGAGTACATTCTGGAGAAGTACGCTCTAGAGCCATTGAAAGTTGTTGGCTGGGAAGGCCTGTTTGGCTTCTCGGTCACGGTCCTAGGCATGCTAGTTATGCATCTGGCTGTTGGAAGGACAGCAAAGGGAAAGTATGGATATTTTGATCTTGTTGAGGGTTGGAGACAGGTCTCTCACTATCCAGATATCAGGACATCAAGTATCCTGATTATGATCAGCATCGGGTAAGTAGTCCCCCCAAATATTACTTCCTCTTTCAAGTGCTAATCCATAACAGTGGCTTTAACTTTTTCGGTCTCTCGGTCACCCGGACTGTAAGCGCCACTGCTCGTTCAACCATTGATACCTGCAGAACGCTATTCATCTGGATTGTCTCCCTCTTCTTGGGATGGGAATCGTTCAAGTGGCTACAGGTCCTCGGTTTTGCTTTATTAGTATACGGAACTTTCCTTTTCAATGGGCTGGTTCGTCCACCACTTCAGCGGTGTGTGGTCAGAGACTATGAAGAGCTCTTGCCTGAGGAGCCGATTGAGCATCAGTAATCATGAGCGACAATGCGTCTAGAGCAAGTTTTAGGCATGGGAGTGGACTTTGGAGCATGGGGTGGCGTTTGTTTACTTAGGCGGCTCGTTCTAAATTTCCATGACTTGTCTCTTCAGCCCTCCCCACTTGTCTATTCCATTTTTGTTGGTTCATGTCGGTGAGAAAGTTCAGCTTAGCATTTGCCCATTCACATCCACCCGAGAATACCAAACTTGTCGCGTGCGTGTGCTTACTGCTTGCAACTTCCTGAAGCGGTACATCCGCCTAAGCTGCGCGTTCCTGTGACGCAGTTTTGCTTTCACTCCCAACATTTCTCTCGTGCTAGCTTCTTCTCTGCACCATCAATTCAGTCGCAGCACTTCAACATTTCAAATCTAGCATCAGCTTGTCTGAGTTCTCTGTTACCCTGGCCGATCCAGCCCGTGCAACCACCTACCATGGGAAACGTTAAGCTCTTGGTGGCCTGCCTCTGCCTTGTCTCTGTGCCCACTTAGTGCCTGATCTGTGGTCACTCCGGGCAGCCAAATCACCAGATAACCTTGATTCGTGTTGAGAAATATGGTTTGCGTCGCTAGTTGACAACATAATGTTGCTATGCTCACCACGAATGAACGGAGTACATCTCATGGGATTGGGCCGTACCAGGTGAAGACATGGAGTGAAAGAGCAGGCCTGCTTTGCTCTTCCTTTGATCGAGAAAGTAAATGACTTGGAAGTAGAATGAGAGGTGAACATGAATTTACAACAACTTGTCGTGGCCCAGGGGCTGGTCCTCCTGACTTTGTGCAATTAGTTGCAACAGAACTCGCGACAACAAACAACTCTTTCTGACAGAACCATTTCAACAGTACCGCCAAATCTATCTTCAATTTGAACCAGCATCATTCTCAGTGACACTGTGTTTTCGACAGGCATGTCCTGTATTCCAGAGCATCTAGCTCGTGGGTCTTCAAACTGGAATCATGGATAACCATTCCACTACCGCGCACAATCCTCTATGTGGTCGCAGGCTTCAACTACGGCTTCACCGATGTTTTGGACCGCCTAGACATCCCCAAACTGGTAACCAATATTTTCAATCGTTAGTGAGGCTCGGTACATTTCAGGCCACATCCATCATATTGGCAACATAATGGCGGAGCTCAAGTCCATCAATTACCACGACTCTCACCATCTATTAATTACAAGACGGAGCATGCGGCAAATCAGCAGGCCCCTGAGTACATGGTTCAGTAGAGTTAAAAAGTCGTATTCTCTGCTTGATCAAAGCTACATTAGGCTGGCAAGTAAGGTTGTCAACACGTCGAATTCGCTCATGGGGAACAATTGCCTTTTCAAGTGTTAGATCTGCTTGGAATGAGTCTCGGTGGTATTTTAACAAGCCTAAGTGCAGACGTGTCCTATTGGCAAGAAAGACTATGACTTATTACAGGCGGTTGTCCATCCATAAAGCATTGCGTGAGGTCAAACACTTGCAAAAGCCCAGGCATGTCCACATCATCCAGCTCGTGTGCATTTGGAAGGCAGAATTTCTCTGTTCTTCTCTACTCAGTAGCTGATTGCGGAATGAAGTCCTTCTATGATCAGGGATCTGATGCGAAGGTGCAAGGTGCCAGGGAGGTAGGCAATGCGAGAGATTAGGAGTTGATTACAATCTCATCCAAGTATACCGAGACTCGATGAATTGTGTACTGTTTCTGGCAGTTTTTCAAGTATCTCGTGAATGCTTTTTATACACTCTTGCTCTACTAAGCTCTGGAATATCAAACCTGGTCATATTCTTGTTAAAAAGCACGACTCTTACCTCCACGGTTATCGAGCGTATAATGCTAACTTTGGGATATCGAGAAACTTTCTAGTTCTGGACTATAGCCAGACTGATACCGGGATCCCTTCGGATGCCTAAGCATTGTGCCCCGGAAGTTTGGTTCCAAGACCTTCATGGATGAGCAGCCGGCGTCTTCTCAATGGGATGTGTTCTCATCGAAATGTTTACGATTTTCTCAGGACATGATCTTCATGAGTTTGGGGACTTCTGTTCTCAGGGCTCGGAACATACCGATGCAACTCACGCGGCATTGAAACAGACCTTTGAATGCGCCGAGAACATCCAGACGAAGCTCAAAGAATAGCATCTTGTTTCAGACTTTCACACCCTTATCACCTGGCTAACTAGATGGGCTTGCCGCCACGGTTTACATGCTTGCTGAGGACCCTAAAGAACGGAATCTCCCTCACTTTTGGTTATGCTGTGGTGCAATTCGAGCAGTCTACCAGAAGAGTAGCATCTACCGTCCCAAGCTCGATGAAAAACTAGAAGTGCAGAGAAAATCTTAGCAGCATTACATCGCGCAACTAGTACACTGCTGGGTCTCGTATACCAAACTGAATGTTTGCAACAGATTTCAGTCATCTAAATCGTAGTATAGTATATTTCCTTGACGTGTACAAATCTAATGTACAGCACACGTGCTGGACGCGGCGTTCCTACATGGTGAAAGGCTATGGCTTTGTTCTGCTGAGATCACCTCGGGCAGTTCATTATAAGAATCTAGGAATGTGAGATCTAATTCATGAAATAAACTTTGAATGTTGAGATCCGATGTCCCCGGGATCTGAAACGATTTGGGTAGGAGTTCTATCGTGTTTACATGACGATTAGTCTTTGGGTCTTTTTAGGCCAAAGCGAGGGCGGTATCGCCCTCGAACGCCAGGACTCATGTCCAGTGGCTTCAATCTAATGCAAAGCGAGAGTGACTTTCGGAATTTCAATCGATGTCCAGCCAAATCCCATGAACTATACCCACACGATAGATCAGACGATCTACAATATTTCGGACCTTCGATCCACGTGCCACCATCGCGATGGACAGAGAATTCTTAGAAAGTTGAGCTTCCATAAAATTTGTTGAATTCACTCAGACTGATGTGGGTGCACGAACCCTTAAACATTAAACACGCAGTGAACTGTCTGAGATTGTGGTTCATAATCTGGAGGCTCAAGCTACCAGGCCGTTCATCGAGCTTGACCATTGATTATAGAGCGAATAGGATGTAGAAGAATTATTTTAGATCTTGTTTTTCTTTCTTATGGATACCATTCCTGAAGCAGGTGTGTAGATGGTGCTGTTACACGTTTTTCGTGCTTTGGTTGTCATTTTAAGCGAGGCGTGCAACATAGCATGGTAAACAAATGCCTTAAACGTATGGAAAACTGCTTTGACTAGGTATGGCGCGAGGACTTCGTTGTTGTTTTTTCTATTCATGAATAACTTCGTGCTCATATTTTCAAGGATGCCAGTTGGCAATAACTTAGAAAGTGGGAGGGAAGTTAGAAACGAACAAGGCTAGGTGCTGCGGAAACGAAACTGGAAGATGGATCTTGAGAGCTGCGGTATCTTAAGAAAGCAATTAAATCGGTATTTGTGGCAGATATAGAAGTTTTCAAGGTTGAAGCATGATTCGGGCTGCGGTTGCAGGGAGCAAGATGGCAAGTGAGAATGGTTTGCCTTCCTTTGAAGCTATTCGACGTTCAATCAATGCCTGTGTGGATGTGGCACTCTCATCCACCTTCCTAGCACGAGCCTAAGACCGAGCGATAGCAGTAGAAGAGACGTACCCACCGGTTAGAAAATATGAGATTGAAAGCTGGACTTCTCTTGGCAGCAAGAACTCACATTGCATGATGGCGAATCCCACGTTTTCTACGAGTTACAATCATCTTATTTCCAAAGGGGAACTCAATCGGTTACTGGATGCGTCAATTAGCCGGATGTGGAAGATAGTATAGAGGGCCTCAGGCAGCATCCACAGACTCTCTTTATGATGATGGTGATTTTAACTTACAAGACCGGAATAAAGACAGTAATGGTGCTCTTCATACAAACCAGCGAGATGATGTTGGTTGCCTGTCTTCAATCTATTGTTAGCTATTCCCACGTGGTGGCGTGTAAGTCTTGGAAGCCATGGCCCGCATTTTGCCAGGAGTATTAGGACATATTCTACAATAGCTGATTTATAAACGATCGTTAGAGCATTAGTAAACAAGCAGCAAATATTCCATGTAAGCGGTTTTCGGTTATATGTTAAATACCTCTCTTCTCCAACGAAGTGTAGACCGAGTGCCTTCAAAGATGAGAATTTATTGGGACTTGGGAACTAAGCTTTGCACTGCTACTGAATAACAGTTTATTACTCATTCCAAGGCTACCCACTGATCGGTTTTTCAAGAGTGTAGAAGCCACGGGTTGATTGTAAAATAGCGTGCACTGTGCTATCTGGAAGCTGAGAGCTAGGAAACCAGGCGGAGGGGGCAATTGATAATCGCTGAACAGTTGCTGTCCGGTGTTGGAATTTGCAATTGATTTCAGCTTCAAGTTAATAACACAGATAGTGGGATCAATCCTTTACGTTAGACTGAGACGGCACAAGCTACTCCCATTTTAGCAGCTGGCGTGTTCATGTTGTCAGAAGTAAAAGTGGGAAGGGATCAAAAAGGTCAAAATTCATATAAGACAGTGCTATCTCGCCACCCTCTAGCGGTATCGACGTGCAACGCCCACCATCACCATATGACGGAAGGAAGAGAAAGAAAAACAAGAGTAAGCCGACGGAAGAGCTCCATGCAAGCTGAATCTTTCAGGACTTGAGTTTGTCAAGTATAGGCTGATTATTTTTCATAATCTCGCGCTGCTCCATTAGGCTCGCTCAAGGAAGCAGAGGGTCCAATGCTGTTGCCAGAGGACTTTCCCATCAACATGCACTCGACTGGAGGACTGTTGCGAGGCGGCCTCGATGAACGAAGAAGAGAGTCACTAGGAACACATTCTTGGCGTTGCATTCAATTCCAGGGAATACCAAGGTCAGGCGAAACATCCACAATAATTTCGATTAAGACTGGTGTGATTGGACATTAGTGTCTGCTTCCAACGCTTTCTCTTGGATATTGGTGGTCGTATAGCTCGCTGCAGGTAACACGTCGCTCTGTCGAGTGACGACTTCAGATTCACGGAAAAGAGACCTGCCTCTCATGTCGCTCAGAGCGGCCTGATCCATCAAGTTGCAGTTCCCGTCCATTCCCAAGATCTTTGAAACAAGAAAGTTGCTGGGATCATTCCAGAAATTTAGATAGCTTTGTTGAGCCTCTAGCTGTGCAATGACAGCACATGCAAAGGAGCACTAATTCCGCCACACCCAAACATTGGCCAGCCGAATTTCGAGGTTAGATAAGCGGGACACGAAGGGGCCAAAGGGGTTGAGGCAGTCTCGTAGGCCGATATTGGAACCATGACCATGACAAACACTTGAAAGTGCAACTTCTGATAGCGACAAGGGATTTCATCCGTGATCGGTAACTAGGAAAGGGTATCATGACTGGATCCAGATAGCACGAAAACAAAGTGACAACGAGCGAAAAAAGCAAAAGTGATGACGCCTTACTTTTGAGGAAACCACGGTGTCATCCTCAGCAAGCCAGAATAGAAGTCTCAAAGATTATATTGAGACATGCGACTAAGGCTTCAACCCTTTGAACGATCGGAAGCGCCTTTGGCTGAACGGAGGCAGCGCTATATCACGTGAGACAGTCAAAGCCTCCGAAAGCCGACTGAGCAAGTGTAGGCACGGTACCAAAATAGCCTAAAGATACTAAAAAGACGAGCACGAGGTTCCTGGTTGCTCTTGTTCATCTTAGTCGGATGTTGCCGACAGGAGAGAAGTTTTGAGGCGTGCTTTCGTTCGCTCGTTCGTTTGGCTGCTTCCCATACACCGCCCGCCAGAATGCTTTGAACATGCTTCTTCTTTCCCGATATATTCCACTGGCGGAACGGTACTCGCGACAAGCGTAGAGCTTTTAAATTTACCTGTCAAGTGCGGCAAATGAACTGGGTTTGGCAATAGAGTTTCTGGTCACCCGATAGCTCCAAAACGCCAGTCACGGCCCTGCAAGTCTTGGGCTGGAGAAGGAGGCGTTCGAGTCTGGTAGGCGAGCCAGTTGCGCTGATGCGGCTCGATGGCTTAGCTTGACGGTTGATATCGAGCACCAATCGCCGATTGCGGCGCAACATTTTCACTGGACACCAACCACGGCTGGAGGCTGCTGAATCCGTCTTCTTGCAGATTTGACTTGCAAGCCAGGCCAGGAGCAGCAGGTGGAAGAGCAGAGCGAGAAGGTTGCCGGTACGAGAAGAGAGGGAGCGATGATGAGAGCGAGCGAGCGATTGCAGAGAGAAGGTGATGGCAAGAGATTATCAGCATGAAGAGGCTGTTTACTGCTTCTGATGCCCGCGGCTTTGGAGCATTGTGGCGTGGGGCTGATTCTGCTCCTGCATTGAACGGCGGCCGCAATGCAGACCTGCAATAATGGGCGAGAGACCGTGCCGACAGATATCTTGACCTCACAGCGGCCATGCTTCTTGGACAAGTAACGGTGTGCGGAGAGGGACCCAGTCTGAGATGCAGGCCGCCTGACAGTGCCGCCTCGATAGAGTGGGCATCGGTAGGTAGTCGTCCCCATGACATGCCATGGCGTCGCCAGTGAGGGCGTTCCAGAGGTCTCAATCAGAGCTACGATGAGATGGGGATGCAAAGTGCAGTGTACGGGTAATAAGTCCAACAGAACAGAGAGGTTTTGAAGATTCTTGTCAATAGCTAGCTCACCGCCACGACCCCACAGGGCCACAGCCGTCCTTGTGTCTCGCAACGGCTTTCAAATCTGACATGAAGTCAGCTAGTGAAGGGGACACAAACGGGCATGCTAAGCAGAGAGGCTGAACTGAGATGGTTCACTGCCAAGGTGGAGGAGGCCAATTTATGGTTGGTCGATCGCTGGCGCTGCTGCACACCTCGGACTCATCTTACTTCTCCGTCTTATTCTCATTCTCATGCTAGAAGAAGGTTACGAGTACGGTGCTGCTGGATGGATTCCCGGGATTAGAATTTGAAGAGGGAAAGAAGCTCATCTCATCTCATCACATGGGTAGATAAGAAGGGAAGGGAAGGGAAGGGTACGATACTGTTCCTACCTTTGTGATACCTTGTTGACACCGAAAAAGCTGGTAAAGAAGAAGGTTTTTAAAAGCTAGCGGCGGAGAATGTATGAGCAGAGGAGAGAGAGGAGGCCAAGTCTATGAAGGGAAGGGCGGGGGAGGGAGGGGGAAGGGGAAGGGGAAGGGGAAGGGGAAGGGGAAGGGGAAGGGGAGAGGCTCTACTACTGGTGGGAAGAGACCACGAGTGCAGTGAGCGCAGTGCAGCGTGCGGCACTTTCAAGGCGGGCCAGGGGTCCCAGGACAGACGAGCTGGACCACGGCTGATTGGACGTCCTCATGGATCTTACCTAAGGTAGCTTGACGCGACCCTGAATCCCTGCTTGGTGAGGCGAAGCGAGGTGAGAGGTGAGTGAGGCGAGTGAGGCTGTGAGCAGAGCAGAGCAGTGCTGTACTGGTAGAGTACTACTTGTACAAGTACTACTGTACTGTACAGTACTGTAGTGAAGGCAAGCGCTACAGCAGGGGTTTCCCCACGCGTATTTGATACAGTAAGATACCTCCTGGTAAATTTAATACCCTTACTGTATTGCGAGGGGTGGAGGGACGACGAGGGGACCTTTGACTGGCTGGCTCTGCTCCGCTATGCCATGCCATGGGACGACTTGAGAGGTGCAGGTGCAGGTGCAGGTGCAGGTGCAGCCAGCGCAGGTGAACGACGTGCCTCTCTCATCCACTCTTCTCTGTACTGTACTTCATGTAGGCAGGTTAATTACCTCAGGTGGGAAGGAGTTCTTCCTGGCTTCAGTGGCAGAGGACAGGACAGGACAGGACAGGACTCCGAATCGCAAGCTTGCTGGCTGTGCAGGACATTATTGCAGTGCAGTCAGTGTCGCGTCGCCATTCATTCACTCAGAAGTATCGCCGTATCGCCGCATCGTTTCATTTTGCCCCGCTGTGCCTTTTCTTCTTTCCACTAGGTACCTAATTTACAGTACAATAGAGTACTGTACATAATTTACTTCCGTAGGGTAATTTTACCTCCTCAACTTGTCCTGTCCTATCCTATCCTATCCTATCATAATCCTGTCCTCTCCCGTCCCATCTCTTCCTGCTCTGCTATCTTCTCATTTCATTAGTAGACTACCTACTGTACCATCTACACACCGCACCTACCTGCCTACCTATCTCGACCTATCTATCTATCCACCGAACTTCACAACCTTCACTCTTAAAAATCTTCATCCCCACCTCCCCTCCCCTCTCCTCCCCTCCCCTCACCTCGTCCCATCTCAGACCAGCCCAGCCCAGCCCAGCCCAAGGCACCTCAATCACCCTGATCCGATCAGACTTTCGGCTTCCCGCTGTCGACTGACTTTCGCCGCACAATCGTGCGCTACTGGCAGCATCGTGCGCCCCGCCATATCGCTCACCGTCCCGACGCCGCGAGAGGGACAAACCCACAAACCCACACACAAACCCAGCAAACCTGACCCAGTCTAACCCAAACATCCTCCACGCCCTGGGCCCTACCCTACCTAGCACACCACACCACACACCATAGGTACACCACACCAGACCAGTGACACCACGCTACGCTACGCTGCCCTGCCCTGCCCTGCCCTCTGCCCTCCCCTACGCCAATCACTCCAGCCTCAGGGCCCTGTTCTGGACCTCTCTAGTGTTTCCCCCGCCTTTCCCACAACTCAGAAGTTAAGTTACCTAGAACAGAAAGGAAGGGGCTCGGGGGGCAGCATCAAGTCAGGAAGTCAGGGAACAATCCTTGCCTGCGCTGCTGCTGGTCTGCCCTAACAAACTTCCTGCCCATCCCATCACCCTCTTCCCCTCCGCTACACTGCACTGCACTGCACTGCGCCCGCTGCGCTTCGCTGCGTCGCGTTCTGTCCAGCATCCTTTCCTTTCCTTTCCTTTCCTTCCCACAGCAGTTGCTCTCCTCCGGCCTCCGGCCTCCTGCCTCCTGCCTCCTGCCTCCTGCCTTCCTTCCCTTCCCGCGGTTGCATGGTCCCCGCTGGCTGATTATGCTCTGAACTTATCCGCCTCGGTTCACAATCACCGCCGCAATCCTCTTCTGGGGTGCTTCCGATGGCCATTTGAACCCTAAGTATGAATTCTGTCGAGTCCATACGACCTTCTACTCGCCACGAATTCTACGACCCAGACGATGTTGGTCCGCGAGACTCTCCACAGCTCAAACCCATGAAAATAAACTACATGCCATCTCCGAGTCCGCCGCCCGCTGTCCCTCTCCCACCACTCAGTGCAGAGTCCACTCCCGAACCAGCGGAGGAAGGTTGTCGCAAACCCCCTACACGATCGAAGCCACGTCCGAGTCACGGCGATGCTGTATTAATATCATTCATGGCGGACGGAAAACATGTTGATATTGCGCGCGACGCTGGAGAAAAACCGTTGGCATCAGAAATTGAGGAGGACGAATTGCCGATGAAGAGGGGTACAGAAGTCGTGGTCTCGAACGTGGGGGAAAATGACGATACTATGGCCGTGGTGGAAGAACCTGTCGCGCAGAAGACTGCAATCACTTCCGATATATTGGCTGCTATGCAAACTCTGGCTGCGGACGCATTGAGAGAAACCGCGCGACATAGCCCAGAGGAGGCGCAAAGGGTCGAGCAACCGGAAAGTCCGAAATTGAAGGTCGAGCAGCCTCAGACTGAGTCGGAACCTATGGAAGGTGTCAAGGCAACGTCGGTGCCGTCAATTCCAAAACTCTACGTGGATAGACTATCGCCAGCCTCACACTTATCACCCGACAGGAGACATGATGCGGTTGTGTCTTCACCCGTCGCAGTGGGAGAATTACCACCAATATTACATCACTCGCCTCAATCTAGCTTGACAAATGGAAATGGGCCTAGTCAGATTACGTTGCCGTCGATTTCTGACCAGCTAGGAGATATAAATCATCTTCCAGAGCCAGTTCCAACCGGCGAGAGTGCGTTTTCTCAATCTCCACCTGGAAGACCACCACAACACCGATTTCCACCTGTGCCAAGCCATGGATCCCCACCAAAATCTCCGAACGATATATTCCAACGGAATCAACTACCTTCGCCTGGTCGCTACTACCCCGCGTACGCCAACCGGAGACATTCCCAGAGCAATGGTGAACCTTCACAGTACCAGAGTCCAACCGACCATAGCGGAAGTAACACAGAAACTCCAGCATCAGACCAGTCAGGCTCAACTCCTGGTGTGTCAGTAACGAACCGTATGAGTATCGAGGGGATTACAAACCCCCAGATCGGAGGTTACCAGTGCAATTACCAAGGCTGTACCGCCCCACCATTTCAGACACAGGTAAGCATGAAATCGGCCTCTGTTGCATTCCTAATCTAACAAAGTCAAGTACCTCTTGAATTCTCACGCGAATGTACATTCTCAAAATCGACCTCACTACTGCAGTGTGAAGGGATGTCCCCGAAGCGAGGGTGGGAAGGGATTCAAGCGGAAGAACGAAATGATCAGACACGGCCTGGTTCACGATTCTCCCGGATACGTTTGCCCTTTCTGTCCTGATAGGGAACACAAATATCCCCGACCAGACAATCTTCAAAGGCAAGTTGTTTCCTGCTTAATGGACTTTATTACAATCTAACTCTAAGCAGACATGTTAGAGTCCATCATGTAGACAAAGACAAAGACGACGCTCAGCTCCGTGATGTCTTGTCACAGCGACCAGAAGGTCCTAGCAGAGGCCGCCGGCGACGAGGCGGCACTTCATGACCATCCGTATGCTACTTGGATTCAACAGGCATGCGTCCAACTGTCAAACCGAGTAGCATTAACATCAGTGTCTGATGTTGAAACATGGTGAAAGTGCGTCATCCAATGAAAACATTTGGGATAAAACAGGATCATCTGTGATAACCTGAGATTTACTGACATGTTCCGAATCGGAGACTGATGTCTGGGGCATGTGCGATTTTTTGATTGGCGTTAAGAGTGAACGGCAGGAAGGAAAGGCTTTTGGGGATGTGCAGTGACTAATTGATTGCTTCTTCGTCCCCGAAGTGGAGTTTTACGGCGCTTGGATTTTATAGGTGGATTCCCCCGAGGTTCGATTTATACCAGAGATGTGATGCTATCAATAGCAAGGGTATCTGTGTGCTGGGCTGAGTGGGCGTGGAGGGTTGTTACCTGTTTCTTTCTTCTTAAGGCACCTGAGCGGTGCTGATGAGCGATAAGGCCAGACTACTGAGATGGATCGGGCTGGTATGGGTGGTGTCGTGTGTTTGTGTGTGTGTTGAGCTCGCAGCCAAACAACAAACCACTGTCGTTCACTAAGCGGACACTGGGTTTTCATTTGGTTTGCTGAAAGTTGGAACTGGATTTCTTGTCCATACATTGGCCACTTACGTACCTTGAACGATTTTGAATAAGATGAGATGAAACGACATAAGCTGAGATGAGATGAGATGAGAACGCTTGGAAGGTGAAAAGAGCAAACGCTATCCTCTCCATGTCCATCTTTCTTAGCTGTCCTCCAGGGCTGTCATGTATGATGGCAGGAGGCTACCGACGATAAGCGACCCAATGAGGAAGCTAAGCTCGGCTGCATGGGCAGCCAGTGAGACATCTAGACTACGAGTTCCTCAGCTTCTGTTGTGAAGAGGTAAGTCAAGGTGTAAGTTACTTCCTATATGATCACGGGCCACAGCTAGGTCAGATCCGTACTGTTTTAGAATACCAAAGGCGGCGAGAAGGCACAGTGGCGCTTGCTAGTGTAAGTTTCGGAGTATTGGAGTTCTAGTAGTAACGTGATAGAGATAATAAAGAGCTAAGGTACCTACCTACCTACCTAGGTAATTTGAAGTATGTTGGGGGTCTCGTCCCTCATATGTTCGAGTGATCGACGCAAGAAAGAAAGTAGACGTACCTTAGACATAAGAGGGTGATAGCGTCTTAGGCGGAATCTGGATCACGGCTGCACATGCAAACAACGATGGTCACAACTGCAGGCGTTGCTCAACATCTGGGGACGGACATGACAGGACTCGGGATGCCAGGCTTCTTCTACCAAGGTATGTCTGTACAATACCTCCAGTCTATCAATGTAGAAGGCGTGGAAAAGCAAAGAAACATCGACTCTCCACGGTTGATGGTACAGTCAAGGCAATGCAACCATCTGATAGCAGCCTGGAAATTGATAAATACCTACCTTACTGTCTCGTGGGGCCAGCTGCAGCCCCACAGCGCACGCCTGCACCTCATTGCGTCGGTGCCGCCTCCAGCCACGCCCACGCCGGTGTACAGTATCCATGCGTCACAGCCGAGGTTCGCAACATCCTTCGGTATCAAGCCGTGATGCTTCCGGCCTTAACTCTCATGCCTTTCTCCTTCGCCAACTCCCATTTTTGCTGATACACGATTTTTCGAATTGGCGCTTTCTTGCTCTTCTTTCTGTGCACCTTGTATATCCTCAAATCCACATGCTACCGCAATTTTGAACAGCCAAAACACCCCTCACCTGAGGCGATATCTCGGCTTCAGCTACCCGGCAGCCAGGGAAGGTTGAATCTCTCCCAGCGTCGAGGAAATCAGCGTCGAGATTCCTCTTTCCGCAAACCAAAATGGCTGGACAGTCGAAGGAAGCAGTGATTCCTCCGTGGGGTCTGGCAGTTGCTGGGGCCACAGGTGCCGTTATTGCCAATGCTATGGTGTATCCCTTGGACATGTAAGTTTGGCATCATCTCAGCTGAAAGAGCTCCAAACCTTGCTTCTGTGTCTGCGACTCTGTGAGATAGAAGTCCAGTAGCTAATACGTCACCCATTTCAGAGTTAAGACCCGTCTTCAAGTTCAGGAGAAACGAAAGCCCACCGATATTGTGACTGCCAGCGATGATGTTCATTATACTTCAACCTGGGATGCGATCTCGAAGATAGTAGCAGATGATGGGATCATGGGGCTCTATAATGGAATGAACGGTGCTCTCATCGGTGTTGCATCTACAAATTTTGCATACTTCTACTGGTATTCGGTCGTCCGGACGCTGTACCTCGCACAGCAGAAACTACCGACCCCTCCAAGCACAATAGTCGAGCTGTCTCTCGGTGCGGTTGCAGGTGCTGTTGCACAGGTGTTTACGATCCCGGTGGCAGTGGTGACTACCCGTCAACAGACGCAGAAGAAGGGTGAGAGGAAGGGAATGATCGATACGGCCAAGGATGTGATTAATAGTGAAGATGGATTGTCGGGGCTTTGGAGAGGGCTGAAGGCTAGTTTGGTGCTGGTGGTCAACCCCGCTATTACATATGGCGCATACCAGAGACTGAGAGAAATTATGTTTCCTGGAAAGCTGAATTTGAGACCAGCGGAGGCCTTCCGTAAGTGGACTTGAGGTGATCTATAGAAGCCCGCTAACTGTTTATCTAGTACTGGGAGCCATGTCCAAATCTCTTGCAACCATTGCCACACAACCTCTGATCGTTGCCAAGGTTGGGCTTCAGTCAAAGCCACCGCCATCCAGGCAGGGGAAGCCATTCAAGAGCTTTATTGAAGTCATGCAATTTATTATTCAGAATGAAGGTCTATTAGGACTCTTTAAGGGAATTGCCCCTCAGATCACAAAGGGTCTCTTGGTGCAAGGTCTTCTCATGATGACCAAGGAACGGTAAGCAACAGCTTGAATCCAAGAAAGACGACCACTAACTTATATCAGCATGGAACTCATGTTTATCATTCTATTCCGCTACATGCGGAAGATCCGGGATGAGAAGCTCAAAAAGGTTGCAGATATGGCAGCAGCAAAGGCAAAAGAGACGCTGCCTTTGGTCACAAAGTAGAAGCTAGACGTTTAGAGCGGGTTTCTTTATGGCTATTTGGCTGGTTTCCGGGCTGGTCTGGGTAGGCTTGCTTCTTGGTTGATAGAGCTGGCCTGGAGTTTTGTAGATAGGTGCGATAGGAGAAGGAAGTATGTACGAATTCATGACTCGATATTTGAGTGAGTTGTGTTTGGGATCTGTGGATGGGTTTGCTTGCTGTTTATATATTTCTTCCATCAATGGTTCCGTACATCAGCATGGGTATATCATATCAGTGCTGGAGACGTATATTGAGCTTTTAATACAACTGGGCTTTGAATGCTTCATTGTCAACTACCAGGCAAGTAGAATGAATCTCCTCCAAAGTCATAATTATGCTTGTCAAGAGCTGTCAGGTCAGTAACAACTGCATTCAGGCATGGTTGGTGTATTATACTAAAAAAACGCAGCCTTCCTCACCAGGGTGAAGATGGTGCCGTGGCCTCTGGTATCGCAGATCCAGTCTCGGAATGAGCTCTAAAATATTGATTTCCTGTGTGGGTGACAGGAATTCACCTATGTCAAGTGTCTTCGGATGCCACCGGTGCTTGGTAGACCTCGTCTCAAAGAATTCGTTAAAGAAGATGTGAGTATGAAGGGTCACCAGATGACATTGTGTATTATAGGCACGCTCTAGATTGGCAAATGCAGAGAAATGGCTCTGGTAATTTATTTATTGTTGACGCTTTGGAGGCATTCACTCCTCTCACCTTCTTTTGCCAGTGCATGGAATTGCTCTGATAAATTTACTTTCAATGCTTTGTTACAAATCTGCAGCATTTCTCAATTCTGTTTTCCCAGAGCAGGTAATGGCTCTGATCTTGACTTTTTTCTACTTTTGTAGAATCCAGTAGCCTTTGTAGTCACATTTGAAAATGTAGAACGGTACCGTGACCCTGATTTCAGATTTGCGAAGGTACTAGGGAGCAAGTTCTTCAGTATCTCTACTTGCGAAGGAGAAAAGTCACGACACTGAATCAAAGTACAGGAAACTCTACTGATGTGGTTGGGAAGCCTTCGAAGTGATTGCAAATCCGAAGACAGTGAAGCTGAAGTGGCGAGATTATCCCGGTCTGTATACTGGAAGCCAGTGCCTCTTTGGAATAAGATCTGCTAAGTGCAGCCCATATCGTTCCGCCCACACTCTGTCTTGGATTAAAAGCATATCTACTAAAGATATAAGTATGTTTGAAGATGCGATTACTGGCAGTAGAGCCTGAGTCTCTTCTTCAGGATGGCAGCTCGGTTGACGTGTGGTGTCAACAAACGTGTCGCTTACGACGTGAATGCTACTCCAAAGCCTTCTAGCTAGCTGGAGGGAACCTGTACAAACTTGTAAATAATCATTCAATGAAGGATATAAGATGCTCTCAGTATTTATGAGATTAAGCGTTCCTTATATCTCTGAAAAACTATTTTCACACAAAGTAGAGGATATTCTCCGATTTCACTCACCTCTGCAGGCTTTCTGAGGGTTTAATAAATTTCTATGACACTCATGCCCTCGATCATTACTACTATTTCAATGGCGCTTTTTGAACAGGAAGGGACCAGTGCTAAAATAATAAACTTTCATCCGATACTTGTACTGCACAAACTTCTGATAGGGGATAGCTCGTTGTAGACCGATTTTTCAGAATGACACTTGTCCAAAATCAGCCACTAGCATTGGTTACGTTGGTAACTTTGGTAATTTTGCTAACTTTGAAGAAATACCCACAGCCAGCAGAGCAAGCTTTGTAAGACAGCCTCCGTATGTGAGTCCATGTTGGGTGGCTAGGACTGAGCTAGGGCCCTAGCTAGCAAGTACCTGCGAGCATGCAGCCACTCGCCGTGCAAGGTCTAAATCCAACTAGGAACATTGAGGTCAACTAGAGAAGGAATGAACAGCATATTTGTGAGCATATAACCATGAGCAAGGAAACGTACATAGGTAGTGACGTACCTAGGTACCTCTAGGTGATGAGAAGTGTGAATTCATCTCACGTGACCGCACGTGAACATCAGCAGCTGGAACTTTTCTGGTCCACTTGTCTCGCTAAGCACGGCATCCGCACACTGCTGCAAATCAGCCAATTCAACGTCCGACTCTCAACTTCACGACACTACAACCAAACCTCGAGTCAACTCCTTGAGAACCGGCACAATGGCGAGTAAGTTATCCCAGTCTTCCAAATCGATTAAGTTCGATCTGCGAGCGCCGTCGACAAAATTGCTAGCAGTTCCGTAGCATTGCTTCCAGCTCGTGAAGATGGACGGACGGTGTCGACCTTGAATCAGGAGTTCACTTTTCTCGACTTGATCTTTACTGATTACCTGATAGAGTCTAAGAATAGCAGTCAACATAACCAGTCCAAGAAGGCCCACCGCAATGGTATCAAGAAGCCAAAGACCTCGAGATATCCATCACTGAAGGGTACCGACCCCAAGTTCCGAAGAAACCACAGACATGCTCTGCACGGAACAATGAAGGCCTTGGTACGTTTACATATCTGCGCGCGCAGCATCGAACCATACTTACGAATAACATAGAAGGAGTTGAAGGAGGGAAAGCGGGAGACGGCATGAATTTCATAACGAAGGTTCTTTCTTTACGGGATTTGGCTGTGGAATCGCATTGGCAAGGTCGCATTGTACTTTGGGGCGAATCGACATGAGCAACAAGGTGCTCAGGGCGGGTAGATCAGACTCACGAATCAGCATGAGCAATATCGTACCAAACCACGACATTCTTCGACAGTCGCCTCTTTTACTATACCCCATATCCTACCCATACCGCGGTGAAGCGTGAGCGATGAGAGAGTACAGAATAACAGCCATCTGTGTGTACAGCTTTAAGAACTCTTTCAATGTTCCTCAGCTGAAGGTTTTTATCTTCGTGGCAAGATCATCTTCCAAACCCCTTCATTACCAAACACCTCTTCCTCCATACTTCCATGAGGCAATGGTGCATGAAGATTGGGTTACATATATTACTTGTGGGCTCGTTGGGAAATGCGTCGAATTTTTGCTGCAGCCAAGTGGCAGGCGTTCGTCAAGCTTATTACTGACAAAGGCGGCTTTTAGTGAGACGCAAATACGAGTGAGGAGTCTTCTGGGTACAGACAAATGTAGGCAACTATAGCCTGGGAAGTTTCGATTACTACATAGGATTCTACGACGGGATGCACCAAAGGCTCGCCACATCTCCTACGGGCAAGAGTGTTATGTCGGATTTCTTCTTCACCTGAGACTCGCATATCTGCGCGGCTCAGCGCCTGGCCGGAATTCCGATTTGGTGTGCTTGGTTTGCATGCATCGCTGAGTCCTCAGGCCAGTTACACATGCGACCTTGGGAGATAAAATGTAATCCAAAAACATATGAATTGATGGCCTTTCTGCGGTCTTCCTGATACAATGACATATTATCCCACGAGATCTTCACACTAAGGTAACAACTGCATTGATACGTCCTCCTTGTCTGTTCCCAACCGTATGCTGGGGACCCCATACGACAGTAAGGCTGGTGGACGACGCCTTTATGATCCGAACTTCCGCGGAAAGTTTACAATGGCGACACCGAGACCGAGGACGAGACTTGCCTGAGCATATTGAAGACAGCCGTTCCATGACTTTGAAATTTACCAATAGCACTGGTAGTGATTGATTGTTTGGCATAGAATAATCAGGGCTGAACAAAGAAACTAGCCTCGAATCCGGTCACCCTTCAGTTTCACTTTAGGACAAGGACGGCTTACAGCATCGACCTTCCTAGGCTATCTACTAAAAGACAGCCCATTCTTTTGCAATCTCAAAGCCTCACACACGACATCAACCCAGTTCTATCGCTAGACGCATCCCCTTCATTCCATTCTGCTGTAAGTCGCTCACCCTTGGATTGTCCTGTCAACTTGTCCGCAGCCTTTCCGACGGAGCCCGACTCTGAACCCACTTTACTCTTCACCAAGCTGAGTTGACCTCCTGAAGCTGACAGCTTCCCCACCAGACACCTGCAGCAGGCTGCTTTATTTCCCGCGAGATCGAATTGGATCTACAACCCCCATACGCCGCTCCTTTACTTTTGCAGTCACTATTCTTGGATGCATTGATCGGGGTCCTTGATACCCTCGTTACGAAACGCCGCATCCACAGGCCGCAAACTGCCCCGAGTGCTGTTTAATTCCTCGCCGGTGCACTGACACTTGACACCGCGTTAGATCTGAAGCCTCGTTTCAGAAATTCCCGAGACACCTTTCTCTGAACTCACCTTTCTACACAGCATCAGCTTCTCCAGCTTCCACAGCTTCAGCGCTATCATGCTCAATATGTCTGCCGTGGGCAATAGAAACAGCACTCCTGTCGAGTCGAACAGCTCCTCCCTTCGACCTCCACGCACTGGTGCCATAGGTTCTAACAACCATCATCTTCGTGCATCTGCAGACATGGCTGCCTTCTCTGCCGCTCCTTCCTCGAGACCAATCCGACCATCGTCAGACTTCTATGGAACTCAACAAGGCCAGGGACAAGGAGGAGACAATGATGCGTCAGACAAGATAGCTCAACAGTGGATTGCGGACATTGACCAGTATGAAACCACATTAGAGGAGATGGCCGCTGCAACTCTTGATCAAGACTTCAAGGATGAGTTGAGCGCCATCGAGCAGTGGTTCCGAGTGCTGAGCGAAGCTGAACGTACTGCTGCTCTTTATGCTCTCCTTCAACAGACAACTCAAGTCCAAATCCGCTTCTTCATCCAGGTCCTGCAGCAAATGGGGAAAAATCATCCAATGTCGGGAGTTCTGTCCCCTGCAAACTTTGACAAAGGTTAATACTGACCCTTTCAAGCCGAGTCGTAGCTAACATCATGAATAGATCCTATGTCGAACCGCCTCAGCGACGCTATGGGCAAGCTCAGTGTTGATGGCTCGAGGAACTCTTTGACCCGACCTCCCCCAACTCCCGCTGCGAAAAGACATTCTGGACTTGACCCATCTACAATCAACGCTATGTTCCCTGATGCTGCAGCCGCTATTGCTACCGAAAAGGCGAAATTCACCCAGCAAACTGGCGCTCCACCATCGTCCAACCGGAACAGTGCTGCCTATGACCCTCGATCGTCCCTCACAGCACCTACAATCTCTGCCCCAGCCGATGGTGACAACAGTGGAGTTCCACCTTCCCCATGGGGTTCTCGTAGCAACGACCAGGCTTCTAGGCCCAAGTCTTCGTCCGGACAACCACCTATGGGCCAATTCATGCAACCAGCTCCATCCGCTGCTCTTCGTTCGCCTTCTGGAGGCAAGATCACGGGAAACACTAATTTACAAAACACGACGATCTCTGCTCCAGACAACCAGGGGCAAGATATGCCGCTTCTTTCCCCTTACAACGCCGGGAATGGTAACTGGGCTTCGATGGTCAACACTCCAATGGTTCCGAGTTTCAACCAGGGTGGTTCGTCACAGGCTGACATGGTTGCAAATGCTACTGCTATGAAGTTGGCTGCTCTCTCAACAGTCAACAACCGATTCGCTTTAGATGACGTTCGCAAGTATCGCCGTGCTAGGTCGAATGATGGCGGACAGGGTCCCCTCTCCCCAGGTCTTCAGAGCAACATGCCAGGTGCCAATGTTGTTATGATCAACGAGCATGGTCAAGTCCTATCAAGAGAACAGATCATTGCACTTCAAGCTCAGCAAAACGCCGCTTTCGGCCGACGATCTCGACCCAGTTCGCCAGGTTTGGCGATGCAAGGTGGTGGTTTCGGCCAGATGGGCTTTGCTTCGCCTCAGAATAATGGTTTCCTCGCGGCTTATGACGGCACTTCGCCGCTCATGAATAACGGCATGGGATCTCTTAATGTTGGCACTTTCGGTATGGGTGGAGGGCATGAGGGCTACGTTTCCGATCACAGTGATATGAATAGGGGTAGATCTCCACGCGGTAGACGTGGTAGCTCGAAACCTCCGGAGGATCCAACTGACCCCAGCTTGCTTCAAGACATCCCCAGCTGGCTGAGAAGTTTGAGACTCCATAAGTATACTGAAAATCTCAAGGATATGAACTGGACTGAGCTAGTGGAGTTGGATGAGAAGGCTTTGGAGGAGAGAGGCGTGAATGCTCTCGGTGCCCGGAGAAAGATGCTGAAGGTCTTCGAGCAAGTCAAGGGTAAGAATAATGCTTTATAACCGTATGCCATTCGATGCTAATAAATAAATAGAAGCCAAGGCGGAGGGAAAACTTGCGTGATGTTGGCTGTCAGTAAATCGTCGAAACATTGGGAAAATCGTTGGGTTACAGGTTGTGCTGTGAAATAGAGGATATGCAAACATCGACAGGATATGGCGCTGGTATGCCTACATATACATACGCCCCTGTAACATGTTGCATGATATACTAGAATGATTTGCATGGTCCAAGATGCTCTTCGCGGCTTGAGCAAGGACATTGGAAACGGGTAATCATCAGGTTTTCATGGAATATTATGAATGTATTTGTGGTAAAACGTCAAAGTCTTACAGCATGTACCCTAGCAGTGACATTGAATCACGAGCCCTTCCTTGGGCAATCCTACCTATTTGGTATTTCCAAAGCCGAAGCGTTCACTTACTATTTGCTGTCTAAGCCCCTCTATGCATACTTCCGTATGCACTTGAATGTCCAGAGCCCATGACAATGAATCGCAAGAGGTGCCGAGCTATCTATAAGTGAGTAAGGTACCTCAGGTGTGTCTTGGCTTCCAATCCAATCACATTGCCCAGAAAGTTGACCCCACTACCTTAGCCTTGCGGTCTGGGTCGCGAGCGCGAGGCTCTAATTTCGCCTCGTCAATTGCAGGCGACCTTCAATCCAGAGCAAAATAACTTCACCCTCTCGCCATGCGAGGATGTGCAGCTACTACTCACCAACTACTTGAGTGCGTATGAATTGCAGAGAATTTGTGGGTGGATCTAAGTGGTGCGGCCTCTCTTTCACGCGCAACTCGTTCATGACGGCAGACGACTGGGGTGACACACCAAAACCAGCAAGTGAGCCCAAAGATGAGCCAACAGAATGGACAAGGTAAGGCATGGCAGCCTGATTATTTCGCTATCCAGTCAGCTTGGTTGAAGAATCCGACATCTTCGGCCGATTCTCACCTCCGATACGAACCAATCTACAAAAGTCCAAACCAGAATGCTCCGGCGGAGGATACAGCGGATCATGGCCGAGCAAAAGTTGACGCTCAAGGAGACCAACATCCGAGCTATGAAGGAGGGAATGAAGACGATAGGGAGAGGACCCCAGAAGGTGATCCGGAGCCCGAAGATACCATTTTTATGGGAGGAGCTGGGTACGTTTAATAGCTCCCTCTCCGAAGCGAGCATATACTGAGCAGTTTGTAGCGATGTGAATTCTGACGAGGAGCATGGAGATGCCGAGCGACCAGATATCATGATTCGTCCTACAGCCTTGATGAACTTCGAGAGGAATATTCTGCAATCCAAGAAGCCTTCGTTCAGAAGGAAAGTTCCCACTTTGACGCGCCAAAGCATGCTCGGGATGCGAGATCTTGACGACGAAGTCGAAGATGACGACGACGATGACGGGAGTGAAGATGATAACGATGAACGGATATCAGCCATGGGCGAAGGAGAGGATGGTCAACCGCCTCGAAAGAAAAGACGATGGTTAGGCCCTAGAGGTCCTGGAACAGGTACCAAAAGAGGTCCACGAAAGGCCGCCCCAATGGCCCCCGATGTTGCCAAGAGAATGGGGGAGGCCAACAACCATTGGATGGCAGGGGATTTCGAACGTGCCGTTGAAGTTGCTTTGGACGTCATTCGTATCAATGCCGAGACCTACCAAGCATGGATCTTGCTGGCCACTATCTGGGATGATGAGGGGAAATTAGCCAAAGCTGCCAATGCACTGTTCTATGCCGCGCATCTTCGACCAAAACACTTGGAAGCGTGGATGACAGCGGCGAATTATTGCCTAGAGCGCACAGGAAATGCTAAGGAATCGTTCTATCCCACTGCAAGCCAATGTCTATCTTTTGCTCTCAGGCAGATCCCCAACTCTTATGAACCTCGCATCAAGAAAGCCAGACTCAATTTCATCCGGGGCAAGTACCAGGTGGCAGTATCAGATTTCAACAAAGCGCTCAAGCTTCGGCCTCATGACAGAGAGGTTCTCAGAGAGCTCGCGAATGCTTGCTTTGAATACGGCTTAGCTACTGATGGCATTGGCCAGTACCAAAAGACGATTTCTCACCTACGGTCAGTTCCTGATGAGACCGGTGCTCAGTTCTCATGGGAAGACACGGTACTATACGTCTCACTCCTCGAGTACGATGATCGGTGGGAGGAGGCGATCAAGGAGATCAGATCAATTTCTCGTTGGCTTTTGGGTCGGGAAGACGAGGTTTTCTGGGACGATGTCACTGACAACGATTGCGAATGGGATGTTGATGACTCCAGGAGGAAGGAGATCTTAGAATTCAATCCTCTCAGCTATCCTTTGTCAACTTATGGTGCCAGTCTGATTCTCGAACTTCGAGTTAGGCTTGGGATCAATCGATTGAACCTTGGTCACTTTGAGGAGGCAATGGTCAGTGACTCCTAAGGCGTGATTTGCCCTTTCTGACACAGCATAGTTGCACTTTTCTTATCTGGATCCACACGACGAACGTGGACAGCAACGGGTTGTTGAATATCCGCAGCTTTTCCGTGAAGTGGCAGATTCCTTGTTTGAAGCTACTTATTATGAGGAAGCCTTGGTTTTCTACAAGCCTCTAAGACAAGTTCCTGAGATAGTCGACACAAAAATGCTGAATAGCATGGGCAAATGCGCACATGAGTTAGGATCGCTTAGCGAAGCCGAGGAGTACCATCTAGCTGCAGCACTTGATGCGGATGACGTGGAGTCTCGATCGGCACTGGCAAGAATCTACGATGCTCTAGGAGATAAGCAAAGTGCATTTAATATGATCAACGAAATCGTATTGCTCAACAGGAACACCGCACTTCTCCCCGAAGGATTTCGGCGCCAAAATCCAAAGCTTCCAACCAGTGAAACCATTCGGGCCTTAGAAGAGTCGGGAGCAGAGTCTTTCCTGCAGCCTGCAGTGGTAAGAAAAACTAAAGGGCGAAAAAAGCCAGAGGATTCCAGTGTCAAGGATAGATGGGGTTATGGCTATGCAATACTAAAAGCACAGCGCCTGCAAGAGGAGTTCAAGACCGCGGAGAAGAACAGAGATCTCATGAGAGCGGGTGATCCAGGAGCCACAGCCAAATGGATGGAGGCGACAGAAGAGCTTATAAATGACTTCAAGCGGTTCAAGGCTTTCTATCCGTGGGAAAAATATGTTAGATTTACAGGGTACAGCAAAGCAAATTTTGTGGAGGGCTATGCATCATTAACTGAGGACTTGAGTGCCATGGCAGAGCGATTGTCCAACGATAAAGGTATGGTATAAAAATTTCGTCCTTGGTAAAGCCATGCTGACTGGCACTTACAGACGTTACTGCGGGCCTTGAAGGCAGCATTGAATCTCAGTTCGAAGTTTCCGACAAATATCGAGGCATCCCATTTGCCACATGGTTAGACTTCTTCATGGAATTCGCAATGTTCCATGCACGGAAGGGCGATTTGAAGAAAGCGTATGCGACGTGTCAAGCAGCCGCCGACTCGATCGTATGGTCGCATTCACAGGATGACACCTTCGTCATACATCTCTGCATGTGCAGTAAGTTTTTCTCCATTCGTCCTCATAACAGGCACATTGACGCGATACAAGTGTGTAGCATTTTTGCAAATGACGAACGCACCGCTTTAGACGCCTCCAAACACTTCACGAAGAAATTTCAGTTCACGACCGACTCTTATCGTTTGACTTCTGCGCTTGCAAGAGTGGTTCACTCGCCCCTCTCGTGGTACTGCGGCGGCCCAATGCAAAAATACATCCTTCGACAGATCAAACTGATGGATTATTCCTTGGTTGACGAAGAAGGCAAGAAGAAGATCACAGAGAAAGGGTCCTATTTTGCCGTGGATGAACATGGCCGCCCCATTGTCAATACAGACATGGATATCAATCTGCTGATGATGTACGGCTATATTCTGTACTCCAGTAATAGTTACTCGCTGGCTCTCAGTAAGCTAAAGCATCGCTGCCAGCAATGGAATCCTCTAATCAGAGCTACAGATTACTTTTTCCGGTGCTATGCACTTGATCCCCAAAATGCAGTCATCAACCTCATGATAGGTCTCGCTTATATCTCCGACTGCCTGAAGCGGCAAACCGAAAACAGACAGTACAGCGTTCTCCAAGGCACAACATTCATGCTTGCCTACTATGAAACCCGCAAAAATTCCAAGCACCTTGAAGAGCGACAAGAAGCTCATTATAATATGGCCAGAGCCTATCACATGCTTGGCCTCCCACACTTAGCTCTTCCATACTACCAGAAAGTACTGGATGAAGTTTCCCACGGAACGCCACGGTCCATGCGTGAGGACATTGTTGTTGATACTGCTTATAACCTGCAGCTTATGTATACAACAGCGGGTAATCTTGAGTTGGCGAGGCAGATCACGAAGCGTTGGTTGGTGATATGATGCCGTAACCTGCACTGCGGCCCTTTTTCGAGGCCTCATTACCTTACCAATCATCAGGAAATTATTTTCGGATAGTCTCGAACTGAAAATTCAGCATGCACCCAGACCTAGTGGCGCTTGTCCATTATGAGCTCAAGCAATTGCAGCCCAAGTACCGGCAACGCTGTGGAAGTGGAACCTTTGTGACATGCAAGTTGCCGTTCTGGCAACTGCCAGATCTTCTGATACAAAGGCTGACCAAAATGGCACGATGGCGACGAATGTAAGCTATCCCGGAGAAAGCAGATCCAATGCCGGAGCAGGATTCAATGGCACAATGTACACATAGCAGATGAGTCAAATGCTATCTTGAATTAGTATCCCGAGTTGCGCGGTGCCATCAAAGTGTGCTGTATATGTTGAAGAAGTCATTTGGAATGCGAAATTCTCATATCGTCAACTTCTGGGTGGCATAAAAGCATGAATCAACATTAGTTAACCTTCACGGTGAGTTGAGCGCTCGGAAGGTACCCAAGACAAACCATTAAATTCCACAGAGATGATGATACCAACAGGTGGCATTTCCTTCCCCAACACCTCTGAAAGTGGGCGAATAATGATCTTATGCTTCACCCACTTGCACACCTGCAACCACAAGATCCAAGCCGCCCATTCAGTGCAGCCCAACCACTGAATGAGCTGACTGGTCCTTGGATCCATGTGCCTTTATCAACCTGTGTAGAAAATCAATACCGAGTTACCACTTCATCATATCTAAAACCCTAGCACAGTGAGAAGATAGGTCAGGTACATGTTAGGCTCACGAGTCTTATTCGTAGCTAAACGGAGGGTGTTCTGACGCTGATGATGGAAATGGGGGGCCGAGAGCAGTATTGTTGTATCAGCAATATGATCGAGAGAGTCGTTATTGATCGAGCGTCCATGGCGAAATGATGTCCCCTACGTTGTATTCTGACCGAGGATGAACGTTAAGCATGTTTATGGTGGAGGTGACACCTCCATCAGGCGGTGTGATGTAATAGCAAATCTAAAGGGTTGCGAGGACATATTTGAATGAGTTCCGGGCCATTAATTTGGAGACGGAAAGAATGCAAAGGAGCTTGAACAGTGACAACTTGAGGGGAAATGGCAATCCTGCGGAAGAAGAGACTCGTAAATGATGAAAGGAGCACTACAGTACTTGTGAGGTGTAGTCGGTTCCACTGTGTAAGTCTGCATGCATTCGCATAGGCAGTCAGTCACCTTGAAGGCGAAGGCTGGCTTCCAAGAACCGCTGGACAGGCACTGGAGGGGCACTGGCACTGTAAGTCATGAGCGGTTCGGTTCATGGACAATCAACAAACGGTCAATTGATAAGGTAATAAGGATTCCTTCAGGAAAGTGCCCCTTCCATGGTCGGGCAAAACCTGCCTTGCCTTCTCCTTCAAGTTAAATCTACCTACAGTCGGTGATTGTAAGCGAGTAGCGCCGCAGGAAGGGACCTGGGGAACAGACTAGGAACCTTACAGAATACCTTACCTATTCTATTAACTTCGTAAAGGTCGGGATCGTAAAGGTCGGGATTTGCACGGCTTCCAGACGGCGTATCTCGTCTCTTGTCGGGTTCAATAATGTCGGTGACTTTGCAAGAGAACAGATGCAGACAGCCGATTCAACTACTTCAAGGTCAAAGTCCAGCAGAAGTGAAGAAGCTCATGCATATCATATGGCAATCAACAGATCTCATGGCAGGCAAATCTCGGTGCCCCCACCCCACAGCACACTCCGACCACCGCAACTCTCCTCAGCCACTCCCATACTTATCGCCACCATGAAATGCTGATTTGGCAATCTTGCCTGCGTAATTGTCCATCGGCCTGGACCCAGCCAATATTCGCCTCAAAAGAGACGTCTTGGCCTGAGCTTGATGTTGCTTGACGGACCGGCCGCCTTGGATGGAATGGAATGGAATGGAATGGAATGAAACAATGGAATATTGGATAAAGCGACAAGCCCCGTTGTGGCTGCATCGCATTTCCGCATCACACAAAAGTCCCGGTCCACTCTCCCCGAACTTCGAATACAGGAATGAAATCGGCCATAAGTTTCATGTAATTTAATTTACAGGAACTAGAACTGATGATGCGGTGCAATCTCTGAAGAGATAGAAATAGAGAGAGGGTGGGCCAGTTCCTGCCTTGCCGAGATTTGACGTCCCCACGGCGCCAGGGCCCCAGCAGATCTCTTGCGTCCCGTCTTTCCTTTCCTCTTGTGGCTTGGAGTCTGGGTCAATCTGTGAACCTCGTCCTCACTCCTGCTCAGTGCTTAGTGCTCAGTGCTCAGTGCTCACTGCTCACTGCTCACTGGCTCAGTCTCCTCACTGTCTCCACGGCTGGCCCCTCAGACCGCGCGTGCCCTACGGTAAATGTAAGATAAGGGGAGCGGATCTTGGAATCGGACGCACTGGCAAAGACTGGCATGCCCTACCCACAGCCAGTCCGGTAACTTAAGGCAGTGACAAACAAGTCCAAGGTACGGAGACTGCAGCTGAGGCTTCTCGATGTTGGCCTCTGAATAGTGTCTGACAAGAACAGGCACGCACCGGCGGGAGTGGCCCACAGGCTGCAGATGAGATGAGATGAGATGAAATGAGATGGAATAATAATGGGATACGCAGGGGTTACAACAGCAACAGCACAACAAACGGGCCAGCGGTCTGGTTCCTCCGCCATCCTCACTACACCAGTACAGTACTGCTATTATTATTGCCCTGGCCCACCCAGTTTGTTTCCTTTCCATGAATTAATGTTTCTCTTGGCCATGCCGACGCCCATGCCGATTGCCCATGCTCATGCTCTTGCCCATGCTAGCCCTGGCCCGCTGGCTGGCGGGTGTTTCTGAGAATCTGAGGCATCCTGGCATCCTGGCATCCTGGCATCCTGATCGTCGGCTCTGATGGATCATGATCATGATAACGGGCGACAGCGCTGCTGTGAGCCTGTGAGTGGCCAGCCGGGGGAGTACGAGTACAAGTAGTTTGCAGCGTGCGTGGTTCCTGCGTTAGTGGCTCGAGGTCCCTCGTCTGCCACCCTGTCATGTCAGCAAAAGTGCCCAATCTCGGCGGCCACAATCTCTCCGTACAGTACAGTAGTAGGTGTCCAGGGTTCTTCTACTTCTGCTTCTGCTTCTACAGCGGCCCTGTTCTTCGCTCCGGGTGGCTGCGACCGCCCGCCGCCCCTGACTAGCTATCTCGCTTAGGCAGGCACTGGTCATCACATCACCTCCTTTCCTGACTCTCTCCTCTCTCCTCTCTCCTCAGTTGTTTTGCTTTGCTTTGCTCCGGCGTTGCAGGATTGCCGCCGTGCGACCCACCGCCGATTGGAGTCGGATTGGACTACTTTCATTTCGATCTTCATCCCCATCACCATGGGGCCCAGCATAGGTGGCTAAATTAAGTGACAGGCAAGCTCTTCCTTGCAAGACCAGTGAGGGCTTAATCTCCCCAAACACTCTTATATAGCTTTCTCACCCTTCGAGTCTGTTTCTTTTCTCCTCAGCCCAACAGCCAATCTTCAACTCACATCATCTTCTTGATACTTTTGACTTCGGTCGTCCATTCTTTTACAGAACCAGCTCAATAATACCGCTCTTCAGCAACTCACAAAAACTCCTCCCAAACTCCCCCCAACCAACCAAACAAAATCAAAATGCGTTTCTCCATCGCCGCCGCCGCCTTCATGGCCACCGCTGCTTCCGCCGGTAGCGTCGTTTACTTGACTGAGGAGGTCACAATCACTTCCTGGTATGCTATATTCTATTCGAGCAAGATATCTTGCTACATTGTTCGGAAAGCGCAAATGCTAACCGGTACCATAGCGCCGCAACTGTCACCGACTGCCCTGCCAAGTCTACTGTTACCTCCCTCACCTCTTACCCGGTCGTGACCGCATCCAGCTCTGCCCCAGCAGTCTACCCCACCACCTACGCAAACGTATCTAGCCCTGCAGTCCCAACCTACCCGGCTACCTACCCAGCTGAGACTGCTTCTGCCTCTGTCTCCGTCCCAGTGTACTCCACTTCCAGCGCTATTGGTGTGCCATCTTACCCCGCATCATCCAAGCCAGTTCTGAGCACCATCACTATCTCCACATGCGTGCCTACTGTGCTTTACTCAACTGTTACTGTTACTCCTACGGCCCCAGCTGTGACCTACAGCCCAGCCCCATCTGCCACTGGTATGTTGAAATCGATTTCGGTGGAACTTTCAAGATTTTTGAACTGACGCTCGTTCTTCTAGGTGTCATCTCATACCCCCACAACGTCACCTACCCAGCTGCCACTGCCACCCCAACTGCTTTCACTGGAGCTGCTTCCAACGTCCAAGGCTCGATCGTTGTGGTCGCCTTCGCTGGTCTCGCTGCTTTCATCTTCGCATAAGTCATCGCTTGCATTTGAAGCCTGACTCAACCGGTCTTCGAGCTCAGGCTATGGCTTAACGAAAATTGGGATTCGCGCGTTTATATACCTTAGATTTGGAGCACGACTTGTGGTCTCTGAATTACATACTCTGTAATTTCTTAATTCTGGATCGTAGATGGTTTTGGCTGTACTTCTAGCACACTGGGTTGGGGTCAAGCATCAATCGAGATTTTGTCCGACAATAGGAGATATGATTCGATCCTTCCGCCTGAGGTAGCTTTAGCATGAATCGGTCCGAAATTCAATTTTCTGAACATCCAATACTGTTGCACTTGCAAAGTCATTACCGTGACTCGTAGCATTGCACTTGGAACTAATTTGACTAATTTCGCCATCGTTCGGCTCAATACTCAGTCGACTCGATGTCCCACGACTTGAGATTGCGTTGTTCGCAGATCTCCCAGGGTAGCCTGCCATCTCATCTCTGCGTCTGAACTTCGAAACAGGCTAAACTGGGTAAAGTGGCGGCGCAACATGGATAACCCAAACGGGAATATTAATGCAGCGGAAGCCGGAGATGATGAGACTTTGAAAGAGCGGAACAGAACAAGGTGCGGCGGGTTCACGTGCATGTGGTTCATTCTGGAAGGTATGAAGTGTAGCGTACCTAGGTAGGTACGGCAACTAAACCAGGAAGTACAGTGCCTAGCTAGATAAGTAAGGTCCAGAAGGGCAGACTGATGTGGAAACCAGCTTGTCGACATGCTTTACACAATCTTGAGGCGCTCACTAATTTTTGGCTCAGACCTCAGAGCTCAGAGCTCGGTCCAGAGTGAAGAACTGAGCAAACGAGTCTGAGTATGAGCAATAAATACCTAAAGTGTGCCATGGTTCAGTTGACTAGCTCTGTCGATGATACCTATCTACACTTCCTACTTGCATTCACATATCAGCAAGACTTTTACGGAGTTAAGACACAAGCAATCAGAACCCTTGTCGTCAAAATTCAGATCTTTCGATTGTGCGTATAATTCGTGACGTGCAAGGCGCAAAACACGGTATCTAAGCAGCATTGTCCTCAGAAGACGCCAGAGAATCACACCGAGCTGGGGCGTGAAACCCTTACCAAGAATACAGATGGAAAAGATGTCTAAAAAAAATCAATGCTGTCGCATAAAATCCATTCCAGCATATGTCGAAAAATGAAAATGCCTGATTGGTGCTTTGAACTGGCGCAATGCAAGGCACTGACCGAGGCCTTGGTTTCAGCACCGCCAATACTTATATCAGCCTTGCCATGTCTCGAGGTTCGATTTAAGCCGTCTCGCATGGGTTTTCTTCTCTGCCACAGCCTTGCTGTGCAAAAAGCTTGCGTCGCATCATGTTTCTTTGTATAGTCTAAAGGTTCACGAAGTTGCGAAGTCGATGTTGGAAGGGACGTTCTGCGTTGACGTCAACAAGTACGCTTGCGGTCCTGATCCTGGGGTATGAGTACTCCTAATGATCGTGAAGAAGGCTGCGCCGCCAGAACATCCCCAAAGAACTGCGTGATTTGGCAATCCAGAAGTATTACGCTGTGTCAAGCACATGACAGATAGTACTAGCAACACATACAGTAAGTCATCCCAAGCTCGAGAATATGAGAGACAGGTGGCTGAGAACCCTATCGGTCCATCTCGTTCCCGGGCATCCGGTTGCTCACCAACACCAAGTTTTAGATCCCACACAAACTCTGCCTCTGGCAACTTCGTAACTCGTAAGGCGTGGACACGTACCGCATACGTAGACTTCCACCTCACTCGTGCCCGCTTTCAGGCTCACGACATGCTTTCGGATTCCGGGAATGGCGGTCCGGTCACATCGGAGGATGACAGCAGTGCAACAGCTGGGCCTGAGCCTCAGCCTTCAGTCCTCACTTCTTCAACGAACCACCTCTATGAAGCCTCTGATGACTACGAAGAAGAAGAAGAAGAAGAAGAAGACACAGAAGCCATGGCGGTATCACCTATGTCAAACGAGGACGCTCAATCGCTTATTGAATTATCAATGAGCAGGGTCGCCACCCGCCTCAAATCTGCTAGGACACCAGCAATCGAAAGGGCAGCTGCACTGGAGGAAGGAGATGGCTATTTTGCCAGCGAAGTCGAGACTCCTCCAGCAAACGATTCCTCGGGGGAGTCTTCGACGCCAAGACTGCATGGAGTCATCGATGCGCCGGTGTCCTCTGAACAAGAGACATCTGTAGTTTCTAAACCAATGGCGGGACTATCACTCGGAAATCTACCATCGCCAAATTTCGAAGAGCCCCTTCTTCCGACTCCATGGCATCCAGGACCCAAGCAATTCGCTATCCAGCCCAAAGATGCTACTCAGCAATCGTCTCTGGCTGGTGTCTTTACTGGCAACAGTTCGAGGACGAGATCTCTGTCAGGTGGCGCGGAGGCATTGAGGAAGCTTTTACCCAAAGGACTCCCGTCAATGGCTCAAGTTGGAAACATGTTCGGGTCTTCTTCAAGCGGTAGTACGAAGCCTAGATCGGGAGGCTCTTTAAGCTTTCCAAGAGAACCATCCCGCTCGACTGCCGGTCGATCAACAAGTTCTTTCGGCCCAGGATCTCCTATGTTATCTCCCGGGGCGAGAACATTCGAGCCAATCATAGCTGCTCGTCCTCAAGTTACAAGACAAAGGACACCAGCTGGACAAGAACGACCCGCTACTATCCGTAGATCCACCTCGGATGATTCCTTGCTCTACCATTCTCTGTCCCGAGCATCATCTTTGGGCGACGACACTCGCTTCGAAAATCATAGGGAGCAAGTCAATTCACGTGTCAAAGCCATCAGAGATTCTCTGCAAGATCGGTCCAGCTTCAGGATGCCTCAGATGCCGAGTATGCCTAGCATGCCAAGTATGCCCAGTATGCCCAGTATGCCTCGTGTCTCCAGTTTTGGTTTCAACATGAACTTTTTGAATACCACGAGTACTCCTGCCAAATGGAGAACAGAGACTAATTACACGTCAGACATTCTTCCAGGCACTTTGGCCAAGAAAAAAAATATAGCCACTCCTACTGTTGCACCTGGACTGGTCGGTGCAGCAGTGTCGAGGCCAGAATCAGCATTCGAGACAGCTCGAACCGCGCAGGACGGTCCAAATTCAACCTACCTGGACCGAGCTATGGAACATCTAACAGGAGATGTAGTAATAATGGGTGGCTACCGAGGCTCGATCCTTCGCTCGATTAAGACTCATCGTCAGGTTTGGGTGCCTGTGAAGGTTGGGTTAAATATTCGAAAAGTAGATCTGGAGGTTGGACTCGAACCTGAGGATGAAAATCGTATGCAGGAGACAATTTATCCGTCCGGTATGCTTCAGAACATCGGACCCGTTGATATAAGTAAGCGTCTTTTCAAACGTTTGGCAGAGAGTAAGAATGCCCGCAGTGGAAGATTGCGAGTTTGGGATTATGGCTATGACTGGCGCCTAAGCCCTCATCTTCTAAGCCGTCAACTACAGAGATTTCTTGAGACGCTTCCGTCAAATAATTTAGGCGAATGTCCACCTACAGGCGTTGAGCATGGTGCGCTTGTCATCGCTCACAGGTAGGTTGTGGGATATTTATTATTTCCTCCTCTAGAGGGACTCCTAATATTCTGGAGTCCCACCGTCTTCCAGAACAATCCAGACCTGGCGATTGCTAACGCCCTTATTATCTTCAGTCTGGGAGGTCTCATCACCCGTCATGTCGTCAACAATCGACCAGAGCTGTTCTCCGGTGTCATCTACGCGGGCGTGCCACAAGCTTGTGTAAATATCCTGGGACCTCTAAGAAACGGAGACGCAGTCCTACTGAGTTCGCGAGTTCTCACCGCTCAAGTAAACTTCACACTTCGGACGAGTTTTGTTTTGCTTCCTGAAGACGGAGGATGCTTTATCGACATCAAAACCAAGGAAAAGTATCCCGTCGACTTCTTCAGCATTGACGACTGGATCAAGTATCGTTGGTCTCCCTGTACTGACCCGCCGTTACCGCCAAAAAATCCAGCTTCAAGTGCCTTGGGAGGGCTCCTCAACATGCCTGGCAGCTTACTGAATCTTCCCCTACCCAATAAGAAATCGATCTCGGGGTCGTCGACCCCCAATATTACTAATACGGACAGTGACATTGAATCAGACGCAGTTCCATGCTCGCCATTACATTCGCCCCATAGTAAGACCACTCGCGCAGCAGACGCCATCCGAGGCATGGAGGGTGGCACTGATCGAACTTTGGCACCGCAATTGGCCGGGATGGGCAGCAAGTCCAACCCAGTTAGCAAAGGTCAAAGCGTGAACTCGTCCGTCTCAACGGCAGTCACCATTCCTCGCGACAAGGCAATTGCATACCTGGAACGAACACTAAGAGAAACAAAACAATTCAAGCAAGAACTACACTTCAATCCTAAGCACGCTGCTGTTAATGTTTACCCTCCTCTTGCATTAAGTATGTACTCTTCCTCCCCCGTGACCCTCAAGATCTCGATCCTAGTGGTTTGTGTCTCTCAGCGCTAACATTCTTGAAGTCTATGGCAAAGCTATTCCGACGTGTGCTGGAGCTAAGGTTGATGGTCGAGATTCCATTCCCTGCGCAGATGTGTATGATAATCTGGCATTTGCAAGTGGCGATGGAGTATGCTTAGCAAAGGAAGCTATGTTACCAGAGGGATACAAAGCAGCTTATGGTGGACGGATATCGAGCGATCGTGGTCATGTCACTTTATTAGGAGACTTGAATGCAGTGGGACGAGCCATAGAGGCAGTCCAGAAGGGAAGGGCCAAGGGTATCGGAAAGGGGAACAGGCTAAGTGGCGCAACGAATTGAGTCGTTGCATAGCCACTCTATTTCGCTTTAGAAGAGGGCAAGCTTTGAAAGAGGGTAAGAGAAGCTGATGCGGCATCGTGTGAAAATGAAATTATGAATGGACGATTGCATTGCGACGGGGCGTTGAAAAGTGCACAAAGTAGCGCTTGATGCATAGCATAGAGTTGTCTTAGAATGTACAATAGCCAATAGTAGTCTTTCAACTTCTCAAAATTGCCCAGTATTAGAGCACTGTTGAGAACGCAAGGCCTTATAGCAATCAGACAGAGTATTAAACGTTACTGAAATGGTGTCGATTGTCCATTGCTGTGTGTCAAACACAGATTCTTTTTTTTAAAAAAAAGATCAACTGTCATGCGATGTCATCCCACTACAAATCCATGGAAGATCATGCGAGCCAATTGCTGCTGTGATTACCGAGACACATCAACAAGTGAGCAAAAATATTCAAGAAAATAGAGCAGTGCAGTTAATCCAATAGCGCAAGAACCTTATACGAAGACTATGTGATGAAATGATGTCGGCCTGCCTCTTAAAGACTAAAGTGTTGTCTCAAATTTCCCATCGATCTCAACAATCTTTTCTACCGACTTCTTGTAACCTGGTTCTGTTTCAAGCATATCAATGTAGCTAGACAGCGTCGGGTACTTCTCCTTCGTCAAACCAGTTCGACTTCTTCCGGCAAGCAGTGGGAAGCTGAGAAGAATATCGGCACCAGTCAGGTTCGGACCGCAAAGATACTTGCCTCCATTGGGAGAGGAAGTGAGTTGTGATTCCAGGAAGCTGAAGTGCGTCTTGAAGTTTGGGTCCAGGAAATTGGTGTTTATTTTGCCTGACACAGCACCAGTGATCGGCTTGATGAAGAAAGGCACGGGTGAATTTTTGATTTCTGACGAGATAATGTTAGTCCATATATGGTCCTCGGAATGTGGACACATGGAATGAGGAACAGAACTCACCTCCAGATACGAGAGCAAGCAGCATGAAAGTCATAAGACTGCCTTCTGCATAATGCATGTAGAATTTGAATCTCAACCATTCCTCGGTCTCACCACCGACCTTTCCTTCCTGGCCATCCTTGTACCTCTTAGGCAACAAGTTGGTCCCTTCGGAGAAGTGATCAAGCAAGTACTCGGTAATGAACCCACTCTCAGCAATAATTACAGGCTCAGTCGCGCCAGGCGAGAGAACAGAGATGACTGGAGACTTTCCAAGAGCGTGGACTTGCTTGAGTTCGGGAGGTGCCACTTCATAAAGATTAGCGGTGACTGTCACAATATGACAAGTACTGTACTGAAAGAAATAGAATTCTGTGAAGTGCCAAGCTTTCCTCGACTGGGGGCTTCGGGAAGGAATATAAACAAGGGTATAACGCACGATGAGTTTTGGGGTGGCGGTGAAATATTTTCAATTCATATTCAACCTTCAACTCCTCGAGCAGCCAAAGAATACGTTGTGAACGAGACTGTTCAAGCCAGTATAAAATGACTTTCGGCTTTTCCGTAGAAGTTGCGTTTGCTGATGCCATGGTGACTGTATGTATGTGTGTGCACAAGCGTGAGGTGCGTTGAATATATACAAAAAACGGAGTTATGTGAGGAATAACTGATTTATAGACAAAATGATGCTTTTAGAAAGGAAAAGCAAGCCAGGCAAGGAGATATGAATTTCTCCGACATGACGAGTCTGCGAGGCCGAGGCTGTCTCAAGCCGCCGCTGCAAACGGGATGGATCCACTATCCCGTGCATCCCGCTTTTGCTCTGCCGACTGCCCTCCCGGATAAACTGTTATTCCATCCAGCCAGCCAGCCTCGAACCTCAGTCTTGAAGCTCCAGATCTCAACCCATCAATTCAATCGACGGCGACGTCCACAGCACTCATCATGGCGGGCCACCACAATCACCGTAAGCTTATTCAAGAGCCAATTGTACTTCAAGAGCTGACAATGTTCTGTAGCGATCGCGCTTGACCCGGCGTTGGTCAAATACAACAGTACGCACATTTCCACCCCCCGATACCAGAGCTACCACAGCTTCCAACCCTCCTTTTGAAACTGTGGAAACAGGCAATAACATACATACTAATGCAAGTTAGACATGTGGATCAATCGACACAAGTATTTCAGATGGACTGGACGAACTGCAAGAATTACCTTTGCCTACGTCGTTGCTTTCCCAGCCTTGATCGGCTACTTGGCATACACGACAGACGTAAGTGTGCTTGGAGGAACTGACGAGGGTCCAATTGCTGATTCTAGTAGGGCAAATGGGACATGAGGGGCAAGCGGAGGGGAGATACCATTGTGGAGTACTAGGATGTCACCGTAGGATTTGGGATGTACATATGATAGGAACGGAATGGATCAAATACTAGAAAGTCTATCGAAGCATGCTTTGTGATTAGAACCTCCGTTCTTGTCCGGAGACCTCAATATCTCAGTAGTATCTATCACGGCAAGCTTAGCGGATATGATGGAAGTCGAAACAGTTCCACATATCTTTCACGACTTTTGATTGCTTCGATATGTAACGCCGTACGCCCTTATGACCGCAAATCTTCATATAGAGATCAATCCAGTCCCTACAATGGTATCGTTTGTTCCCTTATTGCTCACCATCTGCCCCCTCTACTGCCCCCTCTACTGCCCCCAAAAACTCCTCCGAATCCCCGTCCTCTGCCCCCTCCAGGACCATCTGGTACTTGCTCCCCTCTACGCCACTCTCCGTTAGGAACAAAGCCTTGTCCACCAAAATTCACCCCCCCTCTAGGACCACCTCTTCCCCTAAAACCACCACCAAATCCATTCTCTCGCGCACCCATACCTCCGCCTCGTCCTCCATAATCACCTCTGCTAGAGCCGAAGCCACTCCGCGAAGGACCCGATGGAGGAGGTGCAGCACCGCCGTTCTCTGGGGGCGGTGTAATGGCACAGCATATGTAGTCCCCAATCACGAATCTAGCATCTTGTAACGTCTTCTCCGGCTCTCCTCCAAGTGGCCCCGCCATTTGCCCACCCCTCACAATAGCTGCCTCTTCCTCATCTGGTAGAATTCCTGGACCGCCTTCTCCAATGATCACACTGCCCAAGTCTTTTGTCATATATCGTCCTGGCCCTGATGCTTGATTAGAAGTGCGCGTGTCGGGAAAGATGAGCCGGTACGAAAGACGCGTGCCAATTGCTGGATCTGGGAGGAGAGATGGGAGTGCAGATGTGAGTAGGTGAGAGAGCTCGCGGAGGGTGCATGATTGCCATGTGTAGATCTGGACATGAGGAGGGAGTTCGGAATTCAGAGAGAATTCATCAAGCCTTGGATCGCGTTGTCAGCTTCACACCAGTTCGAGGACAAGGCTGAACTAACCTGTTGAAGGACCCATTTCTGTAGAAGAGCTTCAAGTGAAATGGCGTTGTAGTTTGGCGGTCGCTTTTTGCCAGAGGAGAAGCCATGGCAACGAAATATCGAACTAGATAAGTATGGGACGTTTATATGAGCATTCTGGGTTCTTGAGGTTGTGTTCGCAGCTTCGGCGCAAGTGGCTCTTCGCAATGCTCTACAGTCAAGTCAAGTTCGAGATGCAAACTCGCCAAGAAATTTGTTGTTTGATTCAGTCATTAGTTCACCTCCGAAAGCATACTGCACAGCGAATTAAGACAGTAAATCTAAGGATCTGTATCAAACTGCAGATACTCTGCTCTCGAATTTTTCTTCATCTACCTGGGAATAGGTTGTGTTAAGTCGCCTGTCAGCGCAACCAATTACAAGGAGCTTTAATGCTTCGCAGTTCGACAACCTCCCGTGTTGATCTTGCCTCACCATAAACCTCTCGTCGACAAGCACCGCAACCATGGATTTTGCCGCACTCATGAACCAGGCGATTTCAAAAGCCAACCCGAACTCATCCTCAGAGCCCGAGCCATCCAAGAAATACTTGAAGCGCGCCGAGTTGGAGGAAGAACGACGTCAAAAATACCTTGCTGAACAACGAGCCTTGGAAGCAGAGAAAGAAGCGAAGCTGAAGCTGAAGCGCAAAAGAGAAGAAGAGGAGGCGGAGGCAAAGCAGGCACGAGAGGAGAAGCGTAGGAAACTCGCAGAGGAATCTAGGCGACGGAGAGAAGAACAGGAGGCTGAAGAGGAGAGAGCAAGGAGGAAGAGGCTGGGTCTGCCGGAGTTGGTCGAGGAAGCCAGTGAGGAGGTTGAGATTGATGATGTCAAAGATGAGGAGCTTGTGAAGAACTTGAGGGAGATGGGCCAGCCCATCACCTTGTTTGGGGAGAGTCATAAACAGAGGCTGCGGAGGTTTCGGAAGCTGGGAGTCGTTATGACCACTGGACCTATTCCGACATCTTTGGAGCTGGTGGAGGAGAAAGATATGAAGGTCAACATTGTGCCAAAAGGAGAAGCCGAGAGGAAGTTCTTGTTTAGGCAACTGGCTTCATACTTCACCATGATTCTGAAAGAGTGGGAAACGGCGCTCGAGCAGGAAAAGCGAGATACATTTGCAAGCAAGGCGGCATATAATGCTATGGCACAGAGCAAGGAGAACATGACGCCCGTAAGATCCAACCCTCTCCTCACACATCCAAGACTAATACCTGGTAGTTATTCCGCAAATTCGAGAAAGGCGACGTTGACGAAGGTGTCCTCGAACCCATCGTCGAGATTGTCAAGGCAGCTCAAGAACGTCGTTATGTGGATGCAAATGATGGATACCTGAGACTCAGTATTGGCAAAGCAGCGTGGCCTATTGGAGTCACTATGGTTGGTATCCACGAGCGAAGTGCCCGAGAGAAGTTGCATGAGAGTGATAAGGGACATGTCATGGGAGATGAGGTTACTCGGAAGTTTTTGCAGAGTATTAAGCGATGCTTGAGCTTTGCTCAGGTCCGCTGGCCTCCGGAGGACATTAGACAGCTTATGGGTTGATGGGTTACATGCCGATTATATCCAACTGTTCGCGTTAATACTCCCGCAGTCGCAGTACATCGTTGGGTTGGACTGGTTAGTAATCCCACACACTCATCAAGCTGTGATAAAGCTCAGGGCTGCAGGCCAACTCTCTACGATTCGCTAAATTCTCATTTGTATCGGCGATAGTGCTCTTTGAACGCCATTGCATCCATTTGGGGCTTCAATCCCAGTTCACTCTTGAGGACTTGCATTAAGCCCGGTAAATACGCAGTTGGGTTTCTATCAACAGAATCTCCACAAGCTTGCTTTCTTGAGTCGAGCCAACCTCTTTAAGGTCGGTGATAACAAGCCTGAGATGCATAGAGAGTAGTCCGTTTCTGCACGGGTGGCGTTTAATGTCTAGGGGGAGAAGTATTTATCGAAAAGAAGTAAGTATTCCATATCATCGACCCTTTTGGTGTCGAAATTTCCATCTTCAGAATGTCTACTCAAGTTCATCCTATCTACATTGTTTCCGTAAATAACACTCCACAAAGAGCCAAAGAGCTAGTTGCTATCCTCGTCGATGTAAGTACAGGTCTTTTTGGAGAACCTACAGACCGCTGATTCGCAGCCCAGGAGCTTAGAATGGAGTACAACTTGATCCATGTCGCCAACATGGACTGTAAGTAGCCATTCTTTGAAGCATAATTGATGCTTACAAGCTCCACGTAGCTATCTTTGGGGTCAAGGCGATTTTGGAGTCCCTAATTGTTTTGCCACAGGTCCTTGTATGTCTCATTCTCTCAGTTCAAATTAGCTTGACTGATAGGCAATTTCCAGATCTGCTCAAGCCAATGGAACACCACACAGCAAGAAGAAGTCCAGAAACTTGCAAAGACGTTGATTCCAGGTCTGAAAACTGTTGCGATTCCTCCGGGTCTCAATGCATTGCGGGGAGGAGGTGCGGTAGTAGGATTTTTGAAGGAGCAATTTCTTGGACTGGGTCTCCCAATGAGAACTTGATCCAAGCTTAGAGCATACTCAATTAAACTAAAAGCTACATCGTCATATAAGAATATGTGTCTCGCATTGTCCTCTGATACAGACTATCCAGCTCCATTGTCAATCAATTGGCATGAGTCCAGGGTACCCACGTTCCCACCGCTCTGAACGTCTCCAGAACTGCTCTCTGCCTGGTGCTGGAAGCCCAACGGCAGATTTGACAAACAAACCGCCCTTTAAAAAGCTCTTTTCAGGGCGAATAGCCACCACAGACATAATGGCACTGCTTGCAATAAGTAAAGGAGCATTCACAGCAATTGACAAACACACGATCCACAATCGCCGCAGAAGTGCCGATTTACAGCATTGCCAGATGCTGCAATGTCGACATGAATCTTCGGAGTCCCTTCAACTTTGATGTCTGCTGTCGAAGTGGGCAAATTCACCGCGAATCTGAGGCTATAAGTACATTGTTACTGATTGGGAATCAACAAGCACTTACAACGAGCCACTTGATGCGCGACAATTTGAGCAATGACACAGAGAACTACTGCTGGGTAGTGACGTGCGAGGGAGTGAAATAATGATCTTGCCACAGTTGCAAGCTCCGTAAATAATTTCGGGCAAATCTGTGTTAGTTGAAGACATATTGACCATTTGGTAGTGGTTGTTCAGCTAGGTAGGAAGGCAGCTCCTTCATCTCAAGGATATATATACAATTTTGAAACTACTAATCAACAACAAGTAGTAGGCGTATTATTCAGCAGCATGCACGATTATTGAAGCGAGCGATATAAGGAACAGTGTAAGAGTCATGCAACTCTAGATGAATGGTGGGCTTAGTGATGAGACTGCCCCTGGATAATCACATAGGATAGCTTTTTTTGGTTTGTTAAAGCTGGGAGTCTTTTGGGATCTGCCCAAAAACATCATCGTAGGGATTCTGTTCAGGACTGGAAATACAAGTCAAGTGAGAGTTTCGAGCCATGGGTAGGTAATGGAAGACCTCGAAGCCATTTACCCCGGATAATAGGCTACTAGCGCGCCTCGGCAAACCTTCCCTGCAGACACCTGAATTTTCCTGTCAATAAAATATCTCGGAACCACGTCTCACTGACCTTCATTACATTCTCCGCACCTGCTGCAAAAGAACAGCGGCGTCGAAAAGGAAGTGGAAGTGGAAGTGATTCGAATCTCGGACAAATCCACACCACTGATTGGATCCTGTGTGGTGCTATGTCTTTATATTATGAGGCCGCTGACCTTCTCACAGCTCCGACTAACGCAGGTGGAAGTTTGAAGTCAAGGATATTCAGCAAGAAGGACTTGAAGTCCCAGCCTGCGCAAATATATGCGCTCGCAATTGAAACATGCAAATGGAGCTCGGTTCTGAAGGAAATTGTTGAGAATGCGGAAATACTACGTCTTGAGCACAAAGCAAGTATTTCACTACACTACTCATGTACCTGGGCTGAGTTAAGGCACTCTAGTTGACACCGATCCTCTCAATTCTTCTCGTTCACGATCTTCTATTGGCGAAACGAGGTATCGCTCTTCCAGCGACCCATGGATTGCGGACCAGCGTCGAGCGGCATAAGGGTAGACTTCACGCCGAGTTTGTGAAGGCTCGGGTCAGGAGGAAGGTCAGCTCCGTGGAAGCGTTCAAGGCTTTTGTCGAGGGAGGGTTGGAGAATGGTTCAGATACTTCGGATGCGCCATATCCACGCTGGGTCCGGATCAACACCTTAAAGACATCACTGGAGGAACAACTGGAGACGACTTTTGCTGGAATGGAGCGTGCTACATCAATTGCGGCCGTACGAAAGCGGGGAGCTAAGCGGCTATTCATAGATGGCAATATCCCAAATTTGGTTGCTGTTTCACCAAATGTTGATCTTTCCAAGAGCGATGCATACAAAGCTGGGTGCATCATATTTCAAGATAAGGCATCTTGCTTTCCAGCGTATTTGCTCGATCCTCTACCTCAAGATGGCAACATTATCGACACATGCTCCGCTCCGGGCAACAAGACAACACATCTTGCTGCAATTGTCATGGAACATAGCTCAGAGCCCGACGAGTGCTCACAAACTATCCACGCCTTTGAGAAGAATAAAGGAAGAGCCGAAACGCTGGAGAAGATGATCAACCTGGCCGGTTCACACACTTTCACCAAGCTTCACCCGGGACATGATTTTTTGAAATCAGACCCAAAGTCCTCCGCCTTCAAGAAGGTAGGAGCTCTTCTCCTCGATCCCAGTTGCTCTGGAAGCGGAATTATCGGCCGAGACGATATGCCAGAACTACACCTCCCTGTCCTTAAACAAGCAGCACCAAAACATGGATCACGCCCTCCTAAAAGAAGTGCGAAGCCCTCATCTACAAAGGCACCGGAAACAACAGCCGAGACGAGGAAGAGAAAGCGTGAGGACCACGATGCCTCAATGGATGTCATGGTCGACGATGATGGAGAAGTTACAGCTATTAATTCGGAGGATGAGCTGAAGAATCGCTTGGAAGCTCTTTCCAATTTTCAACTGGAGCTTCTTCTTCATGCATTCAAATTTCCAGCAGCCCAGAAGATTACGTACTCAACCTGTTCGCTCCATGCCGAGGAGAACGAGAATGTCGTTCAGAAAGCCCTGGAGCACCCAGTTGCTAAGCAAGCTGGCTGGCGAATTCTTAAGCGTGACGAGCAGATCAGAGGTATGAAGGAGTGGCCTGTTCGAGGATCTCGAGAAGCCTGTGCGGTCAATCAAGAGCTGGCAGAGAGCTGCATCAGAGCGAACAAAGATGACGAGCATGGCACAATGGGATTCTTTCTGGCAGGGTTCATTAGAGATTCGAGCTCAACGGTCGAGATACACACTAAGCTCCTTCGGGATGAGCGTGGTCATCTTATCCGAGATGTTATGGGCTTCCCTGTCCTAGAGGATTCGCAGGATATGGAGATGGTAGGTTTCGAAGAAGGCCCGGAGGTTGAGGTCCCTGAGGGAGACCATGAGTGGGTCGGCTTTGAGGAGGAGGAAGAGAACTCAAAAACGATCACACATGCTAAGGCAAATAAGTTACCCGCTCCATCAGCGGAGAAGTCCTCAAAACCCACGAAAGCCCCTGTAAACAAACACGCTCATAGTGCCCTGAAGAAGCGCACGCAGCTTGTCAGGCCAGACAAAAAGAGAAAGAAAGCAAAGTAGCATGGAAAGAAGTAAAAAAAAATGTCATCAAGAAGACACAAATCATGATTAAACTGATCAATTTTGTTTATCCAATGCCGCTCTCCTCGGATATTATCATTGGTGATTGAGTTTCCGTAGTTTCACCACTTGTTCCGTGGTACTGATCATCTATCGCAGAACTCATGTCTCCCCTTCTGTGTATCAATATCTCGCCTGGACAGCGCCAAAAACAGTATATCTGGCAGCAACGTATTTCCTTCCTTTAAAGCTGTAGTGTTGAGAAACCCCAGCGAAGCCGAGAAGCGACCTCGCCTGTTATTATTGGCCTGGATTATTCACGACTCCCGTAAGATCCATCGATTTGGCCAACGGCAACTGACAATATTTCGTTCACCTTTGAGGGCTCCTTGGAGGCTGCTAATAGAAAACTGGAAAATCCTGCGCTACTAGTCTGCTGTGCCCCGGGTCTTGCATTTATAATTTTCCAGCCACATAAAAGTGTCAGCATTCGACGGGTCTCAACAACTCCACCTCAACTTCCACTTCTTCCGGCTTCCTTGTACCAACACCCCCAAAGTCCGACGAGGTATCTCATAAGGCAACAGAACTTGGGAGTATTGCTTTTTTGCTTTTCCTCACGAAGTCGACATGTCAGCAAGGTCATCCCTTCACAAGGCTTCTGCCCGTGCCAGTCAGGTGACCTTTGCACAGCCATCGACAAGGACACTATACTCTACCAAAGCAGCAAAGTCGGGTTCAAATATCACCAGAGTCGCTAAGTATGTTGCTGGTGCCAGTTTTGTTGGGGCAACAGGCCTTTGGGGGTTGACCACTGAGCGTGCTGAAATGCCACCAAGCCTGGATCCAGGGAATCTGGTTGAGGGGAAATTGGTGGCCAGTCACGGACCCTCGAAAGACGAAGTGACTCGCATGATATCGCGAGAGGCATACTCGCATCGACTCAAGTATGGTAGTGTCAACAGATATGATGGTGCGAGAGTTGCATCGAATTCTCCAAGCGAGGATCGGTATATTCACGGAACGTTTCCCTCGCCGTGGAAGGATGGGCATAAGTGGATGGCATGGGCGGTGTTAGATGGCCACGCAGGATGGCAGGCTGCAGATATCCTTGAAAACCAATTGGTTCCTTTCGTGCGGCACGGACTGGACCAGATTATGTCTCAATCGGATCAGGTTACTGACGACAAGGTTGGCAAAGCTATCAAGAGAGCATTTGTCAACCTTGACGAGTCGATTCTGAAGACAGCAGTAGATGTCTCGCAAGGAAAATTGCCTCTTCAAGATAAGCTTGCAAATTTGGCACCAGCATTTGCAGGTTCATGTGCTCTGTTGTCGATTTACGATCCATCTACATACAAGTTACATGTAGCTTGTACTGGCGACTCTAGAGCTGTCCTGGGACAGAAGAATGCTGAGGGAAAGTGGGAAGCCATGCCTCTGTCAGTTGACCAGACAGGAGACAACCAAGAAGAGATTGCTCGGCTCAAGAAGGAGCACCCGGGCGAAGATGACATCGTCAGTGGTGGGAGAGTTCTGGGGATTATGGTCTCAAGAGCATTTGGAGACAGTCGGTGGAAGTGGCCGGTCGACTTGCAAAAGGAACTGAAGAAGAAATTCGATGGCCCTTCGATCTTGGCGCCGAAGTATAAAATTCTGACACCGCCATACTTGACCGCGGAACCGGTTGTAATGAGCACAAAGATTGATCCTGACAAGCCTTCGTTCTTGATCATGGCGACAGATGGACTATGGGATAATATGTCAAGTCAGCAAGCCGTTGATCTTATTGCCAAGTGGCTGGAAACCCCTTCAAAATCAAAGACAGACACCACAGAGCTGAAGTATGAATCATACGACTTCACTGATTATGAATGGAGGGAAGAATTTGATGAGAGGAGGACTACGGTTCAGGATCAGAATGCCGCAGTGCACCTGGTGCGCAATGCTCTAGGCGGAAACCACCACGAAATGATTGCAGGGCGATTAGCATACAGTACTCCTTTCTCTAGAAGTATACGGGACGACATCACGGTGCAGGTGGTTTTCTTTCATATCCCAGGTCAATGACCGGTCCATGGTCCTTCAAAATTTGAGCAAGTTTCCGCGACTTCTCATGCCAGCTAAAAGTCGCCGCTACAGACAATCTTTGCGCATTGCTGTTCGTGATTAGCAATTCTCCATTCTCTCTATCGCTAGTTCCCGTATTGTTTATGAGATTCAAGGATACCAGATGAGCTGAGGCTGTAGATTCTTTCTGGTACAACGTCTTCGCGGATCACATTTAGTTGGCCGGCACCCCGACACGCAGCCACTCTCATAGTCAGTCTCCCGACTTTGCTTGTTGAAAATGGTTGTCTAGGCCATATTCAAAATTGCTTGTCTGCATGCCTGCGCGAATATATATCTGGCGGGCAGCAGATAAATGCATCCTTGATCGTTAGCCAGCACAAGCCTGCTACATTTGGCTGGCAAGAGTTGTGCAGAAAGTCAACAAAGGTACCAAGCGGTATTACCGCTTAAGTCCACGCAACCTTCCGCGAGCCAAAATTATGCAAAGAAATGAGCAGAACAGGCTTCAGAGATATCATTGCACCGTCCGATGTTCTTGCATTCTGCGTCATTGGCGCGCAACCTTTTCGAATCCTCTTTGGGCCACATATTCGTCTGCTAATTTCCCTGGACGTGATTGGATCTATTAGGAGTCGGGGTCGGCGTTTTAAGTTAAGGTTATGAGTTCTTACGGAGGTAGAAATCGGATTTGACGCCAACTCGGCATGACGGCACAGCAAGGTTCATTTGAGGCTCCAAACGCCCCTCCAGACCCGACTTATACCTAGTCTGTACATATTATGCATTGTTATGCATGCTTATGCTGTTCACAAGTCAGCGGGGCTTCATAAGAGTTCTTCCAGAAAACGGGATTGTGGATGCGCGGCAGGGGAGTTGGTGATTATATCCGGGAGCTTTGCTTCCATGATGAGAGTTATGAAGGCTCACTCTTCTGAGTCGTCACGGCCAGAAATCTCTGCCAGGAAGATGCTCCATCCCTTTTTTCATTTTACCTAAATAGAAGCCTTTCTCCCTTGAACATACATTTCTCGAGGTAATCTTTTGAACTCTTTATTTCACGTCTCTTGTTCTCTTCAGCAAGTGCTTGGCTTTAAATATGGCGCCCCATCCACCCTCCTCATCTGCGTCATCGCGAACGGCAACCGAGGCGTCTCCAGAAGCAGATATCGAAGCTCAAAAGAGGTCGACGCAGGAAAAGGCAACGCATTGGGAACTTGTTTTCGATCAGACACATGTCACGCCCGAAGTGTTGAATTGGCCTTATAAAGGTTCAGGGACTGAGGATGACCCATATGTGGTGGAATATATCGAAAATGATAGGCGGAATCCTATGCTCTTCCCACAGTGGAAGAAGTGGATGATCACTCTACTTGTTGCATTTGTGAGTATATCCTGCTAAAGATTTGAGACGGGCATGGATATGAAGGGCTATGATCGCTCATGCAATGTTTCATTATTAATTTTATGACATGTAGGCAACTTTAGCAGTCGCATTTGTATCCTCAGCATACAGCGGTGGAATAGAAGAAATCCTTGCTACATTCCACATCAGCACCGAAGTAGCCACTCTCGGGATATCTCTCTTCGTCCTCGGATTTGCCATCGGTCCCCTCCTCTGGGCTCCTCTCTCCGAATTATATGGCCGACAAGTCCTCTTCTTTGGCACCTATGCTATGCTCACAGCTTTCAATGCTGGTGCAGCTGGCGCACAGAACATCGAGACGCTTATTATCTTGCGTTTCTTTGCGGGTGCCTTTGGGTCGTCTCCATTGACGAATGCTGGTGGCGTTATTGCGGATATGTTCCCTGCCTCTGAGCGAGGACTGGCGATGAGTATTTTTGCTGCTGCACCGTTCCTTGGACCTGTCATTGGTAAGTCACCAAATGTTCCCAGGAATGCGCATCCTATGTATTCAACTAACATAACCTAGGCCCTATTGTTGGTGGATTTCTCGGGCAGACAAAAGGATGGCGATGGGTGGAAGGTCTCATGGCGATATTTACCGGCGCTCTGTGGATCATTGGCGCCCTCACGATCCCAGAAACCTACACTCCTGTCATTCTCCGCCGGCGTGCAGCAAAGCTCTCCAAGATGACGGGCAAAGTGTACAGATCCGCAACGGAAGTCAGCCATGGAACCAAGACTATCAGCCAAGAATTTAAGACTGCGCTCTCTCGACCATGGATCCTCCTCTTTAGCGAACCGATCGTCCTCCTACTCAGCATATACATGGCTATCATTTACGGTACGCTTTACATGATGTTCGGCGCCTTCCCAATCGTGTACCAGCAACAGCGTGGATGGAGCGCTGGAATTGGTGGGTTGAGTTTCATTGGTGTAGCAGTGGGCATGATTGCTGCTGTCTGCTATTCCATCTTTGACAACAAACGCTACATTAAAGTTGAAGCGAAACACAATGGCAACGCACCACCTGAAGCACGACTACCACCAGCGCTTATCGGAAGTATTGCCCTCCCCATAGGTCTTTTCTGGTTTGCGTGGACCAACTACCCTTCTATCCATTGGAGCGTCTCCATCATCGGGACGGCGCCTTTCGGGTTTGGAATGGTTCTCGTGTTCTTGAGTATCATGAATTACCTTATTGATTCATACGTTATATATGCAGCCTCGGTCTTAGCTGCCAACTCGGTATTACGGTCGCTGTTTGGTGCGGCATTTCCTTTATTTACAACATGTAAGCTGACCTCGCTTCTTTCGAATACACTTTCTCGCTTACCCACCTCCTTTCTTTTATCACCAGCATTCTGGATAAATTTGATCACACGCTGACGATGATTTCCACAGATATGTACCAGAATCTCGGCATCCACTGGGCATCCACTATCCCTGCCTTTCTTGCACTTGCTTGCGTACCGTTCCCGTTCCTCTTTTACAGGTACGGCAAGGGCATTCGCTTGAAGTGTAAATATGCTGCAGAGGCTGCAGCCTTTTTGGAGCAGATGAAGGGTGGACAGGGGGCGCGAAGCCAGGAGAGGGAGAATGAGGAGTTGACCGATGACAGGATGGAGAAGAAGACTAGGAAAGATATTGAGGTTGATAGGAGCGCAGAGAATGATGATGAGCAGGAGATGGATCTGGAGAGGGGAGAGTCGAGGAAGCTGTAAGATGCTCTAAACTTTTCGAGGTAGGCAGTATGGTGAGGGTTTTCTCCCAAGACTCTGTTTAGCGATGCATGTCTGGCGTTAGAGCGGCATATTACTTTTCTTTTTCTGTTCATAGATTGTATATAGCTAGTATTTACATTCAGGAAATAATCATAGAGAGTTATTCGCATCCTGAAACAGCTAAATCAAGGTCCCAAGTCCTATGACCGAATCGTACTATTTCGAGACCGAGGATATGCTGGGAGTTGAGATATTGAGTACACGATAAAAACAAGCAGATGAAACATCGGAGCTGAATGACATTTGATGCAGAATACTAGAACCCAAGAAATTGGTGACATGTGAGAGATCAGTGATGTCCATTCGACGGCATTTCGCCTATGCTAGTTGTGGACTTATTTCGTGACTCTGGCATGCTGCTCTCGGCTCTCTTTTGTGGCAAAGACGGACATGGCTAATTGGTAAGTCAAAGGTTGAGTCATTCTCTCTTCATATTTCTTGGTGCCATATACGCATTTCCGAACCAGAATGAAGCTCGACGTAGACCCTCTTTTTCAGCACCCCAACTTGACCTATTATATACACTGCGAAGCCGTACCAGACACATCATCAGGAAATATATACACAGTCACGAGACATTTTACTCCAGATATCCTCCCACTTTACGGCTCAATTCCCACTATAAGCCCTCTCTGGCTTTTTCAACCCCCTCTCCACATCTTCCTCCACCTTACCTTGAACCTCCCTCTTCCTCCTCTCTTCCTCGACCTTCTCTTCCTCAAGTCTCCTTGCCTCCTCCCCATCATCGAAGTAGTTGCCCGCCCCGCCCCTCCCCCCACGATACGTCGGCTTCGACGAGCCCATTACGCGCTGTACTGGCGCTTCGGCTGGCCGCGTGGTTTCGGTGGAGTGTATGTCTTCTGACTGTTGGGCTAGGCCGTGGGATTGAAGTTCGGCTGGTTGGACCCAGTTTCCTGCGCCGCCGCGGCCTGTGTGTTGGTATTCGGGGGCGTGGCCGTGAGAGGTGGTATTGGGCCCCTTGGTGTGCGAGGAGGTTTGCGATTCGAGGTCGCTGCTCTGGAATGGGTGTTAGTAAGTCGTTTCAGTCAAATAGTTCGTACAAGAAAATGACGTGAGAGGAGGATGATTGGAATACGGCTCAAAGTGATGGAAGGACTTCGGATTTGAGAAAAGGTTACAACATACGTTCTTTGTAGCATCTGCAATATCCTTCTTGCTGTAGTAGTTACCAGCTCCTCCTCGTCCAACCTTCCTGTAGATGTCGCTCATGGCTGCTGTAAATGCTACTTTCTCTTTTAAGGTATGCAATTATTTTGCTGCTCGAAGTATGTCGATAGATATCTGATGGTATAAGGAGCTATGAAGAGGAGACGAATGTCGTGCTTTTAGTTGAATATAGAGTCTCTCGAACAGAAACAAGGCTGCTTGGCTGCTTGTTCTTACCTACAGAATGCGCCCCAGCTCGAAGTGCATTTTCCAGTCCCGAGGCAGGCTAGGTCCGCAGCGAGCGCGATAAGATAGAAAAAAAAGCCTCACCGTGCAATTGCCTCATTTGCGGTTCTCTCCTTCGATGGGAAGAATCTGCAAGTGGTCCGCTCGGTGGGAAGGTATTGCGTCTCCCCTCTCCCTGGGATCGTAGAGTTTTCCTAGAACTCTGCTTACCTCTCCTCTACCTTTGTTGGCAAGCAGGCGTTCCAAGTTGCATCTTCGACCCCTCCGACCCCTCTTCTACCGATGCCGGCCGGGTTGCAGTTCGATGCCACTTTAGTTTACGTGAATAGTACAAGAGTTCCGGTACTAAGGTACTCTACTTCTTTACCTACCTTAGGGACGCACTGGGCAGAGTGCTCTTGCTGAAATAGCACTATTGCTATATCGTTACAGCCAAGCAGTAGGTAAACGTCACACACACCATGGAGTGTCGCTACTGTACTGTAAGGTACAGTAGTACAGTACGTACTAGGTACCTAGGTACTTATATTCGCGGGCTTCGTTTCCAGTCAGGCCGCGTCAGTCCGAATGAGGGACACATACTGTACCTGTAGTACAGAAGATGCGCTGTTGGAGAGTCTGCTCTGCCATCAAAGTGGAGAGAGAGAGAGAGAGAGAGAGATTGAGATTTCTACGCTCGTCGCCGAGTTCTTCTCTTGTCCGACGAGCTGGCATATTGCATGCAGACAAGTATTTAGGACTGTCATGCCAGCATTGAATTGAATTGCATTGCATTGCATTGCATTGCCTAGCATAGAATTATCCTAGAGCAGGGCCAGGGCCAGTGTTCAGAAGTGCCGGCACATTTCCAGGACATAACTTCGTAATAAGGTACTTTCCATCCGCGCCTTTTTTTCAGGACCAACCCAGCTATTCTCCACGTTCTCGTACCTAGGCGGGCCCAAGTCGTCCCTGTCCCATAAAACGCGTCTCTCCCACCAATGGCACCAAATCAAAGAGAAAAAGGTTCCGGCTCTCCCGGACTTGGCACGATGTAGATTAGCTTTCCTACAGTACTGTACTGTATTCTTGCGAGACCTGCCAGACGTCATCGTGGAGACGGGCATCCTTCTGACCAAGCCACGCGCACCCTGCTGCCGCACCATCACTTTTTTTTTTTTCATTGTTGGCCTCTTGACTCTTGAGGCAGGTAAGGTAAATTCGATAATGAGGGACTACTGGGCAGCAGCTGACTGTCCAAGGTGTGGTTACCTACACAGCCACAGGCAAGCTGGAGTCCCTCCAGGGAAGGCCATTACGTTGATTTTCGGACACCAGATCTTGTGACATCCTACGTTGCTCGACGACTAGTTTTACCTTGAGGTATAATTTTACCTAGGTGGAAAGGCCTCTGGCGCCTTTGGTACCGAGACTGTGGTGTGGTGTGGTGTGTTGTTGCACTGCTTTAGTGATGGGTATCTGCTTGTGTGAGCCAGGCTCTTGGAGTTGCTTGTCGTACAGTACGAAGTATTTTTGCAGGTGCGGTGCGATGCTTCCTGGAAACCTGGGTTCGGTATCGGATTACCTGTTCGGCAGCCGAATGCTCACTGTGGTAAGGCAGCGTCCCGGACGAGGGATTAGAAGTAAATTATTATCAAGTCCAGCAGTGTCTCAGCGTCTCAGCATGCAGGTCACGATGCAACCAGCCCAGTACCCCTCCCTCGCCCTCCCTCCCTCATCCGAGCCCCAGATCAAGAAACATGCCTGTTCAAAAAGTGTGTTTCGGGAAACAATCTTCATACAGTACTGTACAGACTTTTGGAGAACCTGGTGTGCGTGCGTGTGTTACAGAAAAAGTTAAAAGGGGAGGGGCCCTGGCCCTGTCACTCAATTGGAAGATGGCCTCCGGATTGAGAGATGATGGGCATCGCAAGGCCTAGAACCAGTGCGAAATGGAACTCCCCTAGCCAGCACGGGCATTATTCGCTGAACAGAACAGAACAGAACAGAACAGATCAGACAAGCTGGGATAGCATCAGAGGCGCACCCTGCGCAGCTCGGAGAATCTGTCAATCAATACATGCTCTCGTGAACACGCGAACTCAAGGTTAAAGAAAACTGGCATCGCCAGAGCTTTTCGATCCACGGATAAAGTCTGGGCATTGATACTGTACTGTAGCTGCATGCATAACTTACAACTCGAGTTCAAGGAAAGCTGGAAACCCCAGACTTTTCTGGCTCCCTAAAGTCCAGGCATTGCTGATTCGTACAACAGCGTCAACAGCAACATCAGTACAGTGGCTGTTGTTGGACACATGTAACTCAATTAACACCTTCCTTCCACATCGATTCTTTTGCAGTCTCCAGGTCTGTCTCATACCGCGAAGAATCCTGGGCAATATTAATGGACAGGGACAGTATCCCGGTTCCCAAATTGGGGAGGTGGTTTCGGTTGTGTCCAATCAAATGCAAGGGCAGGGCCCCCCGCTTCATGCTACAGCCGCTGTGAGAAGTTCTCAGAAGGGCATCGATCACCGGATCACGTTTGGTGGGATTCAAGAGCAGCACTTTGTGTCCCTCAATTTTGATCTTGGCCATCATGGGCGAATCGACTGTCCATGAGCTTATGTGGCAGCAGTGCTGATCAGAAAAATAAGCAGCGATGATCCTTCGGAGCCTTTGGAATAAAAGGCCTGGCCTAGAACTGTCCTGCGTCGAGAGACTGCCTGGACTGCCCGCTGTCTCCTGATGGATATCGACGAGCTCAGGAACAGGACATGCATGGAGAGGGAGGGGCCTGATAGGACAAGATCAAATGAAAGTCTCCTCGTACCTTGCGGCTGGCGATGTACGAAAGGTACGAAAGGTACGAAAGGTACTGGTTGTCATGTTGATTCGGTTGATTGACTCTTCCACCATCTGTCCAGCTGCGGGGTACCCAACGCAGCGAGGAAGGGCTGGAGGCTGGAGCCGGTGCATTTGGGAAAGGCTGGTGGGGTGCTTCTCGTTACCTTATCAAGCTGCCCCCTGTGTGCCACTCCACTGTATGCGATCCACAAGAGCACTGGCCTGGGTGCTTCCCCTCTCCTCCCGAGCCCCGAGCCCCATCAAATTCGATATCCTTCGCCATACTGTACTTTCGTACAGTATCACATCATGCTTTGACGGGGGTATGGTCGCGGTGTTCGTTCTCTTCAAGGTTCTCGTCCCTCGCCACGAGGCTGTCCTCTGGTCGGGACCCCGACGAAGAATGGGCTACCCCAGCCTTTCATTCATCCAGCAGCGCAACTTGCAGCGCATTACAGTGCCTAGGTAAAGGACAGCGTGACACAGATTATTGGCTGTTTGAGTCCACAGCCTAGACAATCACGAGGCGGCCTCTATGTGGTTAGTTCATTCAGGTCGCTGTTCTTGTGATGATGAATGTGTGCGCAACGTGGGGCCAGAAAGAAGGGGAAGAGCATGGCGTGCCTTGTGTTGCGCTGGAGGGCGAAAGTATTATTCTGCCAAAGATGGTCTCAATAATTGGCTGAACCGATTCAGTTTCTCTGAAGGCTGTAAATTGCCTCCACAGTAATGAATTACAAGCTAGGGTAGAGTACAGTACCGTAGAGGGAAGGGTAGGGTAGGAAGGAAGAGGAGGCAAGTGACCCAAAATTACACCTCGTGGCTGACATAAGACAAGATGCGCGAGTGAGGTTCTTCCCGTGGACGTGGACGGGTGTCCGTCCGTCGTGTCGACTCCTTTCCCTTCTCTTCTCTTTGTTCCTGCAGTTGGGGTGGGATGGATGGATATGTCAAAATCGGTCAAACCGCCAAAGACGAAGACGAAAGCACATAATTTATCTGTCTCCGGAATCGTCTCCCTGCCTCCCTCCCGCCACATCCATACCTATCCACATGCACATCCACCCACATATCCACATCCACATCCACACCCACACCCACACCCACACCTCCCACTACGCTCGTGAAGGCCAGACCACGCCACGGCTGGCGCTCCAGTGGTGTATCCCTATCACCGGCGACCGCAGACTTCGACTTCCGCTCCCTTTCCGCCACCCCAACCCAGGCCAGGGCGTCCGAATCCGAGTCCACCGATACCTACTGTAGCTGGACATTCCATCTGCATCCCCATCCCATCCCATCCCATCCCATTCAGCACTCACTCCCATTATTATTTCATACCGATCGTACCCAGCCAGCCCGCCAGCCAGCCCGCCAGCCATCCAGGCTATTCCATACCAAGGAACTTGCGTTGCCGCTTTGGCTCCCCTCCCCTCCCCTCCCTTCCCCATCCAACACAACGCTCCAGAATTATTATTATTTTTATTACTATTTCTCCCCTCACACGTCCACGACAACGCAACGCCATATCTGGAATTCTTCTTCGATGCACTGAATTACGCTGCAGTGCCCTCTATTGACAAGTCTGCCCGCCCTACGCCAGCCGTTCGGCGCTTCACTGGTTCTCAATTCTGCCTGTCTGCATTGCATTGGCCGTTCCTGCTCTGCTCCGGCGCAAGGCATCCCTCTCTGCGAAACCCGCCCGTCTCACCTGAACCCGTCGTTCCTGCTGGAAATTATTTCAGTAACTGTCGCACCTCTGCATTTCCTCGCTTCCAATTCGAAATCTCTCAAACCAAACCGCACGACACAGAAAGTAAAGTCCATTTCTCGCTATCTGCGATTCCCATACAGTCCGTACCTTGCGCACGAATATCCCCAGGATCACCCAAGCGCTTGTCTCGCGTGTTCATGCAGGTAGCTTGAGCTTCCACGATTATACCCACCGAAACATCCAACAATCTTGTGCCTGAAGAATTCCTCGGCCCTCATACGCAGCTTCTCAGAGCTTCGAGGATTGAGGGCTGTCTCGACCCCATTTCTCTCCCAACCATGGCTTCTTCAAAGGTAGTCCGGTCCCCGCATGCCAACCTCAAATGTATTAATAGAACAATGCTGATCATGGACTCTCTCAGGAAATCCAGCAGCATTCCTCCAGACCTCTCAGTCAACATCGCCTGTCCATGTCTACACACTCCAGTTCGCTCCCCAAAGCTCATGCACGAAACCATTCACACTCAGTATCCTCTGGTTCCCTTATTACAAACAACCGAGTTACACGTCGGAAGAGCGTGTCATCGAACGCGGCGAGCAATGTCGCAGCAATGGTAGCAGCTGTAAGAGAAGCTGGAGACACCACAGTTGGCATTGCCATTTCAAGCCGTAGAAACACAATGTCAAAGAACGGGTCTGCTAGACCTACTGCTCTGGGAAGCCTGCCATCACCACCTGCGAGCTTGCCCGGTCACAGATTCCGTTTGAGCACTAACGGCAAAATGGATCGGGGTGAAAGCGCAATTGAAGACGATCAACTCGATGAGATGGATGACGATGAAGAGAAAGACGCAAAACTAGCTCGCATGCGCCGAGCAAGTGAAGGCCAACACCTCACAAAGGATGGCAAGAAGTCCAACGACCTCAAGTGTGAGAAGTGTGGAAAGGGATACAAGCACAGCAGTTGCTTGTCCAAGCATTTGTTCGTGCCCATCTTCCTTTCCTGCGTGCTCCAACGGGACCTGGCCCCGCGAATCTTGTCTGCCAGATGAATTGAGAGCTATCGAGATTAGCATCCACGGGTTTTGGGAAGAATAGTGTTAACTTTTGACTGCAGATGGGAGCATACTCCAGAATGGTCTTTGACTTCAAAGCTGCTTATTTCTAAGCATCAACAGGTTCAGCTTCTGGAAGCGGCCTCGGTACTCGTCGCCATGAATCAGGATGGCACTACACCTCCAGATTCTGCTAAGGACTTCCAAAGCGACCAAGATTCCGCTTCCCCCGCTGCATCTGGTTCCTCTGAACAGCGCGACGGGACGAGCTCTGCTGATACCACCCCTCCACCACAGGCAGACATGTTCAATGCCTACAACACTGGCTCTTATACCGGCCGGCACAAGAGATACAGCAGTGGGCAGAGTTTCTCCAGGTCGTACCAATCTGCACCTTCTGCAAATCACCTCGGTGTCGGAAGTGTCCCCAGTCATTCTGGATTTGGCCATCATCGTCAACCAAGTCAAGAAAGGCGTCCACCATCATCCGGTATCAGCCGTAACCAAGAAGATGATGGTTTGGCGGCGGCCGTCGAACTTCTCTCTTGCAGCTTCGGCAGCACCGGGACTCCAAGGAGCATTCCAGTTACTCTCCCGGAAGACGCTCCCCCAGTGCCTCATATCCCTGCCAGATATTTGAACCAGAGCTTCTCGGGCAGCACTTTGACTCCCAGCCAGCAGCCTCGTCACACGGAGAGCCACACTCGTCACCAAGTCAATGACGGTGATATCAAAATGGAGGAGAGCGAGGACAGTGTCGCTGATGACGAAGAGTATGATAGACGTTCCAGAGGTCGCAGCGATGAAGACGAAGAAGGCGTCTTTGGTCGCATGGAAGAATGAAGCATCGCGAAAGAATTCGAACTGGCCACATGTCCTTTGGTCTATAATGATAGCATTTCCTTTGTAACATTTTGATGTATACCTTCGGCGAGCATGTCTCCGCGGTCGACATTCAGCACCTGTGGATTGGCAGTGGTCCACGAGGTTAAAGCTGATTGTTCGTTCTTGAAGCGTCGAGAAAACGCCACAGCATTTGTAGGGGTTTATTTTTCCGAGGCATAGGACATGTCATATAGTCGATATATATCATGTATGAACACGTTGATGAGTAGATGTGATCTTGATCGAGGTATCAACTTGATACCGGGAATCCACTGATAGACATCGCGATCTGCAAGAAATCTGTGCAAAAGGAAGCTGGTAATCTGTAAAGCTATCAAGGATCGATTCCTCTGAGATCATTACGTATGAAACGCGGCGTCTCGGATAGTGGCTGTTGATTGTAAATGTACTGTGATTGATTGAGAAAGTAGAGAAATCTGGGGAGGCAAACTTTTCCACATATTTTCCTTTGCTAGGGTTGACCGCCCCTCTGTTGTCAGAACGACGTCACTAGTCGTAAACATCGTGAAGCTTCCAAGCTTGCCCGCCAATCGATCATATCCAGAATCAACAAATGCAACTGCACAAGTGCGCTGCAGCAAATCTTCACGCTCGACGCACACTTCGACATTGAGCAATTTCAAAATGTCTACATCAAGAGCTAGAGCTAGTAACAAGGCCACTGCGGTATTTGCACAGGGCGACGCAGTTATTCGACCTTCCAAAATCCCCGCGGTCCTACGATTTCCCCTCGTCAATACGCTGAGCTTGACCCTGTCAGCTTTGCTTTACTCCTTCGCGGCGGAATACACATCGGGCGATCTGGCAAAAGTTTCAAGAACTTTGGATCAGTGGTGGCAGGTCAGCGTGCTGGTGGGCTGGAGGACGTGAGTAGTAGAGGATCCATCTATGCGCGTGTACTGACGCGATTTCGTAGCTTTGAACTCGGCCTTGGATGGTTTGGGGACTACGATGGCTATGATTTAGTTTCTCTGAGTTTGCTTTCACATGGGCCTCCTGTAAGTTGAACTGTTTGCGCGTTTGCTCGTAGAAGGTATCTACTAACATCACCATAGCTGTATTTACTCGGGAGCTTCTATGAAATTAGCCCTGCCTCTGTCATATCCTCTCTCGTTATCGATTCCCTGACTACCTACATTCCATTCAGACTACTTCGACCTCTATCTCTGGCACATTCAGCTTCCAGTTCGAAATACTCGGTCTCTGTTCGGAATAAGGACATCATCACATCCAACAGTATCCAGGCATATACTGTAATTTTAGGTGGCGCGATATACGCAGTGACTCTATTCACGTCATATAGCACTTTCTTACCTGTCTACCTGGTCACGTACTTCGACGGTATTCATTCGATTGCTGCCGCTCATGCCTCTTCGCCAATTGCCCTCGTAAGTAGTTGAGAACCATAAACCTCCAGACTTATTCAATATATTTATAACGTCAATGCCTTATCCTTTGTTCATGTGGCATTTGTTAACTCAAATCTCCCTAGTTTCCAACCACCTTTCTCCTTGGCCTTGCAGCCAAGTCATTCATCTTCACTCCTACCGTAACAGCTGCGCCAACTACGGAAGATGCAAAGAATGCTGCTTTCCACCCAGAAACCGCTACATTCGGCGAGACCTTCTGGTACAATGTTTGGGGATACAGCAGCCGCAAGAAAGTGGTCATTAAGAGAACTGCCACACTGATGCTGGCCACTGGGATCAACACCTTTGTGCAGACTTTCGTCACGATCGAGGGTGTCGAGGCGGCTGGAGCTGTTGTTTACTCTGGTGTTTGGGTAGCTGCTGCTCTAATCACTGGACTTACGTTGGGTGTAGTTGCAGACGTTTAGTTAGGCTGTGGATTAAGTGTGAACGCCTGCCTGCGCCCCTGGCAAGCACGCCTGTTGACTCCGGTATCTGCCCCAGGGAGCCGAATACAATGGACGGCATACCTAGGTAGGTAAGCGATAGCGAGCATGCACGTGGGTAAGATCAAGATGGGACTGAGACGGATAATATGGTAATATGGAGTTCGCAACCTTGTTTTTGTTGTTACTGCTTTTGGGAGGTCCTCCAGGAGACTAGTGGATGTGTGCGTCCTGGGCTTCTTGTTTGGTCGAGTGGTGGAGTTTATGCTGAGGGGTCAATCTCATGGCGGCAGGATACGGATGAGAGATTCAGATGGAAGGGGTGAATGTACTGATAATGAATGAACACGGCGAATAGACCAACCAAGAACCCGACAGGAGATTTGCATACTTCGCCTTTGCTGAAACAGACAGAGCCTGGCTGCGTTTAAGGTAAATTTACCTAAGGAAGGTACTAATATAGGTAAGCTCGTAAGGTAGCAAGTCACGCGAAGCGAGAGAGTTGATCTGGGCTGGCTGGCTGGCTGGCAGGAACGAGGAGACGCGCCTTCGCCCTCGCCCGCGCCCTCGCCTCGCCTCGCCTCACCCACCACGCCTGCCCTTTCTGACGGCGGGATCTTGTGACCAAAACAACAAGCGCGACTCCTTAAGATTGACAGAGGACCAAATACGTAGTAGGTAGGTAGGAGGTACCTTACCTTACCTACCTATTAGGCTTCTTGCAACCACAACACAACACAACACAACACAGCACATCACAGCAGCATCCTTCTCGTCTCGTGTTTGTCAACGCTGCCTCCGCGTGGTTTTGTGGGCCGCAAGATGGCCTCCGATGCGTCTCGAAGGTAATTCTCATGGACTCACTGACCTCTCGTCCCCTTGCCTGCACGTGCTTTGTTTGGAGGTGGAGGACGGGGACGGGGACGGGGACGGCGACGGCGACGGGGAAGCGTGAGGCTGCTCCACGGCCGCTAAGGCAGCAAGGATTTGGCAGCACTAGATTTACACGTCCTCCACAATTCGCGCTGCGACCTTCTGCAATTGCTAACTCACGGTTGCTTTTAGATGGCTCGACGGTTCGGGAATTTGGAGCTGTAGAATCAAGATCCCTCAGTCCCAACCCGACGCTTCTCGAGCTCTCGATCAGAGCCAGACGAACGACTCCTCATCACACATAGTTACCCCAACAGCTATGGACGTCGCGCTGGAGAATGGCAGCCCAAGCTCCCGGCGCAACAAAGGCAAGATCGCAGAGGCTATCCAGTCGATGTCAAATTTAAATGCCAGTATGGAGGCACTTGATCTGCCTACCGACCCGGATGCCCAGGCCACTGTTACCGACTTCCTCGACTTCACAGAGTATCTTCCTGCCGACATGATCCGCTCCCTTACTCTCATACGAAATCTCGACGAGACCTATACCGATGCCTCTAGCATAGTGAACGACCTCACCAAGAAATATGGAGATCTTCCAAACATCGCGCCAGACAAGAAACCGGATCCCGTGAAGCTTCGTGGGGAGATATCGCAGAATCTCGAGCAGGCTGTGACTGCCCGCACATTGGCACATGCGGAGGCAAGTCGCATGGCCGAGAATGTTGACCGCCACTACAATCGTGCGAAGAATATTCTGGCGAAGCTACAAGCCATGGCTGAAAACTACCCACCTTCGCGAGAGCCCAGTCCAGTCCCCCAAAAGGCGAAATCTCCAGCTGTGGCACGCCCGCCGAAGATAATGCTACGTGTAGGAAGTGAACAACAGGTTCCAGCTCGTATCCGCAAGCATCGTGCCCCACGAATCACAGTCCCGGGAGAGGTTCTTGCGCCGTATGAGCTTGACTATGAATCGTACGGATCGGATTCGGATGGTAGCGACTCTGAGGATATTGAGCCTATTACACCACGAGCTACACCTGGAGTGTCACTTCATCTAGGTACAGGCAAGATCAAGCTGAAGATTCCCAAACCAGCTGTGAAGAAAGAAAAGACTCAGAAGCCTCCCCGTCAGCCTCGACCACCAGGAGTGATGGGTACCAATGTTCATAGTGCTGTTGCTGGTATCTCTACAAGCAATGCTCTAGCTATGCTTCGTCCACCTCCAGCAGATGCAGTGAAGGGCGACGAAGCCCTCCCATGGCTGCAGCTGAATGATTGGGAGCTAGCTATCCTCAGGAAGAGGATGAAGAAGAATGCAATATGGAGCCCAAGCGACACCATGATTGCCCGCGAGTTGAAAGTCCTGGGCCGTGGTATCGAGGCATACAGAGCAGCAAGAGCTGAAGCTGAAGCTTCTGGAATTCCCTATGATAAGCCCGAGCCGCCTCAATTGAGAGGAGAAACGGTTCATGCCGAAGGAGCTATCAGTGTTGAAGCATTGCGCTCGTCTGACCCGCAACTCAGCAATCGGGGTATGAAGTTGAATGAAGCCAAGAAATTGAAGAAAGAAAACCAGGCGAAGGAGCTTGCGAAATTAGCCGCTGAAGAGGCAGAGCAGTCTGCTCGTAAGATGGCTCAAGCTGCCGAGGCTATGAAGGGTCTGTTCAAAGCACCGCAAAGTGACGATAAGAAATCTACTGTAAAGACGCCTAGTAAGAGCAGAACCCCTGCCCGGAAACGCAAGAGGGAGAGTCCACCTGACGGAGAACCCGAGAGCGAAAAGCCTACGGAAGGGGACACGAAGCCAACGAGACCACCACTCAAGAGAAACAAGACAGAAACGCCAGTTCCTGCTCCTCAACCTATAACTACAAAACAGTCGCCTATCCTGCCACCAGAATCCGCTGCGTCAGTAACATCCGAGGCAGCCCCGCTCTCAACGCCGCTCGAAGTGCCTACAGATCCAATGTCTCTTCCAATCCCTGCCCCTTCTCCCAAGAAGTCTTCGACGCCTATCTTACCTCCTGGAAGAGAGCCAAAGAAGGCCATCAAGAAGGAGAACAAGAAGACCACTGAGACAGCTACAAATACCAGACCCCGAAGAAGTTCACTGGCCGATGTAGCAGCTGCCCCTCTTAATATTCCCGAGCCACTTCCCTTGAAGCGCCCGACTTCATCTCGAAGTAAAGCACCAAGCGTCGAGCCAGCTCCTCTGACGGGCTCATCGGCCGTTGATCGACCTCGTCGTGCTAGTACAGCTCGCAACACGCCAGCTCCTGCTGATCCTCGTCAGACCAGCAAACGCGCCAAACGTCCAGCCCCAGGAGTTGTCACTGCAGGTTCCGAAGGCTCGGCCTCTGTCAGCGTCGGCAAGAGGAAAGCAGCAACGCGCAAGAAGGCGAGCACCAAGAAGGAAAAGAAAGACGGCCGTGAAGGCAGTGCCGTTCAGGAAATCCTTGATGAGGTCGATGATGAGGGCAATGTTATTGATCCAAAGGAGCCTCGTTATTGCCTATGCAACCGAGTTAGTTTTGGGACCATGATTGGTTGTGAGAACAATGATGTAAGTTTTGTACAGTCTGATTATAGCAGAAAGCAATCTCTAATCAGCATATAGTGCGAGAAGGAATGGTTCCATCTTGAATGCGTCGCCTTGACAGATATCCCACCCCGGACTACAAAGTGGTATTGTCCCGAATGCAGAGTCACGCTTGGTATCGGTGAGAAAGGCGAAGTTACAGCACGCGGAAAGAAGAAGTGAATTCTCCCTGCCACGAAGCAAATGGACTAATGGGAGACGGTATCATGGATTGGGCAGGAGGAACAGGCTGTTTCACTGTTGCGGAAATTGAATCTGGGACGTGAAATAAGCAGGCAGGCAGATAGGCTTCGCAGCTTGGCGCTCAGATATGACTTTTTAGCTTTTACGTTTTTGCTTCGAACGTGCAGGGTGTTAGGATCGGCGGAGCTGTATGGATTATGTACTGTATGGATTATCATGTACGATATATTCAATCGGGTAGAGGCTAGCATCGCATATTTATTTGAAGTCTCTTGGGAAGACGACGATGTGTTCTATGTTTGTACGCTTATTTTTCTGGCAGAATACTGACAGGGGGATAAAGTAGCCACGTGATGAGAGGGGGGAGCTTACTACTTTCGGCTTAGCCTATAACACTTAAGCACTGACCCTACTTAAGTGGTCTCCTTTACTTTAGAATATAAATATAGAACGTAACCTTTTCTACTTTAAATATACCTCCCTTATAGAATTCTACTTAGTTCCTATTATATAGTATAGAGTAGAAGTCTATATTAAAGAAGCCTTACTATCTAGAATATTCTTAGGTTAGTGGAGATACCGCGGATAGTAACTACTAGGACTAGCTTAAAAAGTACTATATTATATAGTAAACTAGAGATAACCCCGCGTAAGGACTTTAGGAGTAGCTCCTAACTATATAAGAGGTAACTAGAATAAGCGTTAGAGAATCTATAAAACGAACTTATACTAGTATTAAGATAATCCGACTTAGTAGTATTAATCGAAGTAAAACTAAGAAAATTAAGTATTATAGATCCTAAGGACTCGGACTTATAAACTATACCTAATTCCCTAAGAAAAGATACTTAGTTCGAATCTAAGATCACTAGAGGATAAAGAATTATTAACGAAGCTAGAACGATTTAGAGCTACACGATCGATCCTAATCTATAAGATACGTTAGATAAGAATAGTATATAACTTACCTTATTAGAGGAGAGCTCCTAAAAGTAGCTAAATACTTAGTTAGGATATATACTAACTCCAGTCGAATAAATTAATTAGAAGATCTAAACTAATAATAGATAGGAATACCGACTAAGAAATATAATAAGAATTAAAATTAGGAAGTTTCTTAGAAAAAGAGATAACTAGGAACGACTAGAATACTTTATTTAAGATATTTAATTTAAAGTGAAAATAGACTACCTAAGTGTTTTAAGAGATAAGGTAGAGGTATACTATAAATAACTATTTAAAAGTAACTTTCAAGGTATAACTCTAAACTAGTATAATAATAAGGACTAAGAAATTTAAGATAACTAGATAAAGATCTTAGAAGAATTTATATTAGAATATAAAGTAGTTAACTTTACTAAGTCGGAAAGAATACTTTAGAGTATTATAAATCTAGCTATATTAAAGTAGAGTAAGACTAAGTTAATTGAAGTATATATCAGTTAAGCTAAGCTAATCCACACTTAAGAGAGTATAATTAAGGCAACTTTAGCTATTAGATTTTTAATAGGCCTCTAACTCTATAAGTAGAAGTTAGTATTAACTAACTACTATAAGCTAATAGAAATAGATATAAAGAAGCTTACTTTTGTAGATATAAAAAGAAAAGTTAAATAGCTATATAAGGTATAACCTAAGCTAGCGGACGATTACTCAGAGGAAGTACTTAAAGGATAAGTGCTTACTAGGTTACTATTAGCCTTAGAAGTCTCTATAAGAGTTCATATAGCTTAAGAATAAAGAATAATAGCACTATACTAGAACCTACGACTTATAAGTAATAGACCTAGTAGTAACTTTACCTACGGAACTAAGAACTATAACCCTCCTCCCTTAGTAATATAGTACTAAGAACAGAGATTCTAAGGGGCTCGACTAAATATCACTTATAGAAATTATCTTAAACTAAGTTATTATAGTTCGGATTACTTAAAACCCTAACTCCTATTCGAATAATAGTAAAGGAACTAGGACTAGATAAATACTAACTAAGGTAAGAGAAACGGAATATAAGAACCAAGTTAATCTTATATTCCTACCTAGTTAGGATAACTGAGTATTAGCTTATCTCTACTATTAAAGGGAAATCCACTAGCTATCATATCTAGTGCTATTACTAACGTTATCAAAGAATATATCTATAGTCTAAATACCCCTAAGATTACTTATAGAGTACTAGTAAGTAATAAGAACTTTACTAACCCTCTTATAATAATAAATATCATAGAAGAATTCTTAATAATAAATATACGAGATTTAAATAAGAGAAAATAAGAGAAGTCTCTAGTTAGACTATCTAAGTCAGCTATTAGAAAACCTATATTATAAACTACTTAAGAAAGAAGAGCCTAAGCGTATTAAGAGGAGATTCTAAGTTAAATTAATAACTGATCCCGGACCTTATCTAAAGAGCTAAATATTGTTAACTAAGAACTCCAACTAAGTTATACTAAGATTAGAGAAGATATAAAAGAAATATTATACTAAGTGCTATAAAATTCTCAGATCATAGAGTAATAATAAGTACAATTTATTACTCCTAAATAATAACTAGGAAAAGTAGTAGTCCTAAAAAGATAACTTAAGCTAATACTACTTATCCGAGGAATAGAAAATAAGAATAAGTTCACTATTAATCAGCTACTAAGTACTAATATTATAATAACTATAAGTTAGTTCCTTAATACCTCTAAGTAAGCCTGTAAGGGACTAGCACTAAGTATATAATCTTCTAAGACTACATATAAACGAATAAGAAAAATAAGCCTACTTATCATAAGGTTAGTAACTAATTTAGTTTATAAGCTATCTCTTATTTTAACCCTGATCTCTAAAGTAGTAGCTAAAACTATCGAGTTTCTAATAGTAAACCCTATCTATATAACCTCGTAGATATATAATATAAAGCTAGAAAACACCTTATTAGATAGCAGGTTAATAGTCGAGCTAATCAGCGAGAATATAGTTAAAAGGTTAAGTAACTACAAGATTCGTTAAGATAAAATACTACACGTAAGAATAATAAATAACTAGCTAGTAAAGCTTACTAACTATATATATCTCGAAGTTAATATATTAGGAATAGCAGTAGTAATAAAAGTATATATCTTACCTAGTTAGTAATCGTATAACCTACTTTTAGGATTACTATAGGTACACCTAGTTTATTTAAATATCTCTTATTATTCTTATAATATTATAATCAAGGAGCAAAATGGAATACTAATTACTATACTATTTAGGTATACGCTAGCTAAGATTATATATAATATACTAAAAGCTCTAGATAAGGACGTAGTTAAGGAGAATAGTAAGGATAAAGATATAAATAAGATACTAAATAAAGTAATAGATAAATTAGAGAATTAGAATAATAACTAAGACGAGTTAAAAGAGGGAAAAGCTACGTAGTAGAGTATTCAACTGAACTCTATTATAAAGCTAAAAGTCGTAAGAACCTACTTAGAATATTAATAACTAAATACTTAGACAGAGCTCTAGAGAATATAGGAAGGAACTTACAATATAACATAGGAGTATAAAAATACCTCGACTAACTAGATATTAAAGACTTAGTGTTTATAAATACTATCTTATCTACTATTAATAACACTACCTAGAGAAAAGTACTAAGTAGAAATCTATATTAAGTACCTGTTAAAATTAATAACAAGACTATATTTATAGTAATATTAATCTTGTTTAGTATACGAATAGTAGGTAAATTTCCAACTTATTATAAGCTAGTCGGATAACTACTATTAACTAACTCGTAAGAACTAATCGATACTTAGTTTAAGTTATTAAGGATTATAATAGAAAAAATAGCTAATACTACTAAAAGAATTAAAAAGGTATAAAAGTTATACTATACCTAGAGAGAGTTCTTTATTACTAATATACGAGACATAGAACTAACGGATCTTATTAAATATATAATAGACTTTAAACTAAGAGTAAAACTAGTAATTAGTAAAAGTAAACTTTACTTAGTAAAAGAATATAAACATACTAATAAGGTATTCCTATAGATAGTAGAGGCTAGAATACTAGCTAGAATAGTATTAGACTAAGGGGCGAAAATATTATTCCTACCTAGGAAAAAAGGATTATAAGATCTTAAAATAGTTTATAATTTTATTCTAATCAACTGATAGATAATAAAGTTAGTCTATCTTATATACTAGCTTAAAGAAGTACTCAATACTATAATAAAGAATAAATATACTTATTACTTTAGTACTAATACTTCGAATAGTTACTAAGCTATTAAGATAAAGCAGGGACATAAATATAAGACTAAGATTATTACGCCTTATAAGTAATACATCTATCTAAGAATAAGATAAGGTCTTAAAGGAGCGCTATATATATATATATATAATTCATTAACCTAATATTCGGACCTATCCTAGCACTAAGTATAGATTACTTAAGTACGGAATAATAAAAAAAGAGGTAAGGAGATAGTTTATATCTAATAATTATAAGGAATTATAGCACTTAGTTCTTCTCTCTATTTATAGATAACTACATAAGATCTATAACTACTTTTAATAAAATATTCCGAATATTATATAAGAAATACTTCCTACAAGTAGCGTTTAAGCTTATATACTTAAGTCCCTATAAATCATATTTCTTTATTAACTTACTAGATATATTAAGATTTACTAGGTTAGCAGATAAAATAAGACTATTAGTAAAGTACTAGGATAAAATTAATAACTAGCTTACCCTAAAGAACTAGGATAAAGTAGATAGGTTCTTATAATTAACCTTGTTCTTAAGGATATTTATATTTAGAAAGGTAGAGTATATTATAAATATAAAAATATTATATTTATACTAAGTACTAGTAGATCCTATCCCGCTTAAAAAGAAGCTAGAAGACTTAGAAAAATTTAACTAAGATAAAATAAAATAAAATAAGAAGGTCCGCCTAAAGAAACTTACGATTCAGACTAAGTAAATAGAGAAAGACTTTAACTAGATAGATCTATAAGAATAATTATTTCAGTATATTAAGGACTAAATTATTAATAATATAATAGTAGAGGCGGACTAAGAACTCTAATTTCACTTAGCTACTAACTACAGTTAACGATCTATAAGGGAGATATTATTCTAAGTACTAAACTTTATACTAGGTACTACCTTTACGCCTAAGGACTAACTAAATAAGTGAATTATTATATTTATATCTTTCAGATTAAATAATACTAAGACTTAGTATAATATAATAGAAAGGGAAGCACTAGTAATAGTTAAGTATTTAGTAGAAGTAAGGTAGTTAGTACTAAGTAATAAATACCTAGTAATAATCTATATAAACTACTTAGTACTTCAATTAGTAATAAATAATAAGTCAGAATCTTAAGGTAGAATCGCGAGGTAGTAGGACTAACTA